TTAGACTCATGATACAAAGTATTATTACTATCTCATGTATACCATATCGATTATAGTAGAAGCGGGGCTTTGCGCACATATGCAGGAAAGTAGGTAAATGCAAGGGATTTTTAATTAAGAGTGGTGGCAGGTGTCGCAAGCTCTAAATGCACAGGCGTGCAAACACCTACGAAAAAAAACGGGAAAATGGACGGGTAGTTTTTTTACCTTAGCAACCTAGCTCTTCAAAGTGCAGCACAAAAGGCTATGCTGAAGCCAAAGAACGAAATTTTAACCGTTCATAATGCTCTATTTCAAGGAACGTTTTTACTACTCGGATTATCCAATACAGCCAGATTCTAAGTGTGAGCTCTTCCCTCTTCCCTCGCCATTACTAGGGGACAAATTGTTCTTTTCTTTACCTCCGCTTATTGTTATGCTTAAGTATAGCGGGTTGTTTCTGCTGATTTCAAATCATAGTTTGGTTTTTTTTCTTGGTCCAACCAGCGAGCATCATATGATGATGCTAATATTAAGTGTGTCTACATTTTAGAAAAGTTCTTATATAGAATTTGTGGATAATTTTTATACACACTAAAAAGAAAACTGCATTGATAATACGGTTAGAGTAGTTGCATGTAACCAAATTGACGTTTTATCGTAGTAAAGAAGTAATAAGGTAAACAAGAGAGAAAAAATTAAATATTTGCTAAAAAGTTTCGTTTTAACCGAAACTTAAGAAATAGAGAGAGGAGAGCACAGGCCGCGTATCCTACTCCAGCAATAATCTTACAGTAAAGAAAGGGATGTTGAGTATCATTAGCCTCAACAACACTTGCAATGAGTGGACCTAGTACAAAGAATATGAATGCAAGCATATTGATAGAAAGAGCGGCAGGATATTTCTCCATTGAGCCGAGGATGCTGATGGCCACAGGTGCAGCTAATCATTCACATGTAACAGTTGGGTGAGTTTCCATATGTAAAAAATGGCTTGGATATACAACACAGAAAACCTGCTCCAATTTACTTTGTCACAAAATAACGCCGTTTTTTACAGGGGCTGTAAACCTTACCTAGTGTAAAATAACTTCCATATACCAGACCATTGACAACAGCGAATAGCAATAACACCCCAAAGTTGTTGGCAAACATCCAAATAGCAAAGATTGAAATTGTGCAGATAATCATGCACATGATATAGGTATTTAGGTGCCCGAGTTTGTCGCCACAAATACTGAAATATTTAACAACAACATGTTAGTTACACATATGGTTAACGGTGAGTATTGAACTGTAATACATCTCACTTACCCAGCAGCAATTCTGCCAACAATGCCAGCTGCCGACAAGGCTGATATGGTAGCTGCACCTTGTGTTTCAGTCAGTCCAATGAATGTCGCATAAGCTACAAGGGCAGATTAACTGACTTAGTTATTGATTGCTACTGACTATGAGCATTGGTTTTTCTATATGTGCACTACCGTGTTCTGAAAGTACTTGAATAAAAGAGAGCCATTTGACTCAAGTATACTTACAAGGAATAAATACAAAGACAGTATAAGAAGCGTACATTTGAATTGGACCCACGACCACCCAAATCATCATGTTCAGATCTTTCAGTATAGGAACAAGACTGACAAATTGCTTTTTTACGCTTACTGGCGGTGACTGGACCCTTTCTCTAATAAGCACAACACTTGAGAGGATCAAAGCAAACGATATAAATCCAAGTACACGGTATGTCCTTGTTCACACAGAATAGTCACCAAAGATTTAAATTTAGTACCTTCCATCATCGACGACGGCTAAATTAATTTTCTGCGTCTACTTTTGATACATACCAAGGTGCGCCGAGCGCATTGTTTATGGCAACCATGATATGCGGCACAATAAGAGCAAAAATTGCAAAGGTCGATGCTTGTACACCAAAGGCAGTTGCCCGGTACTTGACAAACCATTGTGGTAAAATCCTCAATCCAACCTATGTAGTGGTTATAGAACAGTCAGCACCCAACATGTTGTAGTGCTCTAGGATCTTTAGTTAAAGTAAATGTGACGACTTACAGTACTGAAACACGCGATTCCGAGTCCTGTACACACGCTTACTGACAAATAGAGTTGCCAAATCTACAAACACATTTGGGACACATGAATTAATCGTTTTTTTCCACTCTATATAGCAACGACATGCTGATGAGGTACAACTTACAGAAGTAGCTAAGCTAGCCAACATCAAGCCCGCAGTTGTCAGTATGAGCCCAGTATAAAGCACAGGCCTGAAACCGACACGGGAATAGATTAAGTTTATGAAAAACACGCATGATAGTACCATTGCTTGGAAGAGAGCGCCGACAAATGTCAGTTTGATATTAACGTCCGTGTCCGATGCAAATGTACTACTTCGCTTATAATGGTCTTGCATAATGCCTAAAATACGAATTAAAGTTTCAGTTTAATCAGTTCTTTTTTTGGAACACTGAACCATCTGTTGCTGCTGCTCGTGTTCGAAAATGCCAGACAAAGAAAATACGTCTCTCTCTTGTACGTGCACGTACCCCTTTTGGTAAATAAACGTGTTGGTACAATCCAGTGTTGATTACACTACTTTTGACTACCATCATCAGAGTAAAAAAGCAACACTACGTACCAGCAATTTGGTAAGCCGCAAAGCAATGATATAAGAAAACTTCCTATTCCAACTGTCCAGGCCTGCTTTCCGTCAGTTGGCAACTCTTGTTTTTTGGGCTGGCCACCATCGTTGATATTTGATTCTTCCATGTGTGCATCGTAAGGCCCATCTTGTTTCTCGTCGGATTGGTCAGAGAGCGCTGGCATTGGTTTTTCATTTGACTCTTGACGACCCGACGGACAAGTAGCAGGAAGATATCCTTCGTCTACTGAGGCCTTTGCCGTTTCATTGGTGCTCTTTTGATAGTTGGATTTCAGCATATCTGGCCAAGTAGTACCACGTCTGTTGTACTAAAAATGTAGAAGGTAGTGGCAAAAATGTTAGAAAGAAAGAAACCTGTATATTAAATAAATAGAGGTAAAGGCGAGAAAGCGAGCGTGACTCTGCTTGCCATTATTAGAGCCCCTCGCCTAAATGAAATTATGCAAGCTATGCATATCAACTTGTATATAGCGTCTCGTTACTTGTTGTTCGCAAGTACATGTAACCACCTGATACAAGCTTTCACATACATATTGCATCTCTAACGTGATGACTCTGTATAGAAAAATTCATGCTAGAGGTTATGTTCCGCGAAACCAAGTACTTTTGGAAGTATACTTTGAAATACTGATATGTAATAACTAAGCTATCCAAGTTGAAAAGAAGAGGGTGGGAGTGGAAAGACAAGAGCATTGGCTTCTCAGTGGTTTCTTTGAACACACGGTTGTTGCTGAGCAAAACCCAGCGAAGAACCAAAGGCACAGACTTTCTTCTCAACAATTAATGCAGACGACATCACGTAAATGGTCCGGCAGCTCTCCCTTACCAGTGACGCCCAAGTTAAGTCACACTTAAGCTTTCGACCACGCACATTCATATTGAGTATATTGGCAATATTGGAAATGAAGTACGTCTTTTATTCGCAATCTTTGCTATGATACACCTTTTCATAATCACACCTTTCCTTTGATTTTCACGTAGTTACTACTACAAGTATGTGAATGATCCTGTCCCTTTTTGAAGTTTGTACCCGAATAACTAGGTTTTAAATTTGGTTCTCGAGACAGTTTGGGACAGGTCCTTTATTCAATTCAGTTATCTGGCAGAGTGAACTGACACCGCCCCACCGCGTGAGGATCCTTGACCTACAGTTACTGAGATGATTATCTTTATAAGTGATTAGTTGATCTAGTAAGATTATGCTTACAAAAAAGATGAAGGGATAAAGCACAAATAGAGTCCAAAGAACAACTACTTACGGAGATCTTTTTTCTTGTATGTGATGCGGACGAGCAAATCACGCGCGTGAAGAGATATATAATTAATTTCATTGTGAAGGTGAGCCTGTTACATTGTTGTAGCTTTGTGTCGGTTCGGTGCAGATGCATTTGCTACTAACACTTTGTTTCCGATCCAAGTAACAGTAGTAAGAGCATTTCTTATTACTGAGGCAACTACAGCATCATCCATAGCATGTAGAGATGATAAAGTCTACTTTAGCATAAACCAAATCGTGCAAGATACGAACAAGAGAGACGTTTTTCCATGACAGTATGTTAGAGGATCATGTGGTTTTTAAAAAGCGCTCTCATAATCAATTATTAGCCCCTCATTGTCGATCTCCGTTTCCATCCCGTGCAGCATAACGACGATCTTATCCCTGGTGCATTACACGCACCTCGTGATGTTCCAATAATAAGCCTTGCATATGATGGGTCTTTATCTTACGCGGGAAATCTTTAGCAATTTTTGGGGCTTAAAGTATGCGTCGCTGATCTTATGTAAGCCATTATCACTCACTGAGCGATGCCAGTTTATTGATATGACGTCTTTAACATAGGTATCACTCTATAAGTGTTGATTACTGTCCAGGAAACGTCAATGACTTTAAAATTTCTGCGTGTACTCCGTTTTTCCAGGTCAACGGCTGAAGTAAGCACATAAAAGCAGCGCGTCGTTGCGCTATTTGCTCGGATCCAACATTTTTCAGCGTCACCAACGCGTCTTATCTTAGTCGCTACTGTATTGTTACGTAGTAAAAATGGTATCTTGAATATATACCTCAGAAGATATTGATGCTTTTGCATCCTCAGGTATCATAGACTACGACATCACCTTGCCAACAACACTCTGCCGATATAGATTCACATTACGTAAGATGAAAGCTTCTGATTCTCTGAGACAACAGTAATCTACTAATCTGCAATAACATATGTCCTTGACAAAAGCTAATCGAATTGCTGCATTTTGGTTTGAGCTACAAGTAACTCTCCAAGATACAACTAGAATCTAAAACTCCCCCACTAACAAGCAAATTTGGAGACATCATTCTGTGTAATAAAAAGTATTTCATTTTGATTACAACTCCATTTCTATTAAAACAAAGTTTACAAAAGACAAGGTATCAGTGTTGTATCTTGAAAAGAGATTGAAGGGGATTAGAATATTGTATAATCGTCGTATGTGTTGTGTTTGTTGTATCCACGGTGTCGGATTTTAGGCCAGGCGTCAGCTCAAATCAACATGAAAGGGTTTTTTATTGTTGGAGCAGTCTGGAACCGTATCTCAAACTCATCAACAAACTATAATACAAAGTACAATTATTATTTGTATTTCGTATATACCATATTATCCGATTATAGTGGAAGCGCATGTGCAGAAAAGCATGTGTAAATGTAAGGGATTCTTTTTTAATTTAAAGTGGGTGGCAGTTGCCCCCCACCCCCAAGTTCTACAGATGCACAGGCGCGCAGACCCTTAAAAAAAGTAACCAAAGAAAATGGAACAAGTAATTTTCTTACCTTAGCACTGTTATCAAACCAGCTGGCATGAATTTACCAGTCTTGTTGAAGCGAATGCCCATGCTGATCAACAGCAACACGCTGACGACTACAAAGGAACAAAATGTTCAGCTTGTTTGCAGCAGTACTAAGACGGCGAGGAAAGAAAAGTCATTTTATTTCGTTGCAAAGAATATATATACCTAAAGCGAACACGACGTTTTTGGGATTGTTGGAGACTTGATAGGAAGCAGCACCTGCAGCGAGGCCAAAGACGGCACCAGAAATCAACGATGCAAGACTTCCAGCTTTTTTTAAAGTAGTAGGAGGGAAAAAAAATTCATGCAGATAGGAGGAGTAAGCAAACGGAACAGCAGCAGCAGCAGCAGCAGTAGTTAATATGTTTCCAGAGAAACTGAAGAAACAGCAAACCTTTGAAATAGCCAACAGCGCCTCCGACCAGAATCAGCGCGCTGTAACCGTAACCGAGGTAATCTGTCATTTAGATGGAGCAATTAATGTTCTTTTAGGTGTTGTGTAGAAAAAGAGACTAAGGAGGACAGTTTGCTTGGTTGAGAATCACGATGTCTGGAAATATATGTTGGGGGTTGGGGGAGCTGCGTTCAGTTCGTTTGCAAAAGGGATTATAGAGCGTTGGAGTTGATGACGTGCCTCGCTGAAGCCCGCCCGTTCAACAACAGCCAGCGCGCAACGGTTTCGTTATTCATCATTTTTAGTCAATCACAAGCATAGAGAAATTCCAAGTCCCATTTTTGCAATTCCAACAACTGTATCCAACCAAGAGTATTAGAAAACAAAATATATCTCTGCTAAATATTTATTATAATGTTTATTGTTGACGAGAGGGACGTGCATTTGGATTGATGATTTTTTCTATGTCTGTGTATAGCCTTTTTTTAGAAAAACCATATTCTCTAGTTGTGTTGTAGATATTTCTAATTTGTTTTTTGCAAATAGATTATCAAGTTGATTTTTCGAGCGTTCATATTCAGCGAGCAGATCGTTTCTATGCTGCTGCTGCGAGTGCTCTAAGGATGGTGGTGGTAGTTGCACAGATGCTGTTAATGTTGTTGACAACGTAGATGATAATGATGGTGCTGGTAATGACGATGCTGAGGTTGCTGCTGTTGCTGTTGTTGTTGTTGTTGTTGTTGTTGAATGGCGAGGAAAACTTTGGTTTATGGTTACTGGATTGGTGGTGTGATATGCGATAAGATATATATGCTTGCATGGCTGGTTACGCTTATTGAAATCTTCACAACTACAAGAACCAATAACGCCATTGCTATCGGTTTCTTCAAACTTTAAAGTATACAATGCAAGATTGGCAGGTAACTTATTGCCACAGTACGATCAGCAATTGTAAAAGTAAACGCACACATACAGAAATGATACATACATGATCATTATAAATAGTTATCATCTGGTGATTTTTTGCAAGCTTCTTTTTTCCTTTGTTGAGCTTCTCTAGTCGCTGTTGTTTCTTCAACACCAGCAAATACACGCAGTACTTGAGCACGGTAATCGTTTTCGACTAACTGCGTCAACACATAGATCAGCACGATGATTGCGACTTATGGAAGATATTTGCGTTTAAGTTTGGAATGCAAGCTTTCGATCAGATTATTTGTATGGAAGGACGCATTCTAATATACAACCGTAAATAATATTGAAGCACAAAATAAAGCTAAAACGAGCCTAATACGTACCTCTCTCCAAGCCTTGCACCAAAGATGATGCTTAGGATACCAATAGTCCAACACATAGCCATAAAATTCAAAATGCTCATATGTATCTCGCCATTTTTTACCAAATTCATCCCAAGCATGCACAAATTCAACGACGGTATTGCAATTCATCAAAGCACTAAGGGCAGAACGAGCTTCATCTCTTATTTTCTTCGTATCGGCTGTTGACAGAGTAGTTTTGATCTATAACCCAACAATTAAAAAACGAATGTTTATATTGAATATTTGATAATGTGCCTAACTTAAAGGTACCTTGTTGGACGTGATGTTCTTTTCCCATACTCTTTTGATGTGCCAATGACACAGAAGAACTTGAACTTGATGACCATAAACTTCTCTGATGCTGTTAATTTCAACTGGACTGCAATCGATCATGATCCTTGTTGGTGTGTATTCCATTCTGTCCCGGAACCATCGAAACCATACTTGCAGATTTTCACTATCTTCTTCATCTGTGATCATAACGCAAGAGGGTAACCTTGTCCAGTAACTGTATGCTTAGCAACGATAGAAAGCAGATACGCATCAGCCCGACCATTGATAATAGATTTGCAAGTCTTGTGTGTGGCATCAATACAGATCTCATTTGATTTCTTGAGCAGCTATGTAGCACATACACATCTTAATATACGAACATTGCATTATATTTAAGTATACGTCTTTTCTTACCAAAGCTTGTCGTGGTGATATCCATGCAACAACAAAAGTAGAATCCGTCATATATTCCAACGTTTGATAACCTTGATCTTTTAAATAGAGAAGCTACTTGACTACACTTTCTTCATCGATTGGATCTTTTCTTGCTAATCGTGACTGTTGGTTGGCGATGATAATGTTACTTCACACGTAAGGCTTCCGGGAACGATCCTTCGCCTTCCTCGAGCTGATACCACAGGTTAGCATCTCTACAAGATATCAAAGTTTTGCTTTAAATGTATACATGATACTTACACTTTGAAGTTGTTTACCAGTCAAACGCAGATGTTCCTGAATTTGATCCCACTCCAACTTATTATCGACAAGTTTTTCAATCCATTTACGTGTGTCAGGGGGGGACTTGTGAGCGAGTAGTATTGGTTATCTCGGTAGGGTCATGGTGCTGATGTTGCCAGTGATATACTACTTTGATTTTGCCTGAGACCAAGTATTGAATACAATATCGAGCACGACAGTTTACTTTAATGTAAGGTTTTACAAGTCGACGTTTTTTGATGGGAGCAGGTTCAGTTGATTCTATAGGCAGAGCAGGGACAGCTGGAACCGATGTTTCTCTTGAGTGATCACAGAAAAAAGTGATGATACTACGTTCAACTGTTCGAGGACGGCCGGGAGTATTAAATTCATAATAGTAAATTATGTGGTAAACCACTAATTTATTTATTATTTTTTATACTGTCGAGCTCAGAAGCTTGGTTTCTTCGGCCGTCGACCTAAAGGTCTAGCCTAGTGATTTATACATAAGATTTATTATATCACTTAGAAAAAATAAATTTTTCTACTTATTATTTAAATCTTAAGATTAAGAATCACACCCCCGACATTGTTTCAGCGTGCATCTGATGCCTTGGGTATAGAGATGTACTTGTTGGTGATGAAGTTGGCATGCTGCTTAGGGTTTTCTTTAACCTACTCGTCAAGTTGTTGCTAGTTGTCCAAAGTCTCTGTAACTACTTCGGTCGGGTAAGTGGGAAAGACATAGACAAGGTGCCCAAAGGTATCAGATACAGAGGCCATTGTTATAGATGAGCAATTATCAAAACACAAAGGTACAGTACAGTCAACCCCCGTTAACGTCAACCCCGAGGGTTATTATAATCTTGGACACACATATAAATAACAATATATTATAAAAATATATTACAGACAAAAAAAAAGGTACCTGCTCTTCCCTTATTCATTAATTTATTTAACCATCCTATATTTCTATTGTATATAAAGTTCAGCAACTTCTGTGTCCTCATCAAGGTCATCAAAATAGTTGCTTTGGGTTGCACCGTGTGGTTGGAAGCAGCAAGATCTAAAAGTGGCTCAGCTGCCCTGCCTATTATACATGGTAGACAAATCGTTTGCAGGGATAGTAACGATTGGATTAAAGCTTACTCTGGTGTTGGTTGTAGTGTTCTTATATGTCTGTCATGTATTAGTGATAGATGGTCTATCAATAAAATGAACCAGAAGGATGATAAAGATATATATTAATTTTAAGATGCCCGATACCATTCTTTAAATTCCTAATCTATTTTGAACGATGATCTATATACTAACCCTGTAGAGCATTCAAAAATGTTGGTGAATAAAAAAGAAAGTGGTTGTCAAATATATATATTGTTCATATATAAATAAAACAGCCCGCAATTTCTTGAAGCTAGGATTTCAGCATGCTTCTGATGTGATTTTTCATTGTCTCAAGATCTTTAAAGATATGTTACATATGAGGCCCATACTTTCATTGGCTTCTTGCCCATGCTTTCAACAGTTTATATACAACAACCACAAAGCTTGCACAATCCGCATCACTTATAGCATCTTTCATTACAGTAGCCCCATATGCTGTGTCATTTTTAGTGTCATCTAACATCCTCAGTATCCTCAACCTCTGGCTCCAAAAGAGGTACCACTATTAACATCCTTGTCGTATATGTAAGGGAAAAAAGTTCGCAAGTGTAATAATAAGAAGAATGTACCTTAGTCATATACATACTATATTATTCTACATTAAACTACTAGTACGACGATTTCTCGCAACGAATAATAGTAGATGTATATATTACATTATAGGATCATAGCAAAGAGCTTACATTCTGTTAAGCTATTTGTCAAAGCTGCTTAGATACAGGGTTTTGCACTGTTGATGGGGAAGGAAGTGGTGTTTTCAAATTTTAGGAACGAAAGAAATAAATCTAGGAGTGGATAGTTTTTCATCCCAGAGGTGATAGTTTTTAATTTTGGAAGCGATAGTTTTTCAATCCAGAGGCAGTGGTTTTTAATTTTGGAAGTGGTGGTTTTTCCAATCCAGAAACGATAGTTATTTATTCTCGAGATGATAGTTTTTCAATCTGGAGACCATAGTTTTTCATACTAGAGACCACAGTTTTCAAACTAGAGACGATAGTTCTTCTTTTAGAGCGATGCTTCATCAATCTAGAGTAAATTGTTTTCTCTATCATCTTTAAAATGTTCGGTGTTACTCTTATCAATTTCGGGTACGTGTAGCTCAATTGTAGTATATGATATAGTAGGAATTACTACAATATTACTCCTTGCCATTAGCTACATATCGGTAAATGTGAAAAGATGAAGAAATACGAAAAAACAGAGATGATACACCAAAAACGAGGCATACAGCTCATGATAATATTTATAAGCTTTGATATTGATATCTGCCTCCTTTATAACATACAATACCATAGTACACATTGCTCTTACAGATATAGCAGCTACAGTAATGACAGGTTCTTTTATTGCATACGTAGTAGGATTATACAGATTAGAAGAAAAGATCATCACCATGCTTGGCAGTTGTCCAGCAACTAACTAGCGATATACGTCATACACGTAACACCGCACAGAAAGACAAATTGTCAAGTAGCTGCAAATTAGCTTGTTATGTATACCGATATCAACATCTTCACATACCTTTTCCTGCCCAGTAGACCGCGTTTTAAATAAGCCTGGTGCCCCTGATTTGGAGCAAATCTAGAGTGAATGTCAGACTCTTAGACATCTCGACCTCACCAAGGGACTTTACAAACATACCCGCCTACACATGTGTACACTCTACTTGGAGTAGAGCACTATTTGATAGTGGAGGTTTTAGTGCATTATTTGCTTTTTAAATAATACCACTCCATATAAGAATTGCAGTTACAGATATGTAGATGAGAAAGGAAGTAATCATGAAACAACATCAGATAATCCTCGATTATGTCAAATAACCCTTTTTTTTTGGTTTGAAGAAATGATACCATTTGAGATCAATAGTTGGCTATAGTCAATAGTTAGAGACCTCTAACTATACTCATAAGACTATTGTCGCTAGATTAGAAAACTATGGTCTCTAGAATGAAAAACTATGGTCTGCAGATTGAAAAACTATCATCTCTGTAAGTTGAAAAACTATCATCTCTAGAATGAAAAACTATCGTCTTTGGATTGAAAAACCACCACTTCCAAAATTAAGAAAACCACTGCCTTTGGATTGAAAAACTATTTTCAGATTTTCCTTACAATCTGTGATACCTTGCGTAGACCAAAAAATAAATTGGTCGCTCGAGCAGCTCTGAAATTTAAAAATTATCACATCTGGGATGAAAAACTATCCACTCCTAAATTTATTTCTTTCGCTTCCAAAATTTAAAAACACCACTTCCTTTCCTTTTAACAGTGCAAAATCCTGTCCTCCAAAGGACGACAAGCAATTCATGATGCCATCATCGACCGAATTACCACCACAACACTTTGCAGCACAGCAGCAGCAACCACAACAACAACCATTGACTCCTCCATTGCAAATGAAACAAGAGTATCTACCTACCAGCATGACACCTCCTCCTACACTTGCAGGCCTACATCATCTCAACAACAACGCGTCTACGCCTACGCTCCCAAGCATGCATTCGACATCGCCCGTGTCGCCTCGAACAGCAACAACACCCTCGCCGGGCAGTTCACGTAGCTCAGCGTCGGTCGTCAACCTCTCCGTAGGCGACCAACTGCTCGACCATTCGCATCTGAAGCCTGGCAACCATGCATCGCTCTTGTCGTATGCGCAAACAATCAACATGTATCGCGAGAATGCGAAAAAGACAAACAGTCCGAGCGTCCAGTGTGATTTTGCCATCTTCATGGTCGAAGCGGCTAAGCCATTGACTGGACCTGAGGAGGAAACGACGCGTTGGGAATACTTGAGCGAGGCAGAAAAGTTGTTGAAACAATTATCGTCGCGTGGACATGCCGAGTCGCAGTATTATCTCGGAAATCTGTATGCTTCTGGATTGTTGAACAAGAAGAACAACAACAAGATTGACTTTGATAAGGCGTTTCCTTTGTTCGTCCAGGCAACGAAACATCATCATGCTGATGCTGCATACAGGTTCGTTTCTCTCTCTCTCTCTGTCTCTCCTCATTGTTTTAAAATGCTGGATGGTTGAGGAATGGAAAACACTGAGGAGGATAGATATATACCCCAAGTCTCTGAAGTTTCGATAATTAGGGCAGCAAAGTGCTACGAAGATGGACTTGGGTGTCGCAAGGATAGACCCAAAGCCGTTCAGTTTTACAGGTAATTTAATTGTCCCCCTCCCCCGCCATCCGTACTCCCCTTTGGACCACGTTGTAATTCCTCCCATTATATCATCCAATGGGGATGACGGGTTGGATGAGTCGCGGATATATGATGGTTGGTTGATCATTGTGGTCCGTCGGAGGAGGAGAAAGGAGGTTGAAGTGTGTGGGACGGAGAAAAAAAGATTTACGACAAATGGAACTAAAACGGTGCATTTGCCATTTATAGAAAGGCGGCTACACAAAGCCATCCAGCGGCCATGTACCGTCTGGGCATAGCAGAGTTAAATGGCGAATTGGGTATTTCGAAAAACGCACGGGACGGGGTGAAATGGCTGAAACGGGCATCTGAGGCGGCGACCAGTGAATATCCGCACGCAGTCCACGAGCTGGGTGTGCTGCATGAGAAGGGCATTGACAATGTCGTGTTTGTTGACCTGGAGTATGCTGCTTCATTGTATGCACAAGCGGCCGAGTTGGGTTATGCACCTTCGGCGTTTCGACTGGGCGAGTGCTACGAATATGGCAAACTCAAGTGTGCCCAAGACCCCGCCTTGTCGATCCACTACTATACAATTGCTGCTCAGCAAGGGCACCGCGACGCTTGCTTTGCCCTCACCGCATGGTATCTCGTCGGCTCGCCCGGGATTTTGCCTCAGTCAGACGAGCAGGCGTATGTGTGGGCGCGGCGTGCGGCTGAAAAGGAATTTCCCAAGGCTGAATATGCGGTGGGTTATTTCACCGAGGTCGGAATCGGCACCGTCAAAAACGCTCAAGAAGCCATGGAGTGGTACAAGAAGGCAGCGGAACACGGGGATAAACGGGCAATCCAGCGACTTCAAGGCAAGGTCCAAGGCGGTAAATCGAATAAAAAGAAGAACGGTGACGACTGTGCCATCATGTAGAACAGATCCTCCAAGCTCCTTCAGACACCAGCACCCCACAACGCATCAAACAGGCTACTCGGTTTCCCAACTCAAATACACATTGAATACACGACACACTTCATCTTGCTATCTAATCCACACTTCATTGCAATCTGACGACACCGACGACGACGTCTTTACCATGCACAATAACTTATATATATTAATATTATACATACTCTATTTACAGCAGCACATGACTTTCTCGGCGCCCTCTTCTCTATCATCATCACACCGTACATTTATTACACATCTATTCTGCTCCTCCTCCACGATCCAGCACACGTTTCTTTTATACATTGCATCACTATTTGGCAAAAGAATACCATTTTTTTCACATTATATATTGGAAAAACATTCACACACAGAAAAAAAAACACATGCAAAGAAAGCGTGGTTTTCGCATTCAGCTTTACATGTTTCCAATGCAAGTTCGCATAGCGGCAAAATATCAATATGTTCACGGGCAAAAGAACATCCGGCTTCTATTCGTTTTCAAAACCACCGCCACCACCACCCGGAGCAATCGACACACATCATGTAGCACCACATGTATTGGAGCGCAAATCCATTAGTGCACCATGTCTTACTCTGATGACCCGTGATCAACAGATATGCTGTGGCTAATACGGACTTTGTATGAACCTTCTACTGTTAATTTGACGGGTTAAATATAAAAAAATATTAATTATAAATATTTGCCTAGAAATACACACAACGCATAGTAACACCAAAAACAACAACAGGAACAAGAGGGATAACGAATGCAAGAGTGTCGTGACCGTGAGCTGCTGATGCGCAGATCTTTTGAAATTTTTAAACCTGATAAAGTTCAAGGAGTATATGGAAGAAGAAGAAGAAGAGGCAAACCTTTAATGTTTTGAGATGTAAATATGCAATTAATCATTTTACGTTTTTCCGAATAATTGGATGATCAATCTAGTTGCTCAAATGATCAAAAGGTCTTGTTTGCTTATTGGTACGATAGGCTTCTTCCTCTTGCTGTATATACATCGGGGTTCTAGATCGGGTGTGGTCCATAATTAGAAATGCTCATGCGGATTATTGCAACAACAAGAAGTATAGTGCGGTTTGTTTGTAGGACAAGGTCGCACTGTTTGTACACAGGCACAAGCTTGGGGAAGGTTGGGAAAAGTCAATGCCGTTTGTTGTTTATATGATCAAGTCTACATTCTATGTTATACTTGTCACTGAATGACGGGCAAATTACTAGTAGTAAAACTAGGTACTGAGTTCGGTTTGATTAGCTCTGATTGGGGGCCCGGTGGTTCCGATAATACCTCAACAGTTGTCTGACTTGGGAGCGGCATTGAGTCACGTATATGCATCGACTTTACGACTTTTTTGATGTGGGTCGATAAACAACAACAACGGGATGCCGTATAATCTTACTCGTGATCTTTCCCTCTTCCCAGTAGTCTCGACCGCACTCTAAGATTGAAAGATCTAGAACAACAGTTGTCTTGTGTTTCTATAGAGAACAAAGCGGATGGGTATGATAAATTATAGCCTTTTTCTCTTTGGGCCAAATTCATATACTTTCCGCTGACCTCCAAAATTAGTCCTTCCGACCCGTCCGCAATACAGCATATGCCCAGGCAGGAGGAGTATATCTTGCGAAATTTGTCATGTTGAATTGCATCTGCATGGTGGAGAGGACGTATAGCTTTTTGGGTATCCACGGGTAGTAAGCATCATTAGGGTGATCCCAGTGTAGTGGGTCAACGCTGGCTCGCTCGACCCGATCATTGGTTGCAATTATTTATATGGATGTGTCCCCGTTCAAAGAAAGGAAATTAAAGGTGCTGCCTCTTTGTTTATGTGATTGGGGTTTCATTGTACCCTACTTGGCTGGCTGGCTAGCTAGCCTTCTTGAAGTGCTCTTGTGCAGCAACAGTCGGTCAATAATGACAACAACCGTAGCAGCAGGACGAAACAATGCAGGCAATGTGTGTGGAAAACACTAGCAGCAACAACAACAACAAACAGTTCAACAGTGAGAGCCGATCCGTTTGCCTTTCCAACTCGACCAAGTCGTCCATTTATCCTTTGTGCTTGATTTGGAAAAGGGGTGTGGGTGAAGGGAGGGGTGGCTATACTTTTTTGCACTGTTAGTACAGGATTTCGGAGAAACAAGCCATCAATCATCACTTTGCTCTCTCTCGTTCTCTTCTCTTTGCTTTCCTTTCTTTTTCTCTCTCTCTTCTCTCTCTCTTTCTCTTCTTCCTTGTCCTTCTTCTTTTTCCTTTTCTTCTTTTACTATCAAAGCAAGCAGACAAAGAAACACAACACAACACACGGCAAATGAATAAGGAAGCCTTTGTCACCCAACTCAGCTTTCATTTCTCCCCGGCATCTGCGCACATCCTCCCACTCCAGGACATACGGCAGCGGCTACGCGGTATATGGGACTCGCTGACATGGCCCGTGATAAAACGTATTCTCAAGGCTGATCTGGCCGTTACACTTATCTTTGCGCTGCTGTTTGTGGAACCGGTGCGACAATACACCGAATATGGACTCATCCTGGCCCAGGTGGCTGTGGAATTCATCCATCCTGCCAAATCCTATGGTTCCGTTGGCGAGGTATAGAAATTAAAAAGAAAATCACTCTCCTACTCTCGTGCTCTCGTTTTTCCCCTTTCTTTCAACAAAACCATCGTCCCTGGAAGAGAACGAGACTCCTACACAAATGACAACCAACCAACCAACCAACCAACCCCTGGAATCTTGGATGATGGAAGATAATAATTGGTTTTTTGGTTAATCCCAACGTCTCTCTTTACTGGACCTTTTATTTCAAGATAGGATATCGTGTTTGGATCCATCATGTGCAGTGTCTCTGCAGCATGGTCGCTGCTCGGTACCTACTGTGCCTCGCTCCTCCGTGATCCATCGAATCCAGAAATGGCACAGCCCAGAGTCGCAGGCGTGCTTGTTGCTTTCTTGCTGGTCGGCGCATTCGTTCTAAACTATTGTCGTGTCAAAATCGACCAATGCAATGTGGGAGGTAAGACCCCAAAAAGCTTTCAAATAACGTTATTTTATTTTTCTGTGTTTCCTGTGTGGTCCCTGAAACTATGTCGATCTTTCGCACTATTCCACGCATATTTACACTCATCCCACCTCACCCCCCCCCCCCACATATATAAAATGGCGCTCCTATTTCTACTATTTCTGCTTTCTATAATTACTTGTTTAATATTTCATCCTCGATCAGCGGTCCGTCCGTCGTTGAGAATAATGCAGAAACCAACACGTTTACCATTGTTTTTGTGAGTTTAGGAATGCTGTCTGCCACAATCCTAGTCATCAGCCTCACAACAGCTATCGTTGATCGCCAGTGGCAACCATGGCATGTGGCAAGTGTCTATATCCATAAGACGACGATACTAGAGAAACAGGGATCTTGCATAATGTAAACTCACCCGTGACACATTTTGGTTATTGTAGCTGCAGAATTTCTTTTCGATCCTGAGCGGACTCGTGATAGTATTCATCATCTGCATTGTCGTGTGGCCAGAAAATAGCACCAAAATTTATGTGCAGCAATTAGTCAAAACCTTAGAGACGTTCGACAGCATAGCGCAGCGCCAAGTCGACGGCTTCCTGCATATCAACGCAACGCCTCGGGAACAATACATTTACCCATCTCGCAGCAGCCATTCAGCTCCCCCAGAACCGCTTGCAGCCGTGCATCGCTCCATCGATCAGCACTTGCTCTCTCTCGTCCAGATCAAACGTGTCGTCCGTCGCGAAGCCTCGTTCAACTACATGGCTCCACGCGACGTCAGCGACATGACCCGCTTGGTGAAAAAGATGCGTGTCCCGCTGCAGGGTGTCAGCATGAGTCGGACGATGGAGGAGAATATGCGCAAGGCGCAGACGCGTCGACATATTGCCAATCGTCTCAAGAAATTTGCTGCACAAGACAATTTAGATCCGATCAAGACCCCGCAGCAGGAACGCATGAGTTATAGCGGCCAGAGTTTCACCACGATGGGCAGCGACAACGCCGCAAATGACTCGGGGGATGAAGGACCCTGTTGGGACAACAATGGCAGTTGTGATAGTAGCAGTAGCAGCAGCAGCAGCAGTGATAGCTCCGACGACGACGATGATCATGATGATGATCATGACGCTGATTATGACGAGAAAAAAGACCATGCTCCTGCAGCACAGAGATCAGGAAGGACGACGACGAGTAGTGATATGCCCGGTCGGCCCTCAACATCGACAGCTGCAACGCTTCACAATGGTACCATCAACGGCGGTGACGGTGTCCGGAAATACAGCGAGGATGGCGGGATTGCAGGGAGTGGTATCGACATCGACAGCGGAAACAACACGCCCGACCACCAGCACATCACCATCAGCGTACCCGAAGACGAGGCGACATTTACAGGGAGCACATGGCGACGCGAATACGACGATGTCATCAAGACGGTCCGACCCATCTACAGCGAACTATCACAGGCATGTTCCACCGCCATCCATGAATCAACACAACGCCTATACCGAATGCAGCACATTGATCCACGATACCAAAACAAGCCGTTTCTGTACCGCCTTTTCGCATGCGACAAGACCACGCCCGGTTCCGTCAGCGACATGGACCCGTCCGTGCCATTAATACGAGCAATCCAGAAATTCGATGCGCACCGTCTACGAGGACTCGAGCGTCTATACCACAACAACAACGGCCACGGTGAGCAACAACCCATCCCACGTCGCATTCTGTTCTTGCTGCTCCATTTCCAATTCAATCTGCGCGGCTATGCCGAACGCGTCTACACACTCTCATCGCTTATTTATGAGATGGATCAGGCGCGCAAGCGACGACGCATGTGGCTTCCGCATCTTTCCGTGCGAAAATGGTTCAGACACCGGAATTCAGAGGCAGATGTTGGACTCGATCCACCCGCTGCGGTTGTTGCCGAGAACAATCTCCATCATCCATCCGTGGCAGGCGGGTTACAACGCTCGTTATCGCGACGCACAACGACGATTTTGAATACAATGACGATTGATGCGCTGGTGGCTGAACAGGAGCAGCAGCACGAGGCTGACGTCGAAGAAGAACGCGCGGGCCATTTGGCCATACCGGTGCGTGGCAAGTTGTCGCATTCGAAACGAAAACGAAAGAGCTCGGCAGCCGCAGCGGTGGCGACCATGGCTGCGCTGGATAATCAGGCACTCGATCCGGCCATGTACCACGATCCCGATGTGGCCTACCCGACAACACGTATCCAGCGTACGTTTTTCAAATGGTGGATGTTTTATAAGAATTTCATCTGCTCTGCCGATACGGTCTTTGCTTTGCGTGCTTGTATTGTCGTCATGGCATTGACACTGCCGGGCTTTGTCGAAGAGTCCATCGACTGGTATCTACGAGCACGTGGCCAATGGGCTGCTGTCGTTGCGCTCGTTTGGATGGGGCCCTCTGTTGGCAGTAACTTTTTCGGGTAAGGCAGTATTTGTTTTGTATCTCTCACGTGAGGCAACAAAAAGAAGGGAACTTTGACCGTTTTTTCTTTTCTTCTCGGTGGGTCGGGCAGGTTGATGGTTCGCACCGTAGGCACATTTGTAGGCGCCATCTGTTCACTCTTGATCTGGGAGATCAGTCAAACCAACCGTGCTGCCATGATCATTTTGGTCTTTCTATTCAATTTGCCCTGGTGGCTGATTTATCTGAATGGCAAGTTTTGGAAGGCTACGGGCCTCTTTTCCCTCATCACAACGTCTATCAGTAAGTTTTAACTCGGTCGCAGGGTGGTGGTACCACCACTGTGTGTGTGTGTTACAGGACAACAAATATTTCTGTGTGGACTGACCTTTTTTTGTATGCTTATATTAAAGTTGTCGGTTACGCACACAACTACAGGATGTCAGGCCGTGACATTTCTGTGTTTGAAGTCACTTATGAGGTAATGTAACAATGCATTTTGCATGACTGGCATTGCATACACCTGCTTTCCAACTCCCTTGTCTTTGTTTTACGCCGCATCTGTTGGGGGGGGAGTTGGTTGATGGCGGGGAAATACTACCTTGAGCTATACAGCAGCATTGGCTAACCAACAACTTATTGTAATACAGAGAACCGTTGCTGTGCTTGCTGGAGTAGTTGCGGCACTGGTAATCAGTATATTCCCATATCCTCGTACAGGCCGAGTCGAACTACGACATCGAATCTCTCGAACACTCGGCGACGCCGCTGCACTCTACTCCTCCTTCCTTGCGCTACTGCTCAAGAACGGCTACCACGAAACCGAAATCCGCATGAGCAACCGCAAAGTGTTTCGCACGGTCGCTGCTGAAATACGCAAACAGATCAAAGGCCAGCGTGTTCTGCTCGAACAAAGTCGGTTTGAACCTGCGTTGCGAGGGGTTTTCCAAGAACACAAGTATATCCAAATCTTACAAGTACTCGATAACTTGGTCAACTTGATGATTGAGATGGAAAATGCTTTGGAACGGATCCATGAAAGCTGGCGTATCGAATTGGTGCGCGATACGTGGAAAGAACGAAAGAATGCAGTAAGTTCAAAAAAAAAAGAAGAAAGCTGTCTTTTATCTTCCACATACACACACTCTCTTTGTTGTTTCTACAAGTGATGAGATGGAATGTATTCGTATACTGATGATGTGCTCGGGTTGGTTTGATTTGATTAGATCGCATCTTTTTTGACGGCACTCTACGTAGGAGCCAATGCTCTCAGTAACAAGACGCCATTGCCGCCGTATGTGCTACGACCGACGCGGGCACGTCGTATATTGACAAACAAGGCACGCCTGATACCCAATCTACTGCCTGAACGGCTGGCAGATCCAGAATATACCTACTACAGTGCTTATTTGATGTGTTCCGAACAACTGGCTGTTGAAATCGAATTACTAATATCTACAATTCGTGATCTTGTAGGACCTGACAGTGTCAGTGTCTGGCTTGATTATCGCCATTAAAAAAAAAGGCATCCATTCTTACTCTTTTCTAAAATGTGTATAGTTTTCAATCATATATCCGTTCACCCTTATATTCATCCATCACCACTATCATCTTACTTCATCATTGTTCATCTGTCATCATTTTCTCTCTCAAATAAAATAAATAAATAAATGAAGCATGTCAAAATAGCTATAATAAAATCGAGATATAGTATAGTATAATATAATATGAATATAATAGAAACATACAAGAAAGAAAAAAAAGACAAAAAGGAATGGTGGGAAGGATGTTGATACAGAATATAAAAAAAGCGTAAGTAATATACGAGATTATAATGAAAGTGACATGTATATAAGTTGATGTGAGCGTGTGAGTGCGTGTGTATAAGGTTAAAAGGGGAAATTGTGTTGTTTGAGCAAAAAGTTATCTTCCTTTTTTTTTGAGTATCTGTGTTTCCAGCCAGTAGTGTATTTTATATAATATGTACAAATATTATAAGTTTAGTAGTATGCGGATGTACTTGGCTGCGAATGGTTTCGAGCAACGGATGATGATAACATATAAGGATGATGATGCGGCGGTGGTGGCGGCGGAGGTGGTGCTGCGTACGACTGTGGCGAAGGTGGTGGGCCTGTAGAAGAGCTCGGGGTATGCTGTGTTGGAGTAGGCGGTCCGTTATTCATCATCATACCGTTGGGCGCCATGGGTGGTGGGGGTGGCGGTGCGTGCATCGTTGGGCTAAAATGCTGTGGGTAGCTTGAGTAATAGCCATAGTCACCAGGCATCATGGCTGGAGGTGTATAAGGGGGTCTTTGGAAAGCAAAGCGATCGTCGTGATGTTGTGGGGGTGGCGGCAATGCGATTTGCTGTGAACAAGATGTCGGAGGCGTGGTACCATCGGTGGTCATGGGCGGCGATGATATCGATGAAGAAGACGGTGGCGGCAGTGGATGATGATGAGGATGCTGGTTATGATGCGGTGGTGGAGGTGGTAGAGCAGCATGGTGATGATGATGAGGATTATGGTGTGGCGGAGGGGGTGGCGGCACTACTGCTCCCGAAGCAGGCGCAGTGACGACCGTACGTTCTTGCTGACTATCGGTATAATGACCAGGACTACGACCACGCACGACCAGTGGAGCAGACTGACACGAAGCGATCCGGATCTGTTCGCCATGATCCGTCTCTGCAAACAAGTCCGTGACACAAATGTAGTATTGCTGTGCTGCTCTTCGCTTGCCATTGTTGGCTGTGGCCGTCTTGAACTGGATACGCTCGAAAGTGACAATGTTCTGGTTGGTACCGACTGCACTCATGCTGAGATTACCGCCTGCCGTGATCGGTTTGGGCTGTGGCGTCATCTGTGGGCCCTTATCTCGTTTGGGCGTGTGCTGCACCAACTCGATCCGTTTGTCATTGTTTGATACGCGCGCCCCAATGCCGAGCAAGAATCTTCGCACAGGATAAAACGCATTGCCGTCCTCGCTTCGCACCAGACACTGCGGTTCGTGGTCGGCGTAATAGTGGTTCATTCCATGTATAGAAAACGCACTGCTGACTTGGAAATAGTTGCGTCGATAGCACGTCCAGTCATTATCCGCCAGAAAGAATCCTCTGTCCATCTTGGATTGAATGCGGATACTCAATCTATTCATCATTACAATCAGATAAGCCAAGTTCCAAACCTCATATACACTTTCTATCTCTCTCTCTCTCTCTCATTCTTGTGCCCCGCTCCGATTCTCTTTACTTACAAGTTGGTTCGGTCCACACCAAATAGGTTATCGAATGTCTTTGTTGAGCTGAAAAAGGGGCCCGATTCTTGGGTGAACAACGAATCGCTGCGTCCGCGTTTTCGAGGAATGACACCGGCCGACATATAAGGCGAAGAAGTATGGAAGGACGGGGTGGAATAGGCAGCCACAGCAGCAGCGGCAGCGGCAGCGGCGGCGGCGCTACTGGCAGGATGATTCGAATTCCGGGTCGGTGATGATGCAGGCTCTGTGGTTGCTGCTGGGCTTGGGCGGGGAGTGCTGGGTTGAGAAACGGCCATCATTCTAAAATACGAACATATTGGATATTGTGTGAGTGTCAAAATTCATAGAATACACATGGGAGATCAGCTTAACAAATTGCGAGTTATTATTACCCTGGTAAGCGAGGGTCCGAATCTGGCTTGACGTAGCTACTATCCGTTGGCGATGTAGGCTGATGGTGATGAGGGTGGTGATGGTGGTGCGAAGATGGTGGTGGTAGTGGTGCCTGGGACCTGAGTAAAACAGAAACGAACAAGAAGTCCAAGATAAGCAACTGAAGCTTTCGATTTTTCATTCTCTTTCCCCAGTGATGATGTCTCCAGTGTTGTCTCCAGTGATGGGGGTAGGAATGCCATCACAAAAAAGGCGCGCGCTTGTGTGTCTGGGTGATGTGTGTACACACAAATGAGGGGCAGAAATTTTATTGTGTAAGGAAATATCTGTGTTTTGTTGTGATGGTGATATGGGTGGTAATGGTGGTGGTACCTTGTTGCACCAAAACACAAGAGTATGATGACCACACGCATAATTGACAGCATAAAGCAACGGACGGCGAGTGACCCTCCTCCTCCCTCCATCCCTTCTCAAGAAGAAATAATCATACTTACATTGGCAGAGGATTTCCTTGAGAAAACGACGGCGGATAGGCAGCATGATCCATGGGCGAATAATGCGGAACTGGAGGATGCATAGGACTTTCTGCGACAGAGGGACTCGGTAATGCATTTGGAGGCATTTGCCACTCTTTTGTTTCATGCACCGAGTTCATCACAACACAACACTATCACACGTTAATAAGAATAAGAAAAAAGATAAGGGGGTGAAAAATGAAGAGAGACAAAAAAAAAAAAGGGTGGAGTGCAAAGCGAGCGAGAGAGAGAGAGAGAGAGAGAGCGAGCGCGAGAGGAAACGAAAAAAAAAAGGTTGAAACGTTTTAAAAAAAAAAGATAGATTTCAAGAGAGAGGGAGGAAATATAACTAGCGCGGACTTTACTTGCTGCTTTTCCCTCTACTCTTGTTAAATAATTTGATGATGATAAAAAAAAACAAGGTTATTGGGGGGTGGGCAGAGTGGATGAGGGATCTCTGGGATGTGATGGGATAGACACACGCTTCCAACAAGTAACAACGGGGGAAAATAATTGCCCCGGAAATGTGCAGCCAATCACCACTTAAGAGTTGCTATGGCTACATGGTGGGCAAGTGAGAAAGATGGGATACATCTTGAATGGGTAACCCATAACAACGACCCATTCTTACTCGTCGGGAAATAAATTGACGTGCTATTAAGGTTGGGAAACAGTTTGTTATGTATTAGTAGTTAGATAGTATCAGGGGAGAGAGATTGTTGGAATGGGGGATGCCCATCCCTCTCAAATCTGGGAGTCTGCCATATTCGCCTTTCACTTTATTGCACCCAAAATTTGTATATGACCCATGCCTACTGCTGTTGTAGTTGTTGAAGGGTTACTTTTGGGAAAGCATGTATTATTTGTTTGACTCGGTAAAGACGACGCATGATCGTTTTCGGAAAGATCGGCGTCCACAGTTGCTTGTTGCTTTCTCTTTCTCTCTCTCTATCTTTTCTTTTTCAAATAACAAACAGAATAACAACAACAAACATGTCCAACATGGATGGGACAAAGTATACAAAAGGGTACCCATAATGGTAAAGAGTCCTTATTTACTCGGGACAAGGACCGGCAGGTACTTTTTCATAAATGTGTGTGAAACCTGGGCTTCGTTTTTTTCCTTTGTTGCTTAGGTACAAGTGATTCTCTTTTTCCTTTCAAAAAATGGTAAACCGGGGGAGCACATTCTCTGTTTTTTTTTTTCAAAGTCAAATGTGTTTGTTTCCATGGCTCGTCTGTTGTTGTTCTTCGTTGGTCCATGTAATAATTATATATTTAGGACAAAAATCCAATCTAACCTGTTTCAACCCATCCGGAAAGCAAAAAAATCCGCTTTCATTTAATTTTCCCAAGAGTCACTTTCTCCGGGGGACGCCCTTTCTTATTTATCCTTTAGCCAATCACTTTTTATTGGTTTTTTTAAATCTCAGCACCCAAATCAAAGTAAGGTAATAACAGCCGTATAAAGAAAACCGCAACCCCAAGCAAAAAAAAAAAAACAGCAACACATCTGGTCAAAAAAAAAAAAAAAAAGAAGAGAGAGAGAAAGACTGTCCAACAATTTCTGAAAAGTATGTTTCTGCTTTTTGCTGTCTGTGCACTTCTCAAACTCGTACAGAGACCCCCTTTGTGTCTGTCTATAATAGTATCATACACGGAGTAAGTGGTTGCCCCTGTGGTAATAATTCACCATGACAGAGTGATCATCGCCATGGCAAAACAAAAAAAAATGGTGGTGGTCACCATGACAACAAGGAAAGTTTTGTTGTCACGGTTACCCGAGAAAAGATAAAATACAACTCGTCATGGCAACAACAACAACCTAGTATATAATCGTGTATCTTGACTCGGGACTCTCTCTCTCTCTTTCTCATCTTTTTTGCTCAATTCTTTTCAGTTTTCACGTTCGCTCGGCTCACTCTAATCCTCTCTCTCTCTCTCTCTCTCTCTCATATGCTATGTAATAACGTGCGGCTAAGCACCGCCTTATACAAACTTGGGGGGGAGGGGGACCAGCGCGGAACAACAGTGCTGTAAACCCTTCTTTTCTCAACTCTCTAAGAGAAGATAATATCATATTAGCCTATCAAAATTACTCCCTTTTCGTTTCGCACACCTGCTCTCAAAAAAAAAATCCCGTGCTTGCTTTTTTACCCTTTTATTTGCGCGGGAAACAAAACAAACAACAGTGGTGTGGCGGGAGCGCCGAAAGAAAAAGCAACAACAGAAAACATCAAAAAATGCGAGCTAAAAACATTGCATGCATATAATTACATAAATGTCGGGAATGCATGTCTGTAAAAATACAAAAAGAACTGATTGATGTTCTTGATTTATAATGGAATCTGGGGGGTAATTTATGTGTGTGTTTGAGTAGATATCTCAATAACCTTTTCCCTTAGGTCCGCAACACCTCAATTCCCAAAATGCTTATGTAGATAATAGCAGCAAAGTGCAGCCCTCGTTTTTTCCATCCACTCCTAAGCTCCGATTCTAGATGATCACGTTTCTGTCAAGAGATGAGAACTCTCTTATTGCCTTGAACTTCTCAGATCATTTGTGTTTTTAAGCGCTGGGTCGATTCATCGCAAAAGGGAAAAGAAACAATTGAAAAAAAGAGGACCAGATCCTCCATAAAGTGCAGGGCAGGCCGAGAGAAAGACTGATCAGTTCTCTCCCTACCAATCGTAAACTGACAATCTTCATTCCAGCCCGACTCGAGACGCAGTTGCACAGAACACAATACTATTTGATCCATTGACAGCTCCCTCATTCTCCCTCTATTTTTATTTCGCTAGAATGGATAGAACACAAGAAACCAGAGGTGGTGAAGGGTATGGATTAATTATTATTATTTTTTATTTTCTTTGTCGTTGCTGTTGTTATCGTTTTTCTCTCTCTTTCTCTAAAATATATATATATATATATACGAAATCAGCTGTGACTGGGGATAAAGCTTTATGTATAATGCATATATTACACGCGCGTACGCGACTCTCGCGGCATAAACTAAGTTAATCAACAACATAAAATGGATTGTTCAGATCAAATGCTTACCAAGAGAGAAAGAGGAGATCACAAACAAAAATATCACAAAAAGGACTTACCCTAGAGATAGCTGGATGGCTCAAGATGGGACCAATGATAGGCAATCGTCGCATAAAACCAAATACAACGGGGAAGAAATCACTATAAATCAAAAAATGTTATTAAACCTGCTGTCTCTTTCTTCCCTGGTGCGAATGTATGTCCATTATCTTTTCCTTACCCAAACAAATTGAGGAAACCAAACACTTCCAATACAAAGCCAAACACGGGGAATTTACTCAACACCAAGAATATGCCTCCAAGAAAACATATTGTTCCCCGTATCTTTTCCCGTCTTGTGAAGAAAACCAATGTGCTTTTCGGGCCTATGATCGCTCCAATACCAAACAAAAACAGAACCTATGGTGATCCTTGTTAACTCTCTTGTTTCTTATTACCAGGTAGTAACTACCCCATTATCGTCTTCCGCCTTAAAGAACTCCTTCTCTCTCTCTATTTTTTTTTCCTGTTATATATTCTTATAGTCCTTACGTTGCCGATCGCCATCAATCCTGCATCAAACAATAGCAAAACACCAAGCGCCATGAAAAACACGCCAAATGCCGTCAGTCCGACACCGATCTCTAATATAAAATATATATTCGCATAGACAAACACACACAAGAGGAGAAAAAGCAGAAACCGGAAAGATTGTCAACAACAAAGGAATTTAATGGCGGTAATGTACTATACTGTACTGTTCGTTCAATTACTTTGTAAATCGCTCAACCACATTGGTTCTGATATGGATATTTTATATGCGAGGAAAGAAGGTGCAACGTGGCGATAGCCACCCCGCTGGTTGCTATTCGGAATATGAATCAAGTACATCCGGATGCTAGCAAATTCATGATCATCCGCCCTCCTTATTTTCGCTATATCATGGATGATCCATCCACACAATGTCCAAGATCCGGGTGAGTTAGACAGTAGCGTATATTGGGCCAAGATGCGATGTTTTTGTGGCATCATCAAGATGAGGTTAAAACAGATTGTACATCTCATTATGTAAGAAAAACGTTTGTGGTTGGGTACAGAACACACATTGTGTAAAAGCATATAGCAGACAAGAAAGCATAACATGATGTGAGGATTGTCTTTTCTTTTTTTTACAATAACAATTTACAAAAATAATAATAAAAACAAAAAATGCAAATATGATATCTATTATACTTTTTCACTCTTCTTTGCTTATGCAGCAGCTTCATCTAAAACCATCTTCTTTTGACCAAGCAACGAAGTATAAAGTTCTTCTGTCATTTCATTGTGCCAAGTACCAGCTGGAATAGGTGCCATGAAGTTTTGCAGTTTCTCATGAACATTGAATCTACGGTATGTTGAATTGAGTAAACATGGACGACGACAGGGCCAACACATCTGTTTTTTAATTGAAGGGGGAAGGGGGGCTGCTGAAGGAAATAGAACTTTTTTAATTACTTACCGTAATTTACGGCCCTTGCTAGCCTTGCGATCCACAGCACGCTTCTTCTTTTTCGATTCAGCCGCTTTCCGTGCTGCCCATCGCATACCCTGAGCAATCGGATCATCCGTATCAACCATACGTGCTTCAATCAATTCACGCAGCAACTGTTGGTAAAAATCATTATCGTCGAAAATCTCCACATCGTAATTGTTCAAATGACGGTCTGCTTTGCGTGATTCGCGTGTGCTTTCTTGATCATTCGGGGATAGCTCAGGTGCCTCTTGAATCTAGAACACACCAGAAAAAAGCAAACAGATATAAATATACATACATACATACACATTGTGTAATCTTTCACAAGAAGGAGGGGGGACGACAATCCTGCCCCTAAAAATAAATAAAAATGACTAACCTTCTTCCCGAGGACCCGGTATTCGGATCGTTGCAACTGTGTCCGTCGCACAAGATTCTCTTTATCTGACATAATGTTGCTCACTTGTGTCATGATGTTCTAGAAAAGAGAGAAAGATTTAGTTTAAAGATTTCTTGATCATTCAACTGAAATGGTGGTGATGGTCCTGTGGTGGGAGGAGGAGAGGAAGAAACATCAGGACGTACTTGATCAAAGGCTTTAAACTTTTTGTTCAATCTTGCGCTTGATGCTATTTGAACTTTGTTGCTCCATTTCTCCAAAGTTGAATCACGGAATGGAACAAATCTAGAAATGATAAACGGGTATATCAGTTACTGGACTAGTAAGTATGAAATAGACTACGGATGCATAGTAGAGACCGCCCCTCACGGGGCAGCTGATGTAATTCATAACAACTTACACATCGTTGATTTGTGATATATCCTCCCAGAGCTTGTCAATATATTCGTCATCATCGTCAAGATGTCTCTTCCGCTTGTTCCATGTATGCTCTTCGCCCATTTCCACAGCATCCGTATCACTTAGTAGATTTGTTCGCAGGTCAATCAATTCATCGATCGTCTCCCGCAACTCGTCCTTTGCAGCATCCAGATCAGGCTCAATGCCTTCTTCTTTTGCCAAGTAATCTGGCCAAGTTTCATGCTATAATTATACAAAAGAAACATAAAATTAAGAAACGAGCAAAGATGCAACATTTTTTTTTGGGTGGATAATTTTACCTGAGGTAATTGATTTGCAAGTTCAACAATCTTTTGTGTACGGATGCGACTTTCCAGAAAGTTTTCCCATAATGTCTAGCAATTTGCAACGATAGAAGATTTAGTAAGCGCATTCTTACATCCAGATATATATGTCTACAGTAGTAATCGTAGCATGTAAATGCTACTATTACAACACGTACCAGTTGCTGTCGGACGTGTTGACCTTTTTCAATGTCACTCTGTGCACTTTGTGACATTTTGGATATCATGGTCCTAATTTAACGTGAAGCACAAAAACATTGTTAATATCCACATTTTTACACTTTGTAGAATGCCAAAAAAAGAAGGGTAGCCTTCTGCCCTCGACTCACTTTTCATCCTCTTGCAATTTACGCAATTCGTCGTTGAGCTCGGTATTCTCTTCTTCTATCTCCTCGTCATCACTGTCGTCGTCGTCCTCATCTTCCTCGCTTTCCTCCTCTGAGACATCGTCACCAATTGCTTGTTGCAATTTCTCATCGTCGTCAGATCCACCATGCCACGATTCGAATTCCTCATTCTCGTCACCTTCTTTCAAATCAACCGCAGATTCCTCTTCTTCATCGTCTTGTAGTTCTTCTTCCATATCCTCTTCCTCGTCAGAAGAATATAAATCTTTACGACTCGCGCGTTGTCCAGCATATCGTGGATCGTCTAGTAAAAACTGTTGCTGATTTCGTAACGAACTTTTGCCGACTTTGACATAATGTTCTCGAGCATCGTTATCGTCGTCGTCGTCGTCACCACCATCAGCACTGTCAATGTTTTCATGAACTGGCCCTGTAATGTCCTCGGGATCGTAGTCTTTATGTTCATGTTCATGTTAGATAAAGAAAAGATTGGATTGTTTTCTAAGTAGTTGGAAAAAAAAATAGGAAACTTTGGTAATTTACCATTCTGGACTGTCGTTTCGAGATCGGCGATCTGATCTGCGAGCGATTTCTCTAAGAATTACAAATGCATAGCGTTAGAGTTTGGATTCACTAGTTGAAAAAGATAAAAGGGAGTTACAGACAAATGTCTGCTTACTTGGTGGCATTTATATATAAAAACGAAGAACGGTGCGACGGAAGCAACAAGTGAACCCAAAATAATGCGTTCAAAAACGTAAAATTTTCTGCGGCTTGCTGTGCAACGCCGCCAATTTCCCAATTCGATCGTTTTTCGGTTGGCATGACTACATCATTATTGTCGTCAAGTCAAGAATTGACGGCTGCAAATTACACTAAGCTCCCAGAGTCAAATAAAGCAAACTCAAAAGCACTTTTTAACTACACTCAAGCTTACAGATATAATGAACGTATAATAATATACAGCTTAATCAGAGTCATTATTTTGACATAGACGCATTTGTCTTCTAAAAGACGATGGGAATCAAATATTATGTCAATAGGTTGACATATACTTCTTGTTCTTGCTTATTAGCTCGCACTGTTCTTTATACAGTAATATTTGTTATCAAGATTACAATCAAAACAGAATGCTACTGTGCTATAGCTGTTAGCATATCTCTTTATATCAATTGACAGTATGATATAGATAGTTCTATATAATACGGATAAGTAGCATCCCTATTCTCAGACATCTAACCACTTTTGCAGTAAACTTTCTTTAAAATAATATAGATTTTTTTTCTTTCTCTTGAAACGAGGCAAAGTTATGATATCATATATGGCAATTGCTTTTTTCTACAATCGAACACTTTCAGATATATGTTTTTCATAAATAATGATGTTTCTCGCTCAAAAACCTTGTTGTCTTTTTTCGTAAGATAAATGGTCAACCCTGCATAATTTGTTTGAGCTATGATAGTCGCTGCAATAGGTATGTGGCAATTGTTAGAGCACGTTGAAACATGTAATGATTTCGGATAAATGCTAACAATCCTGGACAGTCTATCATACGACTACCAAAAACACGCATTTTTCTTTTAAGAAATATGACAAGATTTACTAGCATCCTTTGTTAGCCTCTAGAGCACATAAAATATACAAGTAGTGGCTGAAGACGCACAATATCGTTTCTATTGTGCTTTTGGCTCATCACCTTCATACACATTTCTGAGCATATAGCAAGCCCAAGTTATGCCATTCTTCATCTGGGTACAGTATAGGTATCATAGCTACATGTGCTCGTTGTATTATATGTATAGCTCGGGAAGTGCGTGCTCGGCTTGCTATACCTCATAATGATCACACCTTTTCATCACAGCATCATCATCTAGGATTCAATAAGATAATGTCTCTCATACTTATTATACTGAGGCGGACGTGTTTTCAGCGCAAGGTGTTATGATATTTGCTGAAAAGGTGATAATATTTGTGGGATACACAAGTTTCACAACAGGCGAGCTGGTAACTAGTTATTAGAAAACTCTATTTATGAAAATCCATTATTGCCAATAGCCCTGTATAAGAACAACGGCCCCCTCCCCCCCGGGGAGCGCATTCCCCCTTTTCCACGTCCGGCAGCTGAATCATACACTGCCTGACTGGGAGTGACAAGAAATAGACATGCCAAATGAACAACGTCAAATCGTTGGTACCGAGGATTTCCCGCTTTTACTGCTCAAACAGGGACAGGGCTTCATATACGACTGACAAGAAGTTCGAACATAGAAACACAAACCACATACACACACACACACACATACGGCAGCACACATGGTCACTCAGGTGACCATCCCCTGCCTCTAACAAAATCAGCCTAGAACTAGCAGTTAAGAAAAAAACATGAAACGACACTGTATGGAATATATAATTTTTTTTTTGGTTTACGTGTGTGTTGTTGTATGTATGAGATAGCAGTTATTTGGAGGTGTGTTTTTTTTTGTACAATAAAAATGTAGTAGTATTGAAGAAGAAGAAGATAAAAGAGTGTGCTTAAAATCTTGAAAACATGTTGGTGCCAGATGGGGGTATGAAATGCAAAATGAATAGAATCGGAGGGGGAATCGAAGAAGAAAAAAAAAAAAAGAGAAACCATTCCTCTTCTTTTTGTTGTTGCTGTTGTTCCGTTTTTTTTTTTTCACAAATGGAAGTTGATTAGAGAAAAAGAGTGATGAGAGAGAGAGAGACAAAGATAAATTATACGCTCAATATGACTGGACTAGCAGGCGATGTAGGAGCCGGACCAGCCGGAGGCTCGTCGTTTGTAGTAGGTGTAGCTGTGGTGATTGTCGTCTTGACCCGCTTTGCAGAAGCGGTTGCACTACTACTATTACTACTGCTGCAGTCTGGCTCTTCTTCAGAACTACTGCTGGGTCTCTTTGCACTTTGTCGATAATTCCAAAGCAGGATAGCGTTCAAGTCATCGTCCTGCTCGTTGGTCGGAGGAGGTAGTATGGTGTGAGATAACAGTGAATCTTGCTGCGTAGTTGTTGTGGTTAGGGTCGTTGTTGTTGTGGGTATGGAAGAAGCATTTGATGATGGGGGTGAGGGTGAGGATGGGGATGGTGATGGGGATGAGGATGACGAGGAGGATGATGATTGTTGCTGCTGTTGCTGCGGTGGAGTCGCTATGATTTGAGTGAGCAGCAGTCTGTCATCGCCAAGCCAAGACCAATCATATGCGTCTGGAGTCAGCAGGGTGGTAGGGTCTTCTTCGGCGTATCGTGGTAAGGACATCATTGGGTCTTGGTGATAAGAGGTCGTAGGAGTAGTTGTGGCAGTTGTGGTGGGTGTCGTCATAGCAGCAGTCGTAGTAGGAGTAGTTTCCATTTCATAGGCGTCCTGAAGATCTGATTGCCTTTGTTGCTGCTTCACCCAATCCAGTGTTCTGTATCATATCATTTGTTGATGGAGGAGTTCGAGCGTAAGTCGATTACGTATTTTGCGAGAGAAGGGAAAAAAATAGGAGGGTGGGTGGGTGGGTGGGGGGGGAAGAAGGTACAAGAAGTGTTTTGTATGTTGTGTGTGTGTGTATAATACATGGTCCCTCTTTTTCTCTGTTCTTCTTTCTCTTTCTGTCTTCTTTTTTTTTTTCTCGCTATCTCTTTTTTTATTATTATTATTATTTTGCTTATGCATGATGATCGGAAAAGGGGACTTGTGTAAAATAGAAAAAGCTGGACTACTACTATTACAGCGACAGTTGGGGAAATAAAGGAAAGGGAAAAAAAAATCTCAGAAAAGCGAAAAAAAGATGATCATGATGATTACCTTCGTATTAGCACGGTACGGCGCAGTGGCTCTTCCCGCGCTGGCATTTCTGTGGGATTCATTTTTTGCAAGGATGCAGCGGCTAAACGTCGTAGCACGCGGGCTCTGCTGATGGTGTTCGTGGTAGAAGCAGCGGCAGCAGCAGCGGCAGCAACAGTGGTGGGTTTCATGATTTGTTGTTTTTTTTTTTGGTTCAGAAAGAAAAAAAAGGGGAAAGAAGGGAAAAAAGAGTAAAAAAAAGTTGCGCCGTGTGATTACTGGAAAATAATAACCCAGCCCTGTTCTGTCCTGTCCTGTCCTGTCCTGTCGTGCGCGTCCTTTAGGGGAAATGTCTAAAAACAGCAACCAATCGAAATGAACCAATCGTAATTGGCCGTTTGGTGCTGGTGCTGCTTTAGTTACCATGACTACCATGACTACCACTAAAAGAGCAGATGATTTCTGGTGAGACCCGAACGATGCTGAGAAGCCATGGATCTTCCCCCTCCTTTTGTTCTCTTGTTCTTTTTGACAGGCAATCTGCATTCGTATCGGGGGGGCCAAGCGCACGGACCAAGCATTGTACACAAGCGCATATAACACAAAAAGTAACTTTCTTTTCTCTTCTCTTCTTTTGCTTTATATATACTTTTCCGTCGATCCCTTTCTTCAACTCCCCTCCCCCCAGAAAAAAACACACCACAGAGTAACACAAGACGAGCTGCTCTATTTTTCTTTTTGTTACATGCACTACACATTGCAGACTGCTAACGAAATAGCTACCAGTACCACCGCTGTAGTCAGTCCGTTTCTTCTTTTTGACGATGGTACACCGTGGCTGCTAGTAGTGCCGCTATCACCGCTCGCACCACTCTGCTGCTGCTGGTGCTGCTGCTCTGCCGAGGAGGACGAAGAGGAGGAAGAGGAGGAGGACGATCCTTGACGTGTCACGTCTCCTCCCAAACCCTGAGCTGCCGCAAATCCAATCCGGTCACGGCCCATGTCGAACACGAGATAGGTCGATCGGAGCACTGTGTCGCCGACCAAGACAAATCCTTGGTTCCCCAGCTGCGCCGCACTGCCAGTGTCGCTAGGCAACCACGGAGCAATACCAAACATGCACTGCGTGGCTTCATCCAAATCGTCGTCATCGAGCGGGATCACCAGATCACGCATGGGAACACTGATCACCATAGCATCCTTGTCCTTGTTTCTCTGCTTGGAAGCACCAGTGCTGTTTGTCTTCTTTTCCGGGACCAACAATAGCTCCAACCGGCTGGACGACTTGTGGATGCTGCATGGCACGATATACGTTCCCGACGCATTGTCTAACACGACACTCTGGGTTCCGGCTGCAGCTTGCACGATTTGATTGGCAATGGCGTGGTCCATGTACGTCAACGTGGTGCCGGTATCAATGATGAACCCATGCTTTTCGGGAAACACGTGGTCCACCAGGAGACTGCTGTTTTCCTGCTTCAGACGTACTGCTTGACCATGCGTCATCCAGTATGTGTATGGCGCGTCATTCTTATTGTTTTCTTCAAACGGGGCGACAGCAGCATACTCGAGTTGGCCCTCATACTTTGTCTCGTCAATACCTCCCAATAATAGCTCGCCCGCCCAGCCGTCGTCAAACATGGAACCCATGTAGATCGAGAACACTGGTTCAGGAATTAGGCCTTGTTTGACCAAGTTGAACACAAACGGATCGTAGCTGCTATTGTCGTTATTGTCACTGCTTTTGCTTTTACTACTACCGTGCTTCATGGAAGATGTGAGATGCGGGTATCCGAGGCCAAAAATGCCATTGGCTATTTCATCGCGATCGTCAATGTCGCTATCATTGTCGTCATGGTCATTGTCGTCATGGTCGTCGTCGTCGTCATCGTCATCGTAAAGCACATCATGTAGATCTTCAGCGCTTAATCCCGGTGCAACAATGTTGTCCGTTTGCTTTGCCAGTCCAAATATTTGATTCTCGACTTGGAGCTGCCCGATAGAAACAATGTCGCGGGCATAGGATCCATTCGCGTTACCAATACCATAGACGATTTTGAAAGGTTCGCTGATGTTTTTGTACGTGGTTGAGCGAGAGGCATCAAATCTTGCCAGTGGACAAGCTTCGTTTGGACACTCGGTGGATGGTATCCATAAATCCGAGCTAATGTGTGTCGAGAAATAAAATGGGTCAGATCGAATGAACTGTGTGTGTTTGGTTTCTTCTTTTTTTTTTACCTTCCAGTATCCAGTGCAAGAGTGAAATTCTGTGGTGGCGTGCCAATGCCAACACGGATCAGGTATTCAGACGCTTCATCGTTGTAGAGTTTGGTAGTCTCAGTAGTAGCACTGTTGCTGTTTTGTCTTTTTCCAAGGTGTGGGGGCTGCTTGGTAATAGGTAGTCGGATGGTGGTTGCTGCATCTGCAAGAGTGACAGCAAGCAGAAACAAGAATGGATAACGCATTATATCGAAAAGAGGAGCATAAGTTAATATAAAGTAGTAGTAGTGGTAGTAGTACTTTTTTATGTATTATTTAAGCAAGAGCAAGAAAAAGAAAAGCAGGTGGAAGGGAGGGTGGGGTTGGTTGCTATTACATGGGATCGTGGTGGTGGATACAGTATAAATTCAGAGCTGCATGGGTCCTTATTATCCAAGAACAAACGCAAAACGAACATTTTTCATGAGTATATTTACAGCAAGAGTGATAAGATCGTAAAGGAAGATAGAACATAGTATTCGTACACACAGAGAAAGGTTATTGGTCATAAACATATCTAGATTGTCAGCCAATTGTAGACATAAAGAGAAACCAAGGCAGCCAAGAAGTGGATATAGCCGTTGAATGGACTTGAGGCAGATGCAGCAGCGCCAGCGGCATAACCATCTGAGTCACTTGAGCCATCGACACCGTTGACATTACCAGCGACACCCGCTGCCGAAGCAATACCAATACGATTCTGACCCATATCAAAAACAAGATAAGCGCTACGGAGCATCGAGTCGCCCACCAAGAACATGTTGGATCCCAACCCGCCGCCCGAGCTGCCGAGTGGGGCGATGCCAAACATACAAGCCGACGAGGTTTCGGGCGTGTCGCCATCCAATGGAATGACCAGCTCAGAGGCGGGCACGCTGAGTACAACGGGTTGACCAGATCCATTGCTGGACTGAGACATCTTGAGCTGCACCTCAGCCTGCGATTGAGCCACGCTGCAGTCTACAATCATCACACCAGACTGTCGATCGAGCTGGAATCCACTGTCCCCGGCCACAGCAGTGACAACCTGGATAGCCATTTGCGTTGGCATGTATGTGAGTGTCGTGCCGGTGTCAAGGATAAATGCGCCCATCGATTGCAAGTCGTAGTCTTGCGAGCTTCCGTTGGCTGTTTTCACTGAAACGCCTTTACCATACACCATCCAGTAGTAGTAACCCTGGTGCTGCTGTTGTTGGTCCTGGGTTTCTCCACCGTCTAAACCGCCCAAGGGCTGTTGCTGTGTAGTAAGCTGCGCTACGGGCAAGTAGTTGAGCTCGCCCGAGTACTTTGAATTATCAACACCACCAAAGATGATTTCACCCGCCCAACCAGTCTTTGATGCGCTGTTCATGTAGACTGAAAACACGGGATCTTTGATGACGTTCTTTTCGACTAGGTTAAAAACAAATGGATTGTATGTTTGTTCGCCTTGTGTAGTGGCTGCAGTTAACTGTGGATAGCCTAAGCCCAAGATACCGTTTGCAGCGACATTCGTCCGGTTGTTTGGCTTGGCCTCGTCACCACCGCTGCCGCCTACGGTCGTCGGTGTGGTAAGGATATCCTGCGTTGTCTTGGCCAGTCCAAATTGCTGGTCGGGGACGCTGGCGCCTGCTACTGTGACGGTATCTGTGACATACGTGCCGTTGACACTGCCGATGCCGTACTGGATCCCGAAATCTTCGCCGCCGCCTTGGAACGTCGAGGATGCTGATTCTTGGAACCCGCCATAAGGACATTCGCTTTGTGAACATTCGCTTGAAGGTACCCAAAGATCAGCGCTATTTACATAAATATGTAACAAACAAAAAAAAAAGCAAACATGATACTCGCCAAATTAATCACGATATAAAGACTTGCGTATGACATTTTTTGCAAGCAAAAAAAAAAGAAAAGAAGATTATAAACGCAAACACGAGTGATATACATTCACTGACGATTTACCTTCCAGTATCCAATGTTACTGTAAAATTCTGAGGCGGTGTACCAATACCAACCTCGACGAGGTATTGAGAACCTTGATCGTTATACAGTTCCGTCGCATATGTTTTGTCCCGTTTGTTGAGAGCTCGTCCATGCTTTCTTCGCGCAGCTTCCAGTATATCGGTACTGTATGGATTACGGATCAAAGGGAGACGAAGCAGTTGTGGGTCTTGATCTGTCGGAACAGCGGCAACGGTAGTAGTAGTAGTAGCAGCCGTCGTTATGAGCATCAAAGACGAAGTGATCGACAACAACATGGTGAGTAAACAAAGAGAAAGAACGTTAAACAAAGAAAGAACGGATTGTTTGTTTGGTTAAAAGAGGGAAAAAACAAAAAACAAAAACTCAAGTGGAACCTGTTTTTGAAAGAAACAGAAACACCTTTCTTCTTCGACCTCCATATGTATACTTCCGAGACAACAACCCACAAAGAGCTTATTATATGACCATCAAGGGTACACATAACATTTCGTCAACCAGTATCATCATCACTATACTGCTCTTCTTCACCTATCTATCGTTTTAAAAGACCCCGGTTATCTTTGCAATGACGCGGAAATTGATAAACCATCATCGTGATTGTGTTTATAGCAGTTCGAGAGCAGTAATGTGATTGTCTCATCAGGCATTAGAGAACATTTTAGGGTTTTCGCCCCCTTATTCATGTGATGTAGACAATGACGGCATATTGCAGGTTGAGCGAAAACAACTGAGACCCTGTCTATAATTCGCTAGCGTGCCTAAAACACGCGCCTGTTTTGTTGTCTCAGTTGACGAAAACAACAACAATGACATTGATGCATGAGCTCCAAGAAAACAAGATGAATTTGTAATAACGTGCGAGTAGATAATAGCGAGTAGATGAAATAATAGTAGTAATTATAGTAATAGTAAGTGGTAAGAGTAGTCTTCTGCCGCAAAAGCTACAGAAATTTTTTTATAATTTAAAATAATATGATGGAAGTAATAGAATCGATGGTGGACGTGCTGGTAAAAGTGGTAGTAGAGTGGTGATGAGGTGGTAGAGAGTGTAGGGTAATATACTGGTAATACATTAAAAAATATTCACTGTTACATGAGCCAGTAAGAGGCCATTGCAGAGACAGCAGCACCCATTGCTAGGTTGACCATGGCTGCACCAGCAGGAGCTTTAGATTCTCCTTGGTCGACTTTATCGTTGGCTGACTGAGCATCGGCATCGGTATCGTTGTCTTTATCATCGTCGTTCTGATTATCCTGAGTGGTTGAGGTAGTAGTAGAATCAATAGCCTGGCCATCCGATCTGGCGGGAGTATACTTGCCAGCACCGTCCAGATTCACAGGCGCCAAACCGACGCGGTTGTTTTTCATGTCGTACACAGAATACATGGAACGCAAAGACGCTTCACCGATAATCCAGCTCTCGCCAGCGGTCAGACCCGAACTGGAAGCGGTAATGCCAAACATGCACGATGTGGCAGAATCAATGTAATCAGAGTCGAGCGGAATGATCATTTCGCTGACAGGTGTGCTAATGGTGACTGGGCTCGTCGATGCGCTGTCGGTGGCGGTACTGATTTGGAACTCGACCTTGTCGGTGCTGGTCTTGAAAGAACAGTCGATGCGATAGACACCGTTCAACTCGTCCCACGAGTACTTTGATGTTGAGCCAGTGACGGCGCCGAGAATACCTTCGGCATACGTTTTGGGAATCATGGTCAACGTAGTGCCAGTGTCGAGAATGAAGGCTTGGACGGAAGGTAGCGATTTGGAGTAACTATTGGCCTTGACACCTTGGCCGGCTACGGACCAGTAAAGATTCGTGCCTGACTTTTTACCGTCAGCACCCACATTGGGTGACACCAAGTAGTTGGTAGTATCGTAGTTGACAACTGGCACGTATTGGATATCGCCGGTGTGTTTGGACGTGTCAATGCCACCAAACATGATCTCGCCCGAAACGCCAAACGAAAAATGGCTGTTTAAAAAGATGGAAAATACAGGGTCGTTCAATGTGCTGGCGAGGTTGAAGGGAAATGGTTCGTCGTTGGAAGCGCCACGGGCAGTGTTGAGGCCGCCAAATCCAAGACCCAAGATACCGTTCGATTGTTCGCCGCTCGAAACGATACCGAGAATGTTTCCGCTGTTGCTGGCAAGACCAATCGTTTGCTTGTCTACCTTGGCCGTGCCGACAGTCACCGTATCAACACCATACGTGCCCTCGGCAGTACCGACGCCGTATTCAATCGAAAAGGATTGCACCGTGGCCTCGAATGTTGATGACTTTGAAGAATCGAATCGGTCGTAAGGGCAAGATGTTGCTGGACACGCTGTCGATGGTATCCAAAGTTCTGCACTGTTTGGATTAATTATGTATTAGGAGGAGGAAAATAAGATAGGTGTAACTGAGGAGATTATATTTTCCCTTTTTGTGTAATAAAAAGATATTCTTTATTGTTTACCTGCCAGTATCTAACGTCAGGTTGAACATTTGGGCAGGCGTACCCACACCGACCTCGATCAAGTATTCTCTACCAAAAGCATTGTAAAGAGAAGCCCGGGCTTCACGCTTATCGAGTGGCGTCGATTCTAGATGTTTGAGTTGTGCGAGTTGGCCGTTTGCACTACGAATAAGTGGCAGTCGTACTACACCACCATCAGAAGGAGGGACGACGGCTGCATCAGCACCACCTAGCAGACATGACGAGGACGCAGCAATTGCAACGAGAGCAGCAGAAGCTATGCTGGAGAGATGCATTTGAATTATAATAAAAAAACGAGTGACGAAAGCTTTTCTGTTCTAGGGAGAGTAATGGGGACCAAAAGTTGCTTGGTATTCGAAAACCAAAGGGAGGGTATAATACAAAAACGAGTGGAACGGTCGGTGGAGGGGAATGAGAAGAAGAAAGGGAGAGAGGAAGTAAAGACTTCCAAAAAGTTGAAAAGAGGAGAGAGAGAGAGAGAGAGAAAGAATGAGTGTGTGCGTGTGTGTATGTGTTAAAGATGGAAATTACACACCCTAATAAGATAATTTAAAGAATCGGAAGAACCTCAAAGAGCGGACTGAAGCTGTTCGATGCTACACGAGACGAGATGTCATTGCCTAATTAAGCCCTTTACCAGGTACCGTTGTTAGCGGAGTTATCCGGTTTAAATATATAATTTTCAATGTTACATTGTGGATCGTCTTGGCCTATTTTTTGCACTCTCTCTCTCTCTCTCTCTCTCTCTCTCTATCCTGTGTACGATAAATAAAGCCACGGTCGATCATGTTCGCGCCACGCTCCCCGTATAGCCGTCAGTCGGTAATTTTTTTTTACTCACACATTATAACAAACGCTGGTTGGACACTCCACCCCTTATCCCCTCGTGGTCGTATTGCTTTCAATGCCCGCAAGAAGAAGAACAAGAAGAAGTGTATGTTTGCTTGTAGAGCAACCGGTAGGATCTCTGCTTTATTTTATTTATTTTTTTAAAAATAGGATGCCTCTGCTCATAATAATAGTATGTAATGAAAAATACTTCTTGGAATGTTCCTGGATATCTTTTAAGATGAAGAGCCTTTTAGTCTAATGTTGAGCTAAGGCGTTTAACCAAAAAAGCCTAGCACGAGTTGCTTATTTGCTGCTCACATATAAACTAGCATACTAGTGCTCATCAGGAAGCTGGGCGGTAATTCACTTGAAGAAGCGAATCGTGCAAGCATCAGTAGTTAGAAATAGCTCCTCGAGGATGGGTTATTTCTTATTACATTTCACGCAACGTGTTGTGCTGCAAAATATAAAGACTACAGTAGACATAAAACTAGAGCAGCATCTCTCTTGACAGAAAATGCAATGTTGATTATATATCATCTGATGTTGTCATAGTCGTCAGTATCAGGTAACTTTGCTTTTACGATTAAAATGCATAACCAGCGCTTCTTTTTTCTTTTTTTTCTGCACTTGAACGAATTAAATAACACACAACGTACGACTACTATAACTATTGCTATGCTTGCTCTCAGCCAAGAGCATAAGTGGGCTCACCTGTTGTTGCTATACGATTGGAATTACGTAGATACAGTATGTGCAACGCGGAAAAATAAAAATAGCTCCTATAGTCATGCAATTAAGATTGCCTTAACAGCTTGCTGTCGTACAACGTTGATTCTGATTTTATATTGCCTGATATCGTTAACACCAAAACGAACCTTATTTACTATATATTACGATTATATGTCATTTCTTCCTTATTTTACCAGCTATTGTATCACCCTTGGTTATATACATACATACATACATATATATATAAAGCATCTCTCGTATGTGTCTCAACGATACAGTAGTCAATGGTGGTATTAGATGTGACGGTTAAGATTAAACGATATCCAGGAATGTTCTGGTCAGTACGAATTATTACCAAGGCTTAATTTACTAATCCAACTAATTGGATATGTTTTGGACGAGATTCATGAAAAGGTCTAGTGTGGAAAAAAGTAAGTTTCTTGGTGTGCATCAAGATGTTTTGAATTGATGTTGACGACAAACTACTGTTACAGTTGTTGCTGTTGCTAAATTACCGCAAAAAAACTGCTGTTGCTGATGTTAATACCATTGTCAACATGCAGAGTTGAACCATTTATGATGACCAGCTTCGTGAAAACTGGCAGTTCTACAAGTAGGCTGGTGGAAATCGAATTTCTGGTACTATATCACAACATATGCACCGAAGTTGATATTATGTTACAAACATTGTAAATATTAGTCGGTGATCTTCGTGGAACTTGCTCTTATTCTCTACTGCCTACTGCTATGGTCAAATACTGAGAAATAAGTAGGAGAGAGTAGCTCTGAGTCCGTCAATAGAAAGAATAAAGGTACGTACAGATAATAAGCTCGATGGATGTCAGGTTTGGTTGTTGTTGGTTGTCAAAGTAATTGATGAATTAAATGTTATTGCAGGTGTTGTCGTCAGTAACAAGTGGCTCTGGTTACAACAGGCTCTGGAAAATTCATTTGCGCAAAAGTGAAAACGCATTACCATGCTTTGAACTCATGCCAGGTTACACCTCAATGCAACCTGGCCAACAATACGTTCCCCCGACTCAGCTTTTTTTTTCTGGGCCAATGTTCCCTTTCAAGAAGCTTGGCGGTTGTCATCAATGACGCACATAACAGCCGTCTCTACCCCACAATTTGCTAAAGACGTCGACCAGTCGATTACAGCAAACATGGACAATGTAAACAACTCACTTAAGGTTACCTAGGATGACATTGTTGGATGACGGCATTGTGTTCCGGGCATTCTGACAACGCAAGGCGCTATAGAGCGCAACATATCGCGTTTGAGTTGAGGCACAAGTCATTTCCTAATATTTGATGATTTATTAAACAGACGACGACGAGGAGAACAAGAGTGATGAAAAATCAGGTAGCTTCATTGATGATGTCGATAGTGAAAGGGACAGCTTTAAAGATGAACAAGCACTGGATATTTCGTTTCGGGATGTGACGAATGCTCCCAGGCAGCAATGGCAATTTTTCGGTCGCATTGGCAGCCCGCCTCCACAAGAACAAAACGTCAGCGGTTTTCGCGATGACCTATCTCAGCCGGTATCGCCTATTTTAAGACAAGTACAACCCAAGCTGCAGCAACACAAACGAATATGTCTCAGTGTCGCTGCTCAGCGTCTTCCCAGTTCGTTCAAGCGAATTCCCAGACGAACACGCATTTTGTACATTATATATTGCCTCAACCAGCGGGAAGGCTTGATCGAAATCCAACGCTTGAAACCCAGGATCGAATGCTGGTAGTAGTGACTGACATGAGTGAAGACGAATACAATGCTTAAACGAGTTATGATACTTGGCCAAGTTCGGTCGGATGGATCTGATCTTCGATGATGCTTCAAGGTGGTTGTTGTTGTTGTTTGGTTCGGAGGTTCATGTAACCTAGTAAGGGGTTCACCTATGATGTCAAATTCAGCATAAAGTCGTTGTTTACATATCTTAAGTAATAGTAGAACATAGCCCCCTAATACGTGCACTATTCCTTGTTTTCCTGTTACTACTTGTAAATTCATTCTCTTAAAAGTAGGCATATTCCTCTATTTTTTCCGTTTTTCAAAAGCTAGTTTATAGAGACGTTTAGGGTAGAGTACCTTTCGTCAAGTACGGTGTTACTTACCCAAAAACCCACATTTGGACAGCCGTGCGTCGGAACTTCTCCTTTTTTCACATGATGGGATTACTTTGAAAGGTTATGTATGTAAGTTAGGTACGCAACCGGGAACATCTCTAATAAGAAATGGAATAGACTGAATATTACTACCAGAGTTTATATATATAGTATTATATGCAGATCAATCTCAGAAACCCTTCTAAACCCACAGCACATATACCAAACAAAAAGCAATTACAGCATACTTACGATCTTTTACAGAATTAACTATAACCCTCCACCACCACAGCTGAATCGCTAATTGCTATCAGCTTTCAATTTCCCTTCCATGAACAAGTCCTCGTTAAATAAACTACATACTTCAGAGGTCCGCCTCTTTTACATGCAGATCAAATGAGATTTCAATATCCTATATGATGCCTCTCTCCTTAAACGACGAACAAGATCCTTTAACTTTTTCAGAGCCTAACTACATGACATTGATTTGATAGGCTATTTCTCTAAGTATTGTATGGGTTTCGGTTTGACGAATAGGGAAAGCCGCTTTCGATCTCGATCCACAGGATCGTGCTTTGTCCAAGTGATTTTTTCCCGACCGATCGCATTAATCAAGGGGACCTTGCGCATGAGATAGTATCGACCGTACACGCATCCGACAAATAACATTATATTCACGTTAGGTAAATCAATCTCTACATATTCTACTCATCAAGTCACTGCCTCACGTATCCCGTTATTATGTATGATCATATCATTTGCAAATGAAAGGGCCAATATATTCGAGAAGCAGAGAGATGCTTATAGATAAATTTGTTGAAAAGAACTTGAAATCGGTAAAAGTACATAGTAGTCAAGCTGTTGTGCACTGCGTGTGTGTGGGTGATATCCGAGCATCCTCCCAATGTAGAAATTTCACTAAAAGGTAACTTACTCTAGTCACCCGCGGAACCAGGCAAGCAGCAGGTGCGCAACACAAAATTGAGCCATGGTGGTAGGGGCACTGAAGAATTTGACGATGCGTTCACCATAAGTCTCATCAATAACTATACATTTTGCAATGTTTTTCCTGACGTGACACAGCTGTTCAAACAATAGACACGTGGATGCAGCTTTTGGCACGGACCGTGGATTATCCTCCGCGGTTTTGGTTTATCACTTTATTCATTGAGTCATATTATAGCACAATTGGTATGTCAGTTCTTTTGGAATCTATACAAATGATAACAGGTGGTACTATGCATGCTGAAATTTTGGACATCACCAAAGGCCCGTCGCTGCTTTTAATATGCTATTAAGAGAGAATACTTTACAAATTTACATCAGTAACTCTATAATTTATGCCAAGCACATAGCTCAATTTGATGACTGATGGGGAGAAAGGTCTAAAATACATATATATATAAATACAATGAATCATGTATATTCAGCATTACATACTTGAAGACAATAGACGAAAACTGACGAGCAAGTTTTCGGGTTTATGTTCTTCTTGTCACGACAACAGCCGAGGTGGCGCAGGCACGATGAACATAAATGACTCTTTGTGGTTCCGATAGTTACTTGTATGGGTGCCCGATCTTCGTTTCACTCTTTCACTTCACACACACAGCCGGGCAAATCGGGAAAACGCATATAAATATGTGTTTTGTCTCCTGATCTTTTTCTCTTTTCATTTTGAGTTATTGAGAAACATATATAAATTGCTATTCCTTTCGATTAACTATTGTTACATAGCAGCAACACTAACCATCGATCTGCTTCAACATGTCTTCAATACTTTCGGAAGCGGCAAATAAGGTCAACAAATACCTTGATTTTGGGGGCGTACACATTGATTTGGATCAAGTGCCCATTGCCACCACGGTCGCTGCAACTGCACTCACTATTGTTGGGATACTGGCACTCAAATACAATGACCGCGCGGTTTTTACCAAATGTCGGGATGATGTCCCGTTTATTAAAGGTGCTCCGCTTGTTGGTAGGCTATTCCATCAGATTGCTGTAGTCGATATGATTTATGAAGACCTTGTCGAAAGCTTTGAGAACATGGATACGTTGACTATGTAAGTGCTTATGCAGTACTACATAAACCTGGCCACGGCTTTTTTTGGTTATACAACAATAACGTTTTAGTCTATTGTCACAGGGCCCAATCAGTCATCGGTTTGCCACCTCAAATAATGACAATCGATCCCATCAATATAGAATACGTTCTACGTCGTAAGTAGCAATCGATGCGCTGTAGTATTTATTAACACGGTGTAAATCAAAACTAATGCTTGCTATTTTGCCCATGTACAGATAACTTTTCGAACTATATCAAGGGGCCACAACTGATGTAATGCATACAGCGCCAACTCAGTGTCGAGCCTAATAAGCAATTAACCTGCTGCTCGTTATTTTGTATAAACGTTCTGACAGGGATGCAATGGGCGATCTTTTCGGGCACGGTATTTTTATTGCGAATGGTGAACGCTGGAAATACCATCGCAAAACAGCTAGCCACATATTCAACGTCGTGACGCTCCGAGATCATTTCACAGAGTACGTTGCCAACGATAACAATAGCACCATTTAAAATTTTGATTTTCGAATGTCTATTTTCCTTAAATATACTGACTGCTAGAACGGTAAACAAACAGTGTATTCTTGCAAGAGCTCAAGTCCATGTCCAAGTGTATCTTCGACACCAAGGTCCAAACGGGAGAGTCGATTGACTTTGCGCATCTTATGTCCAAGTATACTATGGAGTCCTTTGTTCGGTATATACAAGTGTTATCGTATTATTTGTTTTCGCGAAGAGAATGTACATTATCTCTAACATACACGAGGTTTTAAAATTAGCGTCGCGTTCGGCAGAAAATTAAATGGATTATTGGATGAGAAGAACGCACACTTTGCCCTTTCTTTTGATGCTTGTCAACGCATTTCCTTTCACCGTTTTGTGAATCCTTTTACCGATTTACAAGAATCACTGAAGCCTATTTTCTCATCTGGATCGATGACATACAAACAGCACTTGAAAATTGTCAATGACTTTGCGTATGGGCTGATAAAAGAGCGAAGACAACATATTAAAGCTGATTTCGAGTTCCAGGATATGCTGTCCCGGTTTATGACGACAGAAACACCCACCGGCAACTCTTTGAGCGACGAGGAATTGCGGGATACCTTGCTGACCTTCTTGGCAGCAGGAAGAGATACTACAGCCGATTCGATCAATTGGTCGTTTTACTGCTTGGCTAACCACCCGGAGGTAGAAGCAAAACTCTTACAAGAGATTCATCATAGTCTTCCAGACAACGAGGAAGATCCATCAAAGCTTTATGATATCATCAGAAAAATGACATATGCTCATGCTGTGTACGTTCTGCTAAATTTGAGTTGCGATTTTATAAAAGCGTTACATTTTTTCTATAACAGCTGTTTAACATATTGTGATTCCTTATTTCCGTCATAGATTTTACGAGGTTCTTCGATTATATCCATCTGTACCAACAAATATTCGACTGGCCGCCCATGAAGACAGATTACCCAGCGGTACTAAAGTGTGCAACGGCGATTCGATCATGTGGTCACCATATGCAGCTGGAAGATCAACAAAACTGTGGGGTCCTGATGCGAAAAACTTTGATCCAGAGCGATGGATTACTACAGATGGGGAGTTGAAGCGACTGTCACCGTACCAATGGATGGTGTTTAATGCTGGTCCCCGGAGCTGCATAGGCCAAGGCCTCGCAACGCTAGAAGCAATCCTAGTTATTACGTATCTTCTGAAGCGCTACAGGTTCATATTACTGCCGGATCAAGAAATTACTTATGCGCTGTCACTGACACTTCAAATGAGATATGGCATGAAAGTATACGTTGCCAAGCGATAAAGTTACTTTCTTTCTATCAACGACTTTACTATGATTCGAATAAATTTTATGCACTAAATACAATTTATAAGATGATTGAATGGGTAGGTGAGGGTGAGAAGAATAATGTTTACATGCTTACAAAATATGATGGTTTTTTTGAGAGGACGAGAAGAATACAATGTAGAGCGAGGATATATAGATAGGAGAAATTGTCCACAGCAGTTAAGCCTGCACGTCGTCCTGGGCTGCAAGGTATACGACTACGGTATCATGTGTCATCAATGTGTCTCTTAGTGTAGCCAACTTCTCAATAGATCTTTGGAGCAATTGCATTTCATCCTGTTTGTACCGTTCAATATGTGTCATCATTTCGGTATTAGTTGATGACGAAAAGGAAGACGACTGAATCATTTGCAAATGGTATTCAAGTGCATCCAGCAAGAGCATCACTACACGCAAGCAAATTACCGCCGAATGATCCAACATTCCAACCTTTTTCACCAGGTCATCCAAGTCTTCAACAGATTCATTGGCCAAACTTGCTTGAATGATCATGCACTCATGGTCATCCTCCTTTTCATCGCTGGACCCGGCCTGTCTTTCTTTATCTTGTACAGTCATCCGTGAAACGTCCGGTACTAGCTCAAACGTCAATCCGTCATCTTGATCGAGTGCAACGAGATACATCAGGGCGATAGATTCAGTTGTCCAGCCCGTAGATAATGTTGACAAGTCTGTAGTTTCCTCCTTGTCGTTTTCGCCAGTTTTTCCTGTTGTTGTGTCATCGCCTTTGCTTGAATCAAGGAGCGTCGACCCCATCAATGTCAGCACAGGTTTGACTGCTGATTGTGATATCCACGATAATTTCACTTGACTCTCCATGATGCTCATATCCAGGAATCCAGTAACTGGCAATGTGACACGCGATGGCTCGGGATTATTATTCAACGTAAATCCATGCAAAAACAAAAGTTCCTGGTTTGACTTGTCACCATAAGATAACAGCAGCTCGTTACCAGCTAATAATGTTGAATGGTCTGTTGATGATGTGTAAGGGACGAAATCAATACCGCCGTCTTGTGAAGGGCACCAGCGAATATTGGGTTGCGAAGAGTGATTGGCAAAGTCGAAAAATGGTATTAACGCAAGGTCACCATGCTCTTGATCGGTACCACTGCTACAGCTACTACCGAGGCTGACTACGCGCGACCAGAATACAATATCAGCCCACATCCACATGTCCAGTGTCATCCACTCCACAACCGTCTTGACCAGTTCCAGTTCGCGCACCAAAGCCGAACGTTTAGCTCGAATCGATCTGCTCAAGTTGGTTCCGTCCAAACCCAAGCTTTTACTTTCGTCATTGATAAGAAACAAGGGATGTTGTTGGGAAACTTCGTCCAGCGAAGGTAAAATGTCGATATAAGGTTTCCAGAATGGCGTTGGCGACTGTTGCTGCTGTTCGTTGGTGGAGAATTTCTGTAAAGCAAGAAAGAGTCGCAATGATAATCGTTCGTTCTTGGGTTCCGATGCAATCTTTTCAATAATTCCACTGTTGTTGTCGCCAATATGAAAAAGCGAATGGAGTGTGTCGCGTAGTACTGGATTGTCAATAAGTGCACGAACCGACGTAATCAGCAAGTCGCGTGGAATGTGGACTAAAGGATCGTTCGTCGTGACAGCGTCGTCGTTATCGTTTAATGCAAAATCTTGATCGGCAAATAAGCCATAACCCGCATTTTCCGTCTTTGCAACGTGTACATGGGGCGCCTTGATCCCATTTTCAGCAGACCATTTCGTAAATGCTTCGACGCTTGTCATGAATAAAAGGTAAAGAGACGTTGTATCAAGACGCTCCGAACGTACTGCTAAAACTCTCTTAGCTAACAAAAACTCAGTTTTCGGGATGCAGACTACTTCTCATACACATGCAGGATCATTGTTGCTTTGTCTTGTGCCTCCAAAAGTGAGCGATGTACGTTCTCATATGGCTGTACAGCTATGCATTGCGCATTGCTACCACAAGCGCTCTAGGCTTATGCTTTTCATCTCACAATAATTTTAAACCTATCTACATAATAGTGAGTATTCTATAAGCTGTAGCCTCGAGAAAACAATGGAAAAAAATCAATCAATTGTTTCAGTATGTTGAGTTTGCTATGCCATTGACAGGTGTTTGTTTGAAGAAGTGCACTTGTAACCAATTAAAATACATCAATGATAAAAGGTAGAATTATATCATACTCTGTGTTACTATTCGCTAGATTTGCTTCCTCTCTTGCTGATGGCCAAATAGTTCATCTGCTGCAGTAAGCTTCATTCTCGTTATTGATTTTTTTCGGCATGATTTATCGTGTCGGAAAAGGATATAGTCAACGGACTATTACTACGCTTAATGACACAGTCAACAAAGGAATGGTCACTATGTATGTATCATCACGTGGACGATGTCCTGGATGAAAGTTGCAGCAAACAAACTCTGGTTGTTAATTCTTGGCTCACATAGTTGCTGGACCCTTTACTTCTGATGATGATATAGGCTACACGTATTCAATATAAAAAAACTATAGCAAGAAACATGACGTCTCAGCATTATTCAGGGGGACCCTAACTCATTTTGACATGCCTGTGTTGCAGAAGAAGGCAACGGTAGCAAGTAACGACGGTTGCTCTTGCATGGTGCAGAGGTTGGTTCCTGGGTCTTGACAGAGACAAAGTGGGCGTTTATAAGCACCGAAATGGCTAATTAGCCGTGTTGCCAAAGAAGGCGAAAATAATTCATACGGCCCCAAGCGGTAAAAGAACCTATCAAGTGGAAACCACCTGTCCAGCAAGCTTCTGACACTTTTCCGCGAAATAAGGACTCAAAAAGAGAAAGAAACGGGCTTGCTCAGAAACGTGCATATTTCATGTAAACCCGGTTACCTGGTTTTAAAGGACACACATATCCCAGTAAAATAGGCGCTTCAATGCTAAAAAAAAAGAGGAGACCAATTTTTACTGTTGCTGCTGCTGCTCCAATCAAACAAACCTGCAGCCGTGGCTCCGGCAATCGGTTACACACAGGGTCGAGCCTTTCTCTCTCTTTGCGCAACGACCCGAAAGATAAAATAAGGGGAAAGACCTCTCTTTTTGTATTTATTTTACCTAAAGAACCCACCACTCCTTTCTTCCCCACATCTCAAATAGACATGGCGTGCCATAAATCTCGGCTGGCACGGATAGTACCAGTGATTTTGCTAATCGGATGTGTCTGTCTATTATTCTCATTACAATTGACGCCAAAAATCGGTCCTAGCAACAACAATGAACCTGCGCCATCAATACCCAGTGAAGAGGAGTTGCGGAATAGCGAAAGATTGGCCAGAAACCAGTTAATAGAACGACGACGCACTGTCAATGAGCCAGGTATGAACGTGGGGCAAGAGAAAAAAGGGTCTGACATGGTGAATGCTTATACAAACTCTCACTAAACGGTACGCACGCTTGTATCACTTCCAACAGTCGTAACTGCAGCTGACGAAGGCATGCGTCATCTTTCGTTCACGCATGATATTGCTGTTCCAGCACCATTAGCACCGTGGTCAGGTACAAAGGAAAAGGGCGAATATCATGGTATAAAAAATGGAATTGTATACGGCGGGTGGCTAATGAATTGAAATATGTGTATTAGAGGAGGATAAGGCGTTCCTGAAAACAGCACTCGGCCAAACCTTAATGTCCAATTTGTTGACAGTACCCGAGACGATGCCTGATTTCCCTACATTGACCACCCAGCAACGGCTGTTCAAAGTCTTGTTTCAATACCTCGATCCTCTTGTAGCCGCAGGCGAAATTGATGATCCACAACACAAAGACGTCTGGGCATTCTATCTACAACTCGAACGAACGCTGTATCCATGGCTGCAACCCTATTATCAAAACGCATTCCACTTGACCAACAGCACCGACGGCCGCGGCATTGTCATTTGTATCGGCAATCATCAATTCCAATATGCTGCCACAACGATCCGTGCGATCCGTGAAGTGCTGAAATCCAATTTACCCATTGAAGTCTTTTACATTCGCGAGAACGACCTGACGCCAGCCCGACGACAATATCTGGAAACCGAGTTTGATAACTTGGTGACAAGACAAGTCGTTTCTCGGATCAATGATTGGCACACACGGTTTGGAGGCTGGGCACTGAAACCGTATGCTGTCTTGACAAGCTCGTTCTCTGAAGTCATTCTGATGGATGCCGACTCGTACTTTTTCAAAAAGCCGGACATGTTGTTTGACGATGCAGGCTATCGCAAGACCGGCACCTTGTTTTTCTATGATCGCACATTGTTCTCTGGATGGGAGACTGGACGCAATTGGCTGACCTCGTTCTTGCCCACAATGAGTTCGATAGTCGAAACGACTCGGTGGTGGAATTTCAAAAGCGCGCATGAACAAGAGTCCGGCGTGGTTGTGATTAACAAAAAGCGGTCTTTGTTGGGTCTCTTGGCTACGTGCAAAATGAATGACAAACGCGAGCGCGATCAGGTTACTTACAAACATGTTCATGGTGATAAGGAGGTAAGAAAGAGCTAATATAGTTCACGACAGGGTCCGTCAACATTGTTATTAAATCACATTTAAATATGTATCAGACATTCTGGGTTGGATATGAAATGGTGCAGACGCCATATTCCTTTATTAAATCCTATGGCGGTGTGATTGGCGGCTTGGGCGATGCGGGTGATGCTGAAACTGTTTGTGGTAACCAGCTCCATTTCGGTGTGGATCGACGACCGCTGTGGTGGAATGGTGGTCTTCTTCGTGACAAGAACCGATGGCCGGACCGTTATTTAAAGTTTACACACTATGCTGAAGGCAATGACTGGGAATTCGAGACATCGTGTATCAAGGAAAAGGACAGGATCCATGAATTCACTGCTGAGGAACAAAAGATCGCAGCCAAGTTTGTTGAATTGGACCAGCAGCGAAAGAAGGACGAGGAAAAGATCCAGCAGGGTATTTGGAAGCCGGCAGTGCATTTGGTGGACGATCCATTGGCAGCAGAGGGCGAAGAGAAAGCTTAAAAAGCTAGTGTCTACCGGTATAATCATTACTATCATCATTACTATTATTATTCTCATTATTTTTATTATATGTGTAAGAGTACATAGAGCTTTTCATTCTTTTGAGTATTATCACGAACTCCACATTATCCCCCCCCCCCGTGCATTAAAATACATTTTTATTATGCATTCAGCTGTCAAGAAAGCTCAGCTGCTCTCTCTCTCTCTCTTTCTCCCTGTTGTTTCCCATAATGCCTTTGTATACCCCATGTAAACACATTTACCCTCCCAACGATCCATTCTTCCAGGAAGGCAACATAGCCCTGCGAGCATATTGGCTTGAACGTGACGCCAAAAGCGAACGCGAAATTGCTCTTATACGACAAGAAGCCAACTCGCTCGCCGAGTAAGAAAACGAATCTTTAAACGCCAACCAAACATAGATCTATCACTATGATACATTCAACTTACATGTGCTGTGGCAATATGCTAATATAACAATCAGGGACTTCACACGACTTATCTACTGCGAGCAAAAAACATGTGTTGAATTGCATAAACAACCTATAGCGTTTTTTACAACTGCAGCCTATGAAGCGCATTACGAAACACATCACAAGCATGTCTGCTCAGCCTGTCATAAACGGTTCCCAAGTGCACATTGGCTACAACTCCACTTGGACGAGTTCCATAATGTACTAATTCAAATTCAAAAAGAACGTGGTGATAAAGTGGTAAAACTTGTTATTGTTTCTTTATGTTTCCTCTAATAAAAGTGTATACGCGTTTCTGCATAAAAAAATTAACCCCTTTCCCTATCGCAGTTCCAGTGCTTTGTAGAAAGTTGCACGAAAAAGTTCATCTCGCCGAGAATGCGACAGTTGCATTTAGTTGACAAGCATCAGTATCCAAAGTACTATCCTTTTGATCTGGTGGCAACGGGTACACTGTCCTTTGAGGAACGCCAACGACGACATCGTCCACGTCGGCACCATTCTCCACAGCAGCAAAATCAACAAAACAATCCAGATGCTATGGCAGTCGACAAGAAGGAGGATAATAGCGATAATAAGAATGATCACAATGGATTGCACGACTACGGCGATGACAACCACAATGAAAAGAAACAGCACAAACCGCATCGTCGGCCGTACAAATCGTCATCATCATCATCATCTCAAAAACAACAACAGCATCATCATAAGCCTAAAAAAGCAGAAAACCCAATGGATGTAGATAGTAAACAGAAATCGCAACCACGATTACAATGGCAAAAACAAGTACAAAAGGAGGATCAAGGGAATACATCTTCATTGATGATGGATATCGATCAGTTGACGAACAAAATGTCACGGCTCCAAATTCCTCGATCCGTTGCCTTTGGTCGTGGTGGGAGACGTGCATTTTCTACCGGTCAAAGGGTGAAATCAAAGCAACAAGAACAATAGGAGGAGGAGGAGGAGGAGGATCAGCAACAGCACAGCGACAAGAAAATTAGAGCTTCCTTTATACATTTACTTTTCTGTTAATATTACGTTCTAGAGTTATACTATACGCTGGTTTTGCTGGTTTCCCTGGATGATCCGAATCATGCTGACCATTGCCTCCTGGTCTCCTGCTCCGCGTCTATCCAACCAAAAACGTGTTTGTCGGATGGATGGTAGCGTGCCGCGTCGTTGCTCTAGTGCGTACTGTTGCTTCATAATTTGTGGATTCACTCGCCATGTTTGCAATAAGCCATGGGATGGTTCCAAGTCTCGGACAGCCAGAGTTGTCATCCGTTTACGGGCCAATAAATCGCGTGTTTCGAGGGTAACAATCGAGTTGGGTGTCAATCCCTTCTTAGTGGGAGTAGTAGTATGTTGTTGTTGTGACGGTGATGGTGATTTGTTGCTGTGAAGGTAGATGGCGCTAACAAATGGAGATAGGATATAGTGCAAAGCACCAGTCGAACATACACTTGCGAAAAGGGCTGTATAAATCCATTGGAGAGCGATATATCGTATGATTGATTCTTCCACTAGTCAGTAAAAAGCTGTGTGGACCTAACAGCATGCACAAGCCCTATTTTCTTCCACACACACACTTTTTTATTTCCTCACGTACCACCCAGAAACAGATTGGGGCTGATTCCACTCGCTTGAACTATTAGGCGTTTACATTAGAAACTTTGATATTCTTTTGTTTTCTTTTCTCTCCAACGCTCTCTAAAAAATAAGCATAAACGTACTTGCTGGGCTTTCCCATAAGTAGACTACTGCCGGTGCGGATACGGACGAAATCTATCAGGGTGTGTGTGTGTGTGTTTTCTTTCTCAGTTATTTCGGCATAAACACTTTAGGCACAAGACAACCACGAACACGCATTCACCCGGTAATATATTAGAAACAAGAACAAGACTTTACTCCGAGAGTGGATAGTGAAAACACTTTGGCGAGCTTAACAAGTGCTGCATTCGGTGTCGCGTAAATGAGTCTTTTCTCGTCGTTTTTATTTGTGTCCTTTCTTGTTGCAGTTGCCGATGTAGTAGTTGAATACAAGCGAATGTATCGTTGTGTAGCTATAATACTACCGGTATGATGGCGTGGAATGCTGACATTGCAACTTTGAATTAATAAAGACCGCATTAGGTTGTGCAAAAGATATATAATTTTTCATGCACGCGCGTTGCCGGACCTGTCCGTGTTTGTTTTTTTGGCACCATGGCAGTCGAGAAAATTACGTCACATCATTGGTCCCGCTTTTTTGGACCCTTTCTAAAAATTTCTGACTACAGGTGAAAGAGAGAGAAGCTCGGGGGAAGGAGGTTTTTGTTTAGGCGGACGGATTGGACCGATTTCGCCGAGCTTCGGAATTCATTATCGTTTCTCGACATTATTGTCTTGAAGTATCTATATAGTAGTAGATAAGTACCAAAAACATGAAGAGGGGGTGGATAGATCCGGAATAGAACGGTGAGAGGTAAGGTAGGTATACTATCTAGTTGTTGAGGCAATTACAAGTGATCATTCCGCTCGGATCACTCCTCCAATTGGTCATTCTGCCTTGGATAAGTTCTCACAACCGAAAAAAATAGTAGCAAATAGTGACCCGAAGCCTATTTTTTTTACACTTTGATCTGGTAGTACTGGATACCAAATCAAGCATACAGCAACAACAGCAGCAGCAGCAGCAACCGTTTGTCTTTGAAAAATATATATCTGCTCGTATAAACTAATCAGTGGACATTGTTTCGTTCGGTGTAATCCGCCCGAATATATTAACTTTGAGGTCTAAATTACGTGGCAAAGTCAAAACAAATATATTATTTGCCATCATTCCACCGTGTCACCCGTCAATTGCCGACTTTTCCCAACAAGTTGCGGTCACATATACTGTACACAAATCGCGACAGGAACGTTTGACCATTACTCGTATGAGTAAAACGATTCGGCAGGGAAAATGAAAAGGACAATCTGGCACCCTATCTTCGGCTATTCACAGAGCATAATAGAAAAGTGTATTAACCTTTTGAAAGGTACTAAAACATTGGCTCAGTAATAACAACATAAGCCTAGTCGTCACCATTCATCAACTTCGTTTGAGTCTTTAGCACTGTATAAGATATACTCCATTGTCAGAAGCACTTTTAGTCACAATCTTTTAAAGGAATCCCAAATTTGTTGTTGGATCGTAAGTGTTAGTTTTGAGCCACGCAGAGTTGATTAGGAGATCAAAATATATATAAGAAAAAGAGAGAACGTGATCTGTTTCATAGGTGTCAAGGACAACATATCACCTATCACTCACCAACTAAGTAACTAACTAACTAACTAACTAGCCAGCAATCAGTTTATCAATCAAAAGACAAAACAGGTTATTTCTTTTGGAAAGAAGGGTTTATTATAGGAAATTGGTATATCAAAACCTTCTTGGCTTAAGAAAACGAAAGAAATAGAGAGTGTGTGCGTGTAAGAGTGTGCTAGAGCGAAAGAAAACGAAAAAGAAATATGTACAATATAGGTAGAGGAGGTGAACATCAAAAAAAAGAAAAAATATTACAAAGCGTGTGTGTTTGAGTGTGTGTGTGTGTGTGTCAAAAGTGTGTGCAATCATCAGAAATAAAAAAAGGAGGAGTAACTCGTGTAGTTGCGTGTGTCTGTCGAGCATACAGATAGTAAGATATTACAGTAGGTAATTGGAGAAAAGCGTATAGGTTTAGTCATCGAAGACAATGTTGACGGTAGGGCTGAAGACAGGCGAAGAGAAGGCGTACTCTTCTTCTTGCAAGGTGGCTTGTTGAGCGTAGACGGTAGAATCTGTCAACGGCATGGCCTGAGGATGGTGTCTGTCAAGCGCTTCTTGATCCTGCTTGGACATCGAGGACACGGAAACGGCAGTGTAAGCGCGGGTAGCAGCGACACGGGAGACCATGGCAGGCTTGATAGCGTTACGAGTGATAGCGGACAACATGGTAGATGATAATAATAGCTTTTTGTTTCGATACAAAAGAAATGTGGATTGATGATAGGATTGAAGACTTTTTTGATGCGTGTATTTATACTTATAGAATTCCGCGGATCGCCGGACGCCGGTTGAGGTGTCAATGGGTGGAAAGGTCGAATGTGAGGTGTGATTACATGTGGAAATCAACAACCCCGACGAAACTGGTAAAGCTCATCTACTAATACGGAAATGATTCCTTATTCAGCAAGTGTGGGTGACTCAGTGTATGCCTTGATGGTGCGGGCGCCAATAGGATAATTTGCTGGGCAGTGGCTGAACCATGGTCCGGCGCTCTGCTCTTTCTGGGTGAGCATTCTCCACGTTTCAATGAGTAATGTGCTTGTGATGATTGGTGTGCGTAATTTACTATACTACACGTCATACGAAATCACACCCACTTTTTGTTTTGTTGCTTACGCGCTCAAAAAACTCTAACAACGTTTTGGCGGAAGCGTTCTGGATACCTTTAACCGAGCATCCTTGGAAGCTGATACAGTAGCTCATTTTCGTTTTTCGAAAGAAACCCTCCTTTCCTCCTCTAGTGCCTTACATTCTCAAAAATTGGGGTCTTTTCCGTCCCGCACACCCCTTCTTCAAGCCGTGGATTGCCTTCCGAATCGGGCAGCTTACCCGCTGTTGATCAAGCATACAGTAGAGCATATTTTGATGTGCATTCCCAGAAACAAATAAAAAGATAAGAAGTGTATATTATCGTTGCTGCTGTTGCAGTTGCTCTTGTTGCTTCTGTGGCAGCAGAATACATACAGATACAAAGATAAGGACAAGTACGATAAGAAAAGAGAGAGAAAAACATCCACATGCAGCCAGCCGTCGATGATACCGCAAAGCAGATATCCAGGACGTTATGACCCATTTGATCCCTCGTATTCCTCGTTTTTTCTCTCGACTATCGTAACCATCACAGTCTGCTGCTTGTGGATGCAATATGAATTCCGAGGAACCAGCCTCGGAATCGTTCGTAGGTCTGGTAGCATGATGGTGGTGAAACGCCGATGTGGAGTAATACGGTGGGGGTGGCATGTCAATCTTTGTCGTACAATCATATGAGGGTGGTTTTTCTGTTGTTGTTTCTGCTGCTACTATTGCTGGGTTTCCATGGATCACTGTGGCACTAGTGTCGCTATTGTCATGCTGAACGATTTCCGAAGAACCCCGATAATATTTCTCACCAGCACTGCCGCCACCTCCATCATCATTAAACGCGTCATGGTCATAGTGATTGTTACTGGATTGATCCTGCAGTATGCTCTTTTGATCCATGCCTTTGTATAATAACTTTTGTTGTGTTGAGAAGCGTACATGCAACTATATCATAGCAGCAGCAGCAGCAGCAGCCGTAGTAGTTGTAGTAATTGGTACTTTTATATATAATAGGACAATTTTTGTTTCGGTTCTGTTTTCGGGCACACTCGCACAAGAGAAAAAAATGCGGAGAAAAAGAGCATCGAGCCTACCAGTAATGTACTTTATATTTCCGCAGCAGTTTTACAGCAGTGCATAATTGCACAAAGCAAACAGCAGCAGCATCTGTGTATCACGCCTCTCAGCCAGTGGCGATAATGGGCATGAGCGTGGCACACACGCACACACACCTTCTTCGGCATAAAATGATCCTGGGCACACGAGATTTCACATTTTCTTTCCTTTTTTTGATTTTTGCTGACATTCGAAAATCTCCTTCTCCTCCCTTCTCAGCGACAGCCAGTAGATGAGTTTGTGGACAATCGTCCCGTTTAACAAGATTTTTTTTAATACGGCTGAGCAGACGTGTATTTTTCATAGGAGCATACGCTGCGGTAGTTTGTATCTGAGTGCAACGCTGACGATGAATACGCCACTATTTTGTTGGCTTGGTATAAAAGCAAAAAGCACCTCCTTAGCCAGAAACAAGTTGTTATTCCGGAATCGTACTGTTACAGTACAACTTTTCTCAAGTGATTAGTATCATACACTTCAACTCATATTCGATTGCTGTGGCATTGCCACTAGTTGCTCAGCTGGGTAACGAGAGCCAAGCTTCATTGTTGTAGTATGGCTTCTAAATAATGATATTGTGTCGGGGTGGAGTCTTATATCGTCGCATATGAAGAGACAGCAATGTTAGATACGACCAGCCAGCCACCCTGATCGTCACTCCAATTCAATAATGGTACCGTGCGCCCTGACTCTATCCAATTACGCAGGGTTGACACCAATAAAACTTAACAAACATATCCCTTACAATAACAGGGAAGTTAACTTTTTTTTCTGCATAAAGCATGAAAATCATTTACTGGCATTTGGCTGCCTCTCCTTCTTCTGACCAGATCAGTTGTGTAAAGCTGAAGACAAAAGCTATCTTGTTGTCTATTCCCTGTACGTCATTAACTTATCTGTCGTCCAACTGGCCTTTCCTTCAGTTGTATGCTTTACTTTTTCCTAAATCGATACGGTCTATTCTCCACATATTATACTCAATATCTTTCAAGCAAAAGGAATAAAGAATTACTACCCATATGTGGTAACACTTAGTCTATGAGATGCATATATATTAATACTGCGTCGTACATACCCCATCGTTCTTCTCCTTGTGCATGTATTATGCAGGGGAACGAGGAACAAAGAAAGCAGCAGGAGGCTTATCTAAACATTACAAAGATGATAACACATTCGCAACATTTCATTGATGCATAGATATAAGCCGATTTCAGTGCTTAAATAAGATAAATATCTCAGTTGCTATATTAATAAGATTATTGTCTTTGATCTTTTAACTGTGCTACATGGCACAAATAATGAAGAAATAAAATCATCCCATACCTCATTAGCTGATAATTACTTTGCAGAAACTTACTACATCTTGATAGTACTTGCTGCTTATTTAACACTTGAACACACACAGTAACAGGAAGGAAGGAATGTAGTCACTCCGTCCCCCGATCCGTTCATGTACGTAGCAGCTGCAGAGCAGAAAAGAAAAAGTCAGGGAACCCAGCACTAGCGGTGGTATTGGTCCCGAGCAATAACCGCATTAGCCATGTAACGTGCTACATGTCAGGGTAGTAGTTGTGGTATCCTGTTGTGTGTGCGCGGGTTTACCGGGCTCACGACATAATATCGGAGGAAAGAAGGATGAAGGGCAGGGGTCCTTGAACAAGCGGACGGATGGACGGAGGAACAACATTGTTCTTGTACGACCATGCCATCGAAGATTGTCTCTATACTTCGATGATGAAGAATAGACTGGCACATAGAGAAACAGTCCAAGAACATTCTTGTGATACTAGACCCAAATAACGCGCGCGGGGTGGAATATGCCTGTGTACCTTGATGTTTTTGTTGTGAGCATTATGATCTCAGCACGTACAAATGGGTCGCATGATACCACACTACTACAAAGACGGATGGCTATTACCATTTTGATTGCTCTGGGAAATAGGCTCTCCAAAGTATTATTACAAGCACCAATGGAATGCTGTAAAGTGTATCACGTACCATTTTTATGAGCCATGAGAGAATTCTGGACAAAAAAATGCAGATCAGTAGCAGTAGCTTATGTAACAAGATCACCTCTCCTTCGTTCCTATCTCACGTAATATAGTACAGCATTAAAGAATACAGAGCTACCAGACCAAAATAAATGGTTCCAAAAGGAGAATGTGTACATAGATGATGCAATATGCAGTTCCCCCAAACACTAGCTGCACGTTTTTCAACGTACGTACTAGTAGTAGTAACGAGTGCACTAATACTGATGCATCAACAAGAACAACAGTAATGAGCTGGGACGAATTATTATGACGCAGATCATCTTAGTTTAGGAAAATCAGCATGACAACAGCAACAACAGCAACAGTACCTCCAAACGAGTCTGGCAAAGAAAGAGGACTGCTGACGGCTGGTTGTGTTGGACCAACGACCAACTCAGTACAAAAAGAGGCGGGAAATATCCAAACCGAACACACGATTGTAAGAATTTGGCATTACTGGAAACTAGCACAAACGTAACAACTATGGAAGATGCAGCAAATTTCCTCCCCTCAATTTTTACATCCTTAAATGCAAAGTGACAGGATCTGTGACAGAGGACCCTACAGGTATAATGATTTCTTATAAAAAGTCATATCATGATCGATAAGTGATCGTATCAATTAGTGCCGATCGTCAAAAGCATATACTTTCAAAGTAAAGATGAGAAACTTGTGCATAAGAACATAATTAAAGAGCTGGGAGGAAAGTCTACAACTTCTGATGTTCTCGGTACAATATACCCTCCTTTGCACTAATATGTATTGTGACGTACCTGGAAAAAATGTATATGTTGTTGTTTGTTTGTTATGTTGCGAATGTCGTAGTTGAAACTAATTTCTGCAAAGTTTGGATCAAACAGAGCCGTATTGTAGCGAGGACGGTAAACAAAGATTTTTTTTATTTTTTTGCAAATATGGCACAGAGTGTTTCTGGAGAGAGAGAGAGTCTCTGCAACATCGTGTAAGTTTCTGCGAAGGGAAAAAGAGCAAAGCAAATGAGTCTTTTTAACTTGTTTTCGACGGCTGATCTCAAATCTTGCGTTGGCTATTCCGATCCAGGTAGCACACGAGCGAAGCTAAAAAGAAGCTGCATAAAACTTGTTATCAAAGACCGCCGGTGCATTTTGTTCTCAGTATTGGCAGCTGAAATATTTGTTTTTGCTAAAGATATCTCGATGAGTACATGAAAAATCATGCTGGCTGATTGTTTCAAACCCTCAAAGGCTACTAGATAACGCTGAACGCAGGTGGCGTAGAGCCTCCCCTTCCCCCTCAGTCGAAACATGATAACTTTTTTTACATACACGACAGTAACAGCCTCCTACATTCTCCGCACCTTTCTCCCAGATCTGCAGGTACATTAAAAGGATCGACAGCCCCTTCTTGTACTTGCTGTTTTTTTAATACAAAACTTTAGAGTCTAGTAGCAAAGCTTCTGTGTTTTTTTAGCGGCATATATGGCTACAGACTAAAAGAGGCACCAATAAGGTTTTTACAACAGCCACCAGATCCAAGCCTGCCATGGCCTAGATTTGGGAGCGAATAAATTTCCCGCCAACATGTATATCATCAAGTTAATTTATATGTACTCTAAATCTATTAAAGAGACTTGTCAACAATTTCAAGAGGTTTCCATCCGTGTGTATTGTGCGAGATAATGATCCCATATTGGCACTGAACACGCACCACCTATGTTTTTAGAGTAATACAGTTGCGGAGGAGTACAATCATCTGCTTTGTGTGCTACTACTACAATCATCTAGCTTTCTCACTAAACCAAGACTGTGGGTTACCATCATCACTAGTATTCCAGTCGGAAACTTGTTTGTCGCTATCCACATCAGGATACACCTTCTTTGCCACGTACGAATGATATATTCACAGATATTTAATGATAATATAAAAAGGCTGGGAGGCTGTGTGGGAGGGAGTGGAAGGGAATATAGGATGAGCTTCTTTTTTTCTTTCTCTGGATATGATACAATTCAAGGGTCTGGATATGTGTGTATAAGCTGTTGTTCTCTCTTTTTTTCTTTACAATGCTGCAGCAGTCATGCTATAACTCTCGGAATAGTTGGATCGACTTGCTCGGTGATTGATCTCTGACTCGTTGTTCAGCATGGATGTTGTTAAGAGATGCGCTGCATCTCGGTTGTTGTTGTTGTTGTTGTTGCTGTTGCTATAGTTGTAGTATCGTGTTGCTCGTGTCATCTTGCCTCCTCCTGCTTTTATTTCCTTCTTTTCGTCTACTACAGCATCTATGGATGAGAAAACCCATTCCGAGTCAGCAAAAGGCTCGACTAGTCGTCCCGCGTATATGTATGAATAACAGCGACATATTACCGTCATAAGGGTGATATTCTTGCTGATCGCCCTCGATGGTTACATAGGTTCGTCGCTTGGTATATCGACTGATCCGCCACATGCCGATCTGGCTCTTCATTTTACTGATAATGCTGACCATCGTTACTGCTGTTGTCGTTTATTTGCGCGAATAAAGAAGAAGACGAAGAAAAAAGATCTCAAGGGATATATATAGGGAAGATGGGAAAGAAAGAAGAATGGTCTTCACCGCAGGGGTCGAGAATCGATTTCCGAGTGAAAAAAAAGGGGGAGCAGGAGTTGTGTGTATTTGGGGGGGGGGTGCGGGAGAGAGGGAAGAAGGGAAGGGGGACATACGTTCATTTTTGGTAAGTAGCTTAAAGACCGATCATTAGCAAATTATGCGTGTTAAACAGGGCTTTTTTTCTCATCATGGCGGGGTGCTTTTTTTCCAGTTTGGCGTGGCGGTGTATTTTGATTGGCACCCATTGTCACCTACAAAAAAAAAAGTACTTTGATTGGAGATTGGGCAGTACGCGTACAACGGCCCTTTATCCTCGATCGTCCCGTGCAAGTGCATGTTCGGCGTGGTTTTTTCTGGGCCATATAACCGTTCAACACCAGTGCAAAGTTGCTGGAGCAGGTTGTTTGCTTCTGCAATTTCATCCACATTAATCGATGGCTTGACCAGCAAGCGACACGCATCAACACTTATCAGCCTGTTTTCGAGATATCTTTTGGGAAGATGACCGTCGAGCACAAAAGGCGACTATACAGTGCACCATGAATTCCAATCGTCGGCGGTCATGAACAAGAAGCCACTTTCGATTTAACCAATTATTTTGCGGACAATAGCAGTGCTGTTTATTTTGAATGATGAGAATTATTATGTAGCCTATTGAATATGAAAAATCAATATCAACTACTCTTACTTAGGGTTGAAAAGGTCATAATGAGTCGCCGAGCTGTACCGCTATCACAAAGTCCAAGTCCCAATTACGCTGATGGCATTGATTACTCGACGACAGTTGGTGTTTTAGATGAGGAACGCATTATGATCGAATGTTGATCTGGTGGCCGTGAAGAGAACGTTCAACACACCTACGGCGATAGCTTGAAGCTTAGTAGAATCACTTACTAGTATGCTGGTTCTGAAAGCATACAGATGATCTATTGCAAATTTCGAGACATTTACCAAGTTCAAGACCGTTGGCATCCAGTGTGTCAAAAGAACGTTGACGCTGTTCATTTGGAACTTTGGTTGCTGGTACGTACTATGAAGTACATTTTTAGGGTATCATAGAAATCATGTTATATTGTTTCCCTTGAATTCCAGGTGGAACTGTGAGTCCTGCGAATCGAGTCCTGCGAATCCATCATATACCAAGGACGAACTGGCGCATCAGCTCCGTGAAACGAAAGCCAAGGTTCTTGTGGCTCACTCGTCCAACGTGGACACGGCTTTTGAAGCGGCCGACATTGTCGGCTTGGCCCGGTCAAGCATTTTTGTATTTGGAAAGGGGATAGTCAAGGGTGTGCGGCCATACGTTAAGGTATTGCTTGGTGGCCGTCTTGCCAGAACGGTCGAATTTAAGTTCGAGAAAAGCTTGCGTTCCTTTGCTTTTCCTCAGGAACAACAATTACACATTGCTGCACGGCTAATTATTACTAAGAGATATAAAACTAGCGTTTAAGCAAGTACAAAACAAATAACTAATAATTCCACAAACGCTTTTTTTGTAAATCTCGTAGGCAAAAGTAAAGGTGTTATGACGACGTACGTAATAACAGACGGACAAAGGAAGGCAAACCCGTACTCTGTGGATATCTCAGAATACTGCAATACGAAATAATATCACGGCAATATGGTCTCCAACATCTGAAAGCGAAGCAGCACGTATTTTGGCAGTACTCCCCTTTTTCCACATTTATGGCTTGATGGTGGTTTTGCATGCACCCTTCTATATGCAGCGCCCTGTGTACATTCTGCCGCGTTTCGACCTGGAGCAATTCTGTACCACGGTCCAAAAGTACAAGATCTCCTTCGGTTGTGTTGTGCCACCAATTTTGCTTTTATTAGCAAAATCGCCTGCTATTGACAAATATGACCTGTCGTCGCTAAAGGTGGTTGTGTCTGGCGCAGCTCCTTTGGACGCAGCTTTGGCAGACGAGGTACAAAAGCGGTTGAATTTGAAGGTGAAACAAGCGTAAGGATCCAATATCTAGAGGGTTACAGGGATCTTGTGAGGGTAATGTTCGTAAAAGTGTAGAGCTTCTTTAAACAAAATGTATTTTTTAGGTATGGCCTCACCGAGACAACTCCAGTCGTTTGTATCCAGCCTAATAATAACATCGTTCCAGGTATGATATGAAAATTTCTTATACACAAATTTGAGAGAAAAGGAACGGTAGTATTAGACTTGATGGTTAATAATTCATCTTTGTGAATAAGGCTCATCGGGTGTACTTGTACCTGACATGTTTGCCAAGGTCGTGGATGCCGAAAATGGAAAAGGTTAGCTATAAACGCGAAATCTTTTAACTCATAGGCGGGGAGGAACTGGAAAATAGGTAAAATAATCGTGGTGCTGACTACTGGACGGTTGCTACTGCTCATGCTAGAAATGGGGGTCGGTGAACGTGGCGAGTTGTGGCTGAAAGGACCGAATATCATGAAGGTTTGTTGTTATGCCTATCTGTGCTTCATATTTTTTAGTTACTGATGAATAACGATTCTCGATAAATTAATTAACAGGGCTACCTTAACCGTCCGAAAGAAACTGCCAATTGTATTGACTCTGAAGGCTACTTCCACACTGGGGATGTCGCTATAATCGATTCAGCCGGTCATATTTATATCGTTGATCGTATAAAGGAGCTAATCAAATATAAAGGTTTTCAGGTATGTACTTACTGAGTTTTAGTCAGTACAGTGACACGGCGTGTGCTGAGGAAAGAGGCTTTTTCAATAACAATCATGAACATATGTCTTATTTTTTTTGCTTGTAAAATATTGTGTAGGTTGCACCTGCTGAATTGGAAGGCATACTGGTAAGTAGGTTATCATTCACAAAACCAAAGGGATGAAAAATTGTTTTTTTTCTCACTACATACTCTCGATGTGCAAGCTAACCTAAAGATCATGTATCTATATAATAGCTTAAGTACGCAGACGTTGCTGATTGTGCCGTCATTGGCTTATACGATCATGAACAAGTCACTGAAATACCACGTGCCTATATCGTTCTCAGACCAGGTGTACAGCAGGGCGAAAAGGTCGCGGAGGATCTTAAAAAGTTTGTGGCAGACAAGGTGATTCTAGCTACAAGCAAATCCAATCCGTGATTTTCCGTGATCAAATCCCCAAGAGTGCTACTGTAAAAATTCTGCGAAATGTTCTGAGAAATGAGGTCAAGGCCGAAGAGGACGCGAAGCGAGCATCCAAGTTATGATAGAAAGACACAAGCAAAGCATATATGATATATTATAGATAATGCAGTAATTGTCTAGAATCTTTACGCAGATCACAACATCTGCATATGAATAGACCTATCCATCATGAGGCAAAGATTTAGTCAGTAGGAAACTTGATCAAAAATACACATCTCATTTGGATTATAACAAAGTAAAAGGATGACAAAAACCAATACTTTTCGGTTACACCTTAGGTAGAAGAGTTATAGCATCATTGAGGAGAATCCGTCGTCTAGCTCTTTTCTATTTTGGGGTGCGAACCTTGATATTACTTCTCGGTTATACTAGTCAGAACTTGATAGTCATAATTTTGCTCTTTTGCGACCGTTGAATGATACCGAAAGTTCACCAATATGTGTTTTCCGCGGCCACGACCACTAGTTACTGTCAGCATCCCCGCAACAGCAGCAGGAACCGAGGCTCGGCGTCATTATCATTGCAATCAACATAACATGTAGCAGACAGATATGGAGGCCAGCATTGTAGCAACTGTTGTTCCTATTCTACAAAAACCTTCATTTCGCACTCGCAGATGACGCATGTAGTGTTAGGTTACACCATTGCTCCGGATCAAAAACACAACCACGCCTATTACGCCTGTTCCCTGCTGCATAAAACCCAGTTATGAAAAGTGGCGTGGGTTTAATGAACACAAAAGAACAAGTTTTGCAAATAGCCCCATCATTCCGCTAGCTTTACACTCATCCTCACCCCTTAATTTCCCACTGTGTTTACAGTTAGCATAATTTAGAAAAAAAAGTAGTGAGATATTTTAGACACATTATTTATTGTTGTTACGGTGTGTGGGAGCAACCGCGGACAAAGGACAAGTGAATGCTTTTCGATGCGTATCCATGTACAAGAGAAAATAAGTTGGGAGAGAGAGAAAGTATCAAGTGGTTGATTTACTATAAGATTGAAAAGGAAAGCATAATGAGTTAAACTATATGTGCAAAATAAAGACTTATACAAAGACCAAAGAATTAATAGCAACATCAACTTACCAGCTTCTCTTCCTTAAGACCATCTCTCAAGAAGGTGAAGTAAGGGGTGACACCATCCTCACGGTAGTTCAACAAGGCAACCATGCCTTCGGGGTCCATGGACTCACCGACGTAGAATTCGTAGTCCTTGAAGTTACCAAGGATCTTCTTGACAAAGGCAGGAGCCTTGGCCTCGAATTCAGCGACACGGGAGGGGTTTTGTTCCTGGAGCTTGGCCTTCACAGCCTTCATGTAGCCCTTGATGTAAGCCATGTACGACTTCTTGTCGAACGAGGTCTCGGTCAAGCGGAACGAGTGGACGACGTTGTTGACGGTCTGGGCAGTCTCTTCGACACCCTCATCACCACCCTCAGCAGAGGGGTTAGCACCAATGTCAACCTCACCTTCCTTGACGGTGATCATCTAATTAGAAACAAACAAATTTATATACCAAATCAGTAAATACACGATATTCACGTATTTTTGCCTTCAGTGTTGTTCCAACTTGGAAATCCTATAAGTCACGTACTTGGCAGTCAACTTCATAAGCGACGTCGTCAACGAGCTTGATGGGCTATATATAATATGAAATGAAGCGTTAGTAAAGAGCGTGCGAGCAAATTCTCTCGGTTGAAATTGCAGATGGGAAAATGGTCTGCATAGTGTCCATATCAGAAAATCCCGCATCGATTATTGTAACATACGTAAGCATCAGAGAACAATTCGTCACCTAAAATCCATACCAATTAGTACATCCATCGTATACCTCCATTCATCCATCAGTTAGCGATGCTTACCAGCAAGGATATCACGGTACAGAAGCATTTTCGGAAAAAGAGAGGGATGGATGGATTTTGCAAAGGGAAGAATCGCTTATAGGAACCCCCACACGAACACACGCTCCACGACAACGGAGTTAGAAATCGCCCGCTTTGTCCCACTGAATCGTGCGTGCGTGTATGGTAAAATTGGCTGTGATTTGTCGTATACAGCATGAAGGCCAGTTTTACCTTTGATAAGAAGTTCAACTGTTTGGTAGATGTGCGTAGAAGCTTCACTGCGCTGCATCAACAGCCGTATGTTATTTTCCGTTCCCTGTAGATGAAATCAGAAATTTTATTTCTTTGTTTGTATATAAATTTTTTAAGAAATGAGATTCACTTTCTACTTTTCCAGCTTATTGTGCTTAAAAGATGCCTTGAAACAATCTGACTTATTTGAGAGCTTATTTTTTAATTTGTGCTAAACAGCCATTACAATAGCTGAACATATCCAACAAATGGCTGTGAAGCACATGTTTGCTTATTGGCAGAGCCACACTGCATTATGCCAAGGAGAGAGAGCGGTGCTTCTTTTTGAGATGAAGATGTTGATAGCAACAATCAGTGCTACTTGTAACTTATTTTTGTTTTTTTCGCCGGGAAACGCTTGAATAAGCTCGTACATTAAGTGTATCCGTTTTCTCTTTCTTGCTAGCGGATATTATTTATGGAGGTTGCCGTGTCACAGCAGTGATATTAAGCACTATTATCTCACAACTCTTGTCTCCAACTTTAATAAGAAAATAGCTATGATATTCATCATCAATTTAGCTGATACTTTTTTCAATGGTACTGTATTTCTTACGGGAAACTACATCAAAAGATGACTATTTAACAATAAGCGCACTACTAATATAAGTACTAATGAAAGGTGATATGATCGAAAGTAGGGAAGAATGTATTAACTCAATCCGGTAAAAAAGTGCACTAAATTAGGTAGCTTGGGCTGGTGTACTAATTTGATGTTAGTCGCTCGTTTCGCTTCTTGTTCCGCTTCCCTCAGACGTATTCAACCAATTTTATAGAAACTGATGAAGTTCTTGTCAAGGGCAGGGTCATCTGCTGCCTTATTTCTACTCGCCTTGGGCGTCTCTAAAACAAATGCATTCTATTTACCCGGTGTCGCGCCCATCGACTATGTTAACGGCGATGCTGTTCCACTTTACGTGAATTCCTTGACACCAATGTCGAATCAACAACTCAAGTCTGTACTTGCATACGATTATTATGATCCGCGATTCCATTTCTGCCAACCTGAAGGTGGTCCTCAGCAACAGTCCGAGAGTTTGGGCAGCATCTTGTTTGGTGATCGTATTTTCACTTCTCCTTTTGAGGTAACATACAGATATAGTTATAATTAACGCAACAGCAACAAAAAACACAACAAAAACGCTTCCAATATATGTGTGTATATTAACTCAAAAAACCATTTCTAGTTGTTTATGGGCAAAAATGAAAAATGCAAACGACTTTGCAAAACATCGGCTATCCCTAAAGAAGATGCTCAGTATATCAACCAATGTATTGCAGACACGTATGCCCTGAATTTTGTTGTCGATGGCCTTCCAGCAGCCCATATTGCGATCGACGAACGCACCAAGGAAGAATATTACAATATTGGCGTTCGATTGGGCGAGAATGATGGCACTGCCGCTTTAAACAACCATTACTCGATCAATATCGAGTACCACGAATTGCCTGGTGAAAAGAAACGCGTGGTTGGTGTGCTTGTTAGCGCATCCAGTCATGACACCAAGATTGATGGGAAGGGCAACCCTGTCTGTGATCCGGATAGTCCGGCTGTGCATTTGAAGGAAGATGGTTCTTCTGAGGTTGTCTATACCTACAGTGTGACTTGGACTGTAAGTTGAAGAAGAATGATAAAAAAGCGTGGCATTGGCGATAACCTTTTCTAACAAAAACCAATGTGCAATGTTTTTTAGCCTTCAACGACTGCATGGGCTACGCGTTGGGATAACTATCTCCACGTGGTTGATCCTTCGATCCATTGGTTCTCGCTGGTTAACTCGATCGTGATTGTTCTTTTCTTGACGGGCATGGTTGCCATGATTTTATTGCGTGCTTTGCACAAAGACATCTCGCGCTACAATGCTGTCGAGGCTCAGGAAGATGTTCAGGAAGATTATGGCTGGAAGTTGGTTCATGGTGATGTGTTCCGTGCCCCTGCTCGTCCCATGTTGCTCTCTGTGCTTGTTGGTAGCGGCTCCCAATTGGTCGCCATGACCGCTTTGACTCTTGGTAAGTTTCAACATCGTGAAGCAGCGTACAGCGATTCGTTGTAAAAAAAATCCACATAGAAGAGGTTAATAATAACTGTATCTTTTCAATTTAGTTTTCGCTGTGCTGGGCTTCTTGTCCCCATCGAACCGTGGTGCTCTTGCCACTGTGATGGTTGTCTTTTTCATGATCTTTGGCTGCATTTCCGGATTTGTTTCCGCTCGTATTTACAAGATGAACGGCGGCGACAAGTGGAAGCTCAACATTTTTTTGGCTGCTACCATGTTGCCAGGGTAAGTTTAACTATCAATGCTGCTGATCACAGTTTTGACTTATTTCGATCAGTTTTACTTAAAAGAACCCTTTCTACCTTTTAGCATTCTTTTGAGCACCTTCTTTGCTCTGAACTTCTTTCTAATCGGTTCAAAATCCTCGGGCGCTGTGCCTTTTGGCACTATGGTTGCCCTAATCGGCATCTGGCTCTTGATCTCAATTCCTTTGAGCGCCGTCGGATCCTACTTTGGTTTCCGCAAAGCCAAGGTCGAACACCCTGTCCGAACGAACCAGATCCCTCGCCAAATCCCTGACCAGCCATTCTACTTGCGCCCTATCCCATCCATCCTTATGGGCGGTGTCTTGCCATTCGGCTCCATCTTTATCGAACTCTACTTTATCATGAACAGCATCTGGTTCCATAGAATTTACTATGGTATCGGTTTCTTGTTCTTGGTCTTTGTCGTCTTGATCTTGACGTGCTGTGAAGTCACAATTCTGTTGTGCTACTTCCACTTGTGCAGCGAGGATTATCACTGGTCCTGGCGCGCATTTGCAACCGCCGGTGCAGCTGGTGTCTATGTGTTCTTGTACTCGGCCTTGTACTATTTCACAAAGTTGGATATCAACAGTTTGACAAGCACTGTGCTGTACTTTGGTTATTCTGGTGTTATTTCGCTGTTGTGCAGCTTGTTGACAGGTAAGAACATGGGACTGGAGGCTTCAATTGATCCGTTCTCTGACATGTTTTATAAAAAAAACAGGTGCTGTTGGTTATTTGGCCTGTCTGGTCTTCTTGCAAAGAATCTTTGCTAGCATCAAGGTTGATTAAATCAATCGTGCTACATCCTCTAAACTAGAGAAACGCAAAAAAAAATACTTCTTCGTCTCCGTCATCTATAACTTCGCTAGCTATTCACCCTCACGTCTCTCTCCTCCTCTTCCTCTACCATACACAGACATTTGAACAAACACTGTCACGCATTTCTAACGTATTATATCACAAAAATAAAGATAAAAAAAGTGTAAGATGATGCAAAATGACGTTTTCGTCTCTTTCTCTTTTCTTGTTGTTGTATTAAGGTTTTTCTTCTTATATAATGTAATGTAAGGGGATGCGTGATTATAGGTGAAAACATAAAGTATAAGATGTATTTGAATGTCGTCGTTGATTTCTTCTCTCGCTGCTATGGTACTATTGTTGCTGTTGCTGCTTTGCTGCTGCCTTTTCCATCTCCTCCTTGGTCTTCGTTTTCAACGATAATGCATGGATACCGTTTTGCAGTTCTTCGTTTAATAGTCCATATACTAGACGATGTCGTTGCATCATAGTCTTTATATCACGTGTTCAAAATTAGTAATGATCAGTAATATTGATGCACATTAACCTTTATTAACAAATATTTCTTTCCTGCAAAGTTTTCGGACACGATCGTAATACTAGAAACACGAATATTTCAGTAATTGTATAAATAGTATCGAGACATATATATATAAGCAATTACCGGAAATGAGTTTCAGGGTTTGTGTTGCCACGCATGGCAGCATGGTGAGCGTGCAAATGAGATTCATTAACAATCTCCAAAGTGGATGGCTCGAGAGCCTCGGTGATCTACATAAAGTAGTAGTAATATTTTTTAACAAATCAATTTAATCATTAAGTATAAAACGTGTGAATGTGATTATAGACTTCACCTTGCGCTCAGCGGCTTCCTCAATGGGACCCTTGGTGGCCATTTTTAAACGTGTGCGTGTTATAAAAGTTGGGGTGGTTGGGAACTTCTTGTTCAACAAAGCTGAGTATGAATGGTTTGGTTAATTCAGTTTCAATACGTACTTCTTCCTCACCTGACTCACTCGCTCCGTATGTGATTTCTTCGTTATAATGTAAGGACCCCGTTATTTGGGTCGCATATTGTAAGATTAATAATGCTGCTTTCGTTGCTCTCTTTCTGACGGTCTTATACATGTGCTTGATGGTTTAATAGATTGTTTGTATTGTGGCCGATCAGTAAATATGATATCGATGCATACTTTTAGCCAGCGCATTATTCTACTTTCACTTTTCCTATTTAAACATACAATATATATGTATATCTGTTTTATTTATGATTCAAGTGATCATCAGAGAATAAAGGAGAGTAAAAAGAAAGGTTATAGCGTCACATAATAAAAATTCACAGAATGAAAGGTATACACTGATAGTATATCAGCAATAGTAAAAATAGCTTCTGATTTAGGAATGCTGAAGAGAAGAAGTATAATAGTTGTTTGGATTGGATGACTGTTGCTGAGGTTGTTGAGATTGCTGTTGCTGGGGTTGTTGTGGCTGTTGCTGTTGTGTCTGCTGCTGCTGCTGCTGTTGCTGTTGATGTTGCTGTTGTAGCTCTTGTTGTTGTTGCAACTGCTGCTGCAGCTCCTTTATTTGTTGTTGCAATTCTTTCTGTTGCTTTTGTCGTTCTAACTCTTGCTGCTGTCGTTCTAACTCTTGCTGTTTTCGGTTGTAGTAAGCTTTCCAAGAGTTAGCAATTTGATCACAGGCACCAGCATACTCAGGGACTTTGGCGTTAACGGCTTGCGCATCATCTTCTTGTTGTTTCCAATATGCGGCACAAAGCTTTGGAAGCTGCTTTAAATCAACCTCGTCGGCATCAACTTCTGATCCTCGCTTACGCATTCGACGCTTTGCCAGTGGTGCAGCTTGAGTAAGGGCAGCAAGTTTGCTAATAGGCAGATGTTTAGCTAGCATAGCGAATAAGTCTTGTTCTGGTTTGGCGGGAGGTTTACTATTGCTTTTCGCAGGTTGTTGTTGACTTTCTTTTCCTTGACCTTGGGACGCTTCTTTTCCGTGACCTTGGGATGCTTCTTGACCCTGGCCTTGAGCTTGACTTTGAGCTTGACTTTGAGCTTGACTTTGAGCTTGACTTTGAGCTTGACTCTGATCTAAGCCTTGACCTTGACCTTGGCCTTGATCTGGCATTTGACGCTTTGCCAGTGGTGCAGCTTGAGTAAGGGCAGCAAGTTTACTAACCGGCAGATGTTTAGCTAACATGGCAAATAAGTCCTGCTTTGGATTGGCGGGAGGTTTACTATGGCTTTCCGCAGGTTGTTGTTGGCTTTCTTTTCCGTGACCTTGGGATGCTTCTTGACCCTGGCCTTGACCTTGACCTTGACCTTGAACTTGAACTTGACCTTCACCTTGACTTTGACTTTGATCTTGATTTTGACCTTGGCCCTGATCCGGTATCTGACGCTTTGCCAGTGGTGCAGCTTGACTAAGGGCAGTAAGTTTGCTAACCGGCACATTTTTAGTTACCGCAGAAAGAAAGTTTTGCTCGGGGTTGGCAGGAGTTTTACTATTGCTTTCTGCAGGTTGTTGTTGGCTTCGTTTTTGTTGGCTGTTGGATGCTTCTTGACCCTGACCTTTGCTTTGACCTTGATCTTGGCTTTGCCCCTGGCCTTGACTTTGAGCTTTGGCAAGATCTTCAGAGGTCATCCATTGTGAACCAGAAGCAGGTTGGCTTTTTTGTTGCTTTAGTTGTTGTATTTCAGCAAGTTCTTCAGGGGACATCCACTCAGAACTGATATCGACAGGCTGCTCTTCTTGTTTGTTTCGTCCTTGATCTTGGGCAGGAGTGGTGGTCGATGGATCTGTATCGTTGGCAGCATGTTGACCTTGACTTTGGGTAGGAGCAGGAACGGTACCAGCAGCCGATTGAGAAATGGCTTGAACATCATTAGCACTACTTGCTAATAAACAGATGACAGCAGCAGCGATAGAAATTACGGAAACGCGCATGCTGGATGATTATTTGCCGATCTAGTTATAGTCGAAGATTTCTGAAGTAGCGAATCCATGCGCATATTTATACATTTTTCCTTTTACTTTCCCCTTTCTCCAAAACAGTTAAACTAGTGCTACGACACGTATATACAACTGAAACAATTTCCTTGATACAATCAAAGTTTTTCATCGTATGCACAAAAAGTTATCATACAGAAAAATTAAAGGGGGGAAATGAACTGTCAGCTGCTACAAAAGATGCAGAGGAGAATTCCTAGCCATAGTATTATATGGGATGCAGAAGCTTTAGTACAGGGGTATAGTGACAAATTCTTTCGTATGTGCGCATAAACATTTGACAGATCGGTATGCATATCGGCGCCGATGGTACACTGATAATACAAATCGTACGGCGACCAGCAGTCCTTTTTATCTTTTCTCCTATAACATTGCATACATTTAACACATCGCTCAAAAGGTAAAATCATTGGCTGATCATTTTCATTAAACGGTTATACTGTATTCTCTCTTTCAGAAAAAAGCCCAAGTTGATATGTAGCAAATTGCATTACATCGATCACTTCTCCTTCTACTTATTACAGCTTCTATTTGTCACTCACTTAAAAGGCCAATACTAACCAGAAGGTCATCAAGCACTTTACTATGTCAATTGATCATTCTCTGAAGCCAATACATAAAATAAATGTTTGGAAAAAAAGTGCTCACTTCCTTTTTTCCGGTATATCATTTAACTTGTAGTATGTAATAGTTTCACTGGTGGCTTTTCTTTAAGGAGTGACAGTCAGTATGTATCTGCTACATACATACAATAAATGCTTGATGAGCAAAAATAAAGATTAATTACAAAAGAATGTTATTGTTTCTCTGAAATTTCATGGGCAACTAGTTTTACACATGACCATTAGGATACTTTTATCTCTTGCCCTGCTCTATTTAAGCATGGTGTAACACTGCGATGAGAAATGCTCATTTTGCTACTTCGTGTATTTTATTCGCTCCTTTTACTTTTGCCGTCCAGACGTGCTAATATGAAGAAGATCATTGAGTACATAGCGACGAAAAGAAATAGGGGTCATCATGCTTCTTGTTGTTATCTTCACTTTTTGAGCTGCTCACCAACTAAAGAAGCGACACGGAGATTACTGTTACTATATACAGACCATACCAGGTGTACTGTCATGATTGGTATAGAGAAGCAGTCCTCAGCTCAGCTACTGTATTTTTGTAAACTGATTGTGTGAAGCCCTCTTGATATGCTATTTTAAACAAACCGAGTAACCCGTATAATATATCAACAATACCACATAGTCTAAAACTAACTGTGCATTACCAGCTCGGTAATAACCCAGTCAAACTTTAATATACTGACCAAAAAAGTAAATGCTTTTGGACGATTAGAAAGGTAAGAAATAGAACAAAGAGCGATACTCTATATGGGCTACCGTGAGCCTGTTACTTAGCAAATGGTTTATATGAATAAAAAACATCCTTTGCCAATGACGTAGGTTTAGTTCCCAAAATGGAATTATCGGCGAAGCGGAGGCGATAATTGCTTGCTTGCAGTTGTGAAACAGGCGAGAGAACGCACACTCAACCCTTGCTTCTTTTTCTCCTCATGAACACAACATATGACGACTCTATCTCAGAGCGAATAACTTTGCGCAGTAATGAAGGCTTTCGCCTTTCAGAGCCAACAATAGATCAAGCTGAGCATGAAGAACAGAGCGGTCAGCAACAGCAACCACCGTCTGTTGTGCCACATCAACCACAGCAGCAACAGCAGCAGCAGCAGCAGCAGCAGCAACAAAACCATGACGACAACGAGCAGGAGCACCAACCTTACCACGACGACGAAGCGCCCAATGACGAACACCGAGCGCCGTTATTAAGACGTACATACTCACAAGAAAGCGCGATTAGTACCGATTCAGCACCACCACCCTACGAAATGTACCCACCAGCCAAAACGTTTTTTGGCAGAGCCTACAACTGGCTTCGCACAATACCCCGCATACGACGCCACCAAGCGATTGCATTACCCACGTTGCCACTCCATGCCGGCAGTCGGTTTCGCAGCCATCATTCCGATTCCCTCTCTTCAACGTCGATTGATTCGTTTGCTTCGTCCGCATATCCAGCGACATGCTGCTCATACTATTACCATGCAGCCTTGAGCCACCTGCCCTCGCTACCTCGAGCGACGCTTCCTGTCTGGCTCGCGCGTTGCCGATGGGTACTTATCTGTATATCCATTTTCGCCATCTTCATATTTGCATTTCTCCTCTTTTGTTCCATTTTCTTCTCACCAGCGTCGCTTTCGCCAGCGACACTGCCGGACCTGACGACAAACACATCGGCACGATTTTTGACCTTAAACATATTTATGCGGCCGCCCGGTGTCACCAATAACTGGTCCGACTATAAAGACGAGCGATTGGATTACATTGTCCGCTACATTTTACCACAATACGACGTGGTTGCGTTCCAAGAAGCATTCGCCTTTGGAACCAGACGGAAAGACCAATTGATCCAACGGGCACGGAATATGGGATACAACCATCATGTGGAATCGCCTCGACATTATCCATGGGATCTGGGCGTGGATGGTGGATTGTTGATTATGTCTCGGTTTCCAATTCGGACATCGCACCAGATCGAGTATCCCCGTGGCATCCACAGCGACTGGCTTTCGTATAAAGGTGCCCTGCACGCATTGATCGAATTGAACTCGACCAACTCAATGCATTTATACACGACTCATGCACAAGCATCGTATGCGCACGAATCCATTCAAGCTGATATGCAAGTTCGTCTCAGCCAGTTTTCACAATTCCACCAGTTTGTCAGGGAAACAGCACAGCACGACACTATTCCGATCTTGTTGCTAGGCGATTTCAACGTGGATGCAGCGGTGCATGATGGATCCATTACAGAACCGTCGAAATCCAATTCGGTCGAATATAACATGATGATGGATGTGGTGACTGGCAAGGGTGTTGATCTTTCAAACAGCGACAAGAGGAACAGTAATGTGGGTAGCAAGGATGACAACGACAACGGAAATGACAACGATGGCAAAATCAGTGTTAGACAGAAGCGATTGTTGTATGCGGACCCAGCATGGCAGATGGATCAGTTAATGGACGAAGTGTATAGTCATTATGGATATCATCCTGTGACGTATGGCGATATCATGTTGAACAAGAACGGCGAGGTTGAGCCTGCCGAGACAGTGCTGACGGATATGGAGCAGGTCATGACAGTCCAGAGCATTGATCGAATCATGTGGGATCGCGCACGGGCATCAGCTGCCATGTCGCTGCGAGACGCCCAGGTTGAAAAGTTTATGGTTCGAAGCAATGATATGATGAGCGAGCACGATAAGCAACAAATGGCATTTACTCAAATTTCAGGTATGGGGAAAGAAGGAATTTTTTTTATTGGGGTTTTAAGAGATGCTGTATATAAATGACGGTCTGTATACTAAAACAAAATGATTTTGCTACTATTGTTTCTGTTAGATCACTATGGGTTGAGCTGCGTTGTCCAGCTAGCATGATGATATATGGCGAAGGCTTGCTTGTGGAAGTAAAGAAATAAAAGCCACATTTTGCTATTGTTATAGACCTTTGTTAATTTTCACTTTCATTCCATTGTACGGCGTAACGGTTTTCAAAAGTTCCTCTATCGAACAAGTCGTGCATTTGCTCAATACAAAACAGGATCTCAGATGCAGCTGTTAGCAGCGTCATCTCTGCGTCACCAGGCGTGTTTATGTCGATGTACTTGCGTTGAAGTTTGTTCGGATAAAGGACAAGCGAGAGCGATAACAGCAACGTGTTGATCCGAAAACTCCAGTTGCCGGTCCCTTCGCAGACATAGAGCTCCTCTGCAGGGAATCGAACGTTGTATTGTGCTGGACATCTACTGACAGCGAGCTTGGGTGCGTAACTATCCGACATTTTCCCCATACTCTTGATTACAAATTCGCAGATCTGGTGTACAAACTCGATAAGGTCGTCGACGCGGTACCAGTTGAGACGGTTCGCGATAGTTTCTGTTTTAGCGTCCCAATCGCTATACATCTCGTTTAGTCTAAAGAGATCCCAAAGAAGAGAGGTGGAGGGAGAGAAAAGAAACAAAAGTGAAAGAGTGAAATGGTCTACTTTCTCGGCGACCCCATTTTGTTATTCTCTCTTATTGCGTGATCTAGCCACAGTAACAGCAGAGATCAAGTGTTGTCAAAGCATCCTTTTCCTTATCCATTGACAACAATAAGAGCTCTGATCGTTCAGGGACCAAGTCAGCAGGCCGAAAAAAAAAAAGGCAAAAAAGGTCCGCTGTCCGAAATTAAAGTTGCAAAGCAAAGTCGCGATTTACGGGAAATTAACGATGGGCGACGGGGGATTTTCGCTGCCTAAAAATTCCCGTGGGAGATAGTTTGGCTGTGGCGTGGTCGAGGCGAGTGTGCGCTGCGTTTCTGCATTACAAGAGCCAAATGTTTCCTTTTCCCCGAATAAGGATGCCAAAGCTTCCGAAACGAGCGAAACGACAGGGTTTTTTGCTCCCTCCTCTCTCTACTGCGTGAGTGTACGCGTGTGAGTGGATGTGCTAGTTAGCGCGTGCGCGTGAGTGTGTAGCGGAAACCAATCCGCATCAAATATAAATAACATCTCGTACTGGCGTTATTTTCCCCTTTCTTACCCTTTTTCACTAGCTCTTTTCCCACCCCGTCTAATACCACTCTCCACCACCACCCCCTCGTCTGTTTTACAGCAATGGTCAAGCAAGATTTCACGATCACAAGCTACGAAGTGCGCGATATCCGCTTCCCTACTTCCCAGCATCTGGACGGCTCTGATGCCATGAACAAGGACCCAGACTACTCTGCTGCCTATGTCATCTTTTACACCAACGACACCCAGGTCGAGGGCCACGGCATGACCTTCACCTGCGGTCGAGGCACTGAAGTGTGCTGCAGTGCTATTGAGGCATTGGCTGTCAAGTTTGTCAACATGAAGCTTTCCGACCTCGTCAAGGACATGCGCGCCACCCACCGCATCTGCACAGGCGACTCACAGCTCAGATGGATTGGTCCGGAAAAGGGTGCCATCCATTTGGCCACCGCTGCTGTCATCAACGCTGTCTGGGATCTCTGGGCCAAGGCTGAGGGCAAGCCTCTCTGGAAATTGGTCGTCGACTTGACCCCTGAAGAGTTTGTCCAAGCTATTGATTTCCGTTACATCACCGACGCCATCACGCCCGAGGAAGCTATCGAGATTCTTAAGCAAAACGAGTCAACCAAGTCTGCCCGTGAAGCAGAGATGCGTGAGAAGGGTTACCCTGCCTACACGACATCCGCCGGATGGTTAGGTATGTTGTTGTTTTCTAGTCTTTTCTCTAACCCACTGTAGTGTGTGCATAAGATAAAGCTGACCATGGTGCTGTTAATGTATTGCAGGCTACAGCGATGACAAGGTCCGCCGCTTATGTCGCGAGGCCAAGGAACAGGGCTTCACTCACTTTAAGCAAAAGGTCGGCAGCGACAAGGAGTCGGATATCCGCCGTGCAGCACTGATCCGTGATGAAATCGGTTACGAGAGCGTATTGATGATGGACGCAAACCAAGTGTGGGATGTGAATGAGGCTATAACATGGATGGAGGACTTGTTGCAGTTCAAGCCACACTTTATCGAAGAGCCCACCTCGCCCGACGATGTCTTGGGCCACGCTGCGATCCGCAAAGCACTGTACCCACGCACGCGTGTCGCCACCGGTGAGCACATCCAGAACCGCATCATCTTCAAGCAGTTGTTCCAAGCCCAAGCCATTGATTTCTGCCAGATCGACTCGTGCCGTGTTGCAGGTGTCAACGAAATCCTGTCCATTCTGTTGATGGCCAAGAAGTTCAATATCCCCGTCGTCCCACATGCTGGCGGTGTTGGCTTATGCGAGTATGTCCAGCACTTGTCGTTGATTGACTACATCTGCGTCTCGGCAACTACAGAAGGTCGCATTCTGGAATTTGTGGATCATTTGCACGAGCACTTTTTGGACCCTGTGGTGATGAAGAACGGTCGATACATGACGCCTTTGGCACCTGGCTACAGCATCCAGATGAAGCGCGAGTCCATTGACGATTACACCTTCCCTGGCGGCAAGGTACATAAGGAGCTTGCAGCAAACCACAAGGCCTAACCGCACACATAATTACATGGTAGTTTTTCTTCTTCTGTTTGCATTTCTTTCTCACACCATTGTTACGAATATTTGTATTTCTATTCTACACGCGCACCACGCACACAACATACATAACTCGACTCCTTTCTCTATTGTGACGATCCATATATCCCGCCTTCTCATTCTCTTCTAAAAAATAAAGTCCACAAATACAAATTCATTTCTCGATTATGTAAGCAAATGATACAACGACGCAAGGGAGCATTTCAGTCGTAAAAGGCCTGACTAGCTCCCCTCCGGAATTAGCGGGTCCGGGTCTTGCTGGATCTATCCTTCTTTTCTGTCTTCGAACCACACGTACGATGCAGCCAACACCCAAAGGGTCAAGATGTAGAGGGTCTCCTCATAGGACTCTGAGTGCATTCAAAAATGGTAATGAGGGAGTACCCGAGTGTATGTGCACATATTCATTACAACGTATGCTGTTCTGAGACTGCACTTTATATAGACCACTTATATTGATAACTATGTATTTATAAAAATGAGGCAAATTGGTTGATGTGATAGCTAGGATGAGCATATTTACATGATGTTTGTAGAGGAAAATGATGTTGTGTTTCAGGGAGGAGTAGATGATAAATATTATAGTAAAGGAGGTTGGTTTACATAATGACTTGAAGAAAAAAAAACAGTGTAAGAAATAAACATGCTAAAAGTTAAAGAAAGTATTTTTGTGTTGCATACGGGGATGGATGACAGATCGTCGACTTGTGAGGTAGCTTTATTCGTCCTTCTCAACAGCTTTCCTTTTCTTTGATCTTGGAGACGTCATACAAGCTGGTATCGTGGGTTGTCGGGAAAGCATTTCAATCGTTGGTATGAACATATCATCATCTTCTTGTACGGACTTGAGGGTTGCCTTCAGCAATGACTTGCACTGCCAGACAAGTGTAAGCAAAGGGACAAACCCTTTGTAGAATGTCTCGGCAGTCAACGGAAACTCCATTGCAGCGAAGCTGTACAGTCTGCAAACGTTGCCGCGCGGAAGATCCATTATTTTGATTGCCAACTCAGTACCTAAAAAGTATAACAATATTTAGTCGTTTATTCTTTGTTCCCCTATTTCCAGCTATTACCATTTATAACGAATCCCGGCACACGGATACTTCGGATTTTGCCCGGACTTCTTTTCGACAAACTCCAGATGATATCTTTTAAAGTTTTTGGCAATTTCAGGTTTGATTCGACAACAAATTTGGTACAGGTAACACCGCCAGAAACACCTGCTTCCCCAGCAGCATATTCATGCTCAAGATGCCTAACCAGGATATCTACTTTCGCATCCACTGTTTTTCGTGGTATTGCGGTTGTACCGGGAAGTGAGCGCTCGTCATTTTTCCTTTCACTTGATGCTGTGCTTGCTTTCTCGCCACTAGACGTTATGTAAGTTCCCACAGTAATATTACTGTACAGCTATATACATAATCATGAGTATAAACATAGCCCTACCTGACAACTTCAAATACGCTCTCGTCGAAGCACTTTTCGATGAAAATCCACAAACGGCGTAATAGATCGTTTTCTGTTTTGTTGAAGAAGTTGTACGAGTAGTAGTATAAGTCAAGCACTTCGCCAATTGCCTTTTCGGCCCATCGTTCGTCAACCTTGGACGGGTGGAAGCGATGTCTCAAATGCAGCTCTACTAAGTCTTCGAGAACGTGCTAAAGACATCAAAAAGTATATTTTAAATTATTGATAATTGAAAAAGGGACCAGAACAAAAGAGGCAGAAAATGGGTTTACCTTATTCGCAAATACTCGGAGATAGGCTTGTAGGCCTTCAGGCAATTCTTGAAGCTGCGGAGCATTATGCATTCTTATTTCTTGTATCTCTTCTTTGGTAAAATACTCTGACCAGCAAGGATCCATAGGATCGAGTATGAGAGAATGGGACGGACTATTATATATAAACAATTAGCTTTTTTTAGTCGGCATAAGTAGCCATAGAAGATGAGACTCACTGTTCGTAAGAGCATTTTTTGACGAATGCGTGCATGGTGTCTTCCACTATCTTTCCCGTTGAAAGGGTCCACTTTTCATACGGCAGATTGTAGTAGATATTTTCTACGGTGGCTTTTTCAGCAGTTGAAAGGCGCGCGGAGGCACTTGCCTTGGATGATGGTGTGGTTGAAGAGTTATCGGATGGATGGTTTGTTGAAAGACCTGCACCGTGAATTTGAGCATCGACAGCTGTCCAATCAACGCGTTCTTTGACCTTCATGTGTCTTCATCAGTAAACGAGCATTTCCCACTAATTTATACAATATGCTTCTCTTACCAGCTCTACATCGAGGTCACTCACTACGTTTCCAAATATATTGGCCCAGAAAGCCTTGTAATTGGTACCAGGAACCGATTTTTGGATGACAACAGTCGGGCGATCTCGAACAAAGCCTGCAAAACTGACTTCAGAGCCACCGTCAACGCATGAATTTATATAAGATTCAATCTCTGTCAAAATACACGTAAAAAAAACTTTAGGACAAATGTTCATTTGTTTGGTATGCTACTACTATTGACTAAGAATGGCGTTGCTATATAACACAAAATTTTCATAGGTACCCAATTTGCAATGATTCTGTTCCGATTTAGTGTCTTCACGCATTTTAAGAGTTGACATGTTCGCTGCGCGATCGGTTGAGAATACTTTAGGATTGATTTAGCAATAAATACCAAGCGGGACTCGCGAAAAATTTTTCTTCCTCTGTTGCGGTTTAGACTTAGTGTGACTGTGATATTGTAAGCAAGCCAGCAATCTACCCACAGCAACAACCAGGCGCGCCGCCATCCAGAGCGCCGTCATCAACATCGTAATAGTAATTCCATAGAATAGCATATAATAGTAGAAACATATAAATAGCCAAGTACTTTGAATAAAAGCAAAAGACAGATATACTATCCACTACTCTTCTCGAAGTCTCTTTCCTTCATCCTTATATTAAACACCCGATCTATATTACAGATATTTTATATGAGATAAAGGAATATGTGATAATGGAACTACCTTTTTATTACTGCTGAGAAACTCTGATATTATACTTGACGAGCCTTTGTCGCCTTCGCACCTTGGGATTGAGCCCCTCCGCTTCGCTACGTGTCAATCCCTAAGGTGCTTCGGCTCGGCGGCTCGCTGGGGGCTTCCCCCAGACCCCCTTTGTTGGGGGGCAAGCCCCCCAAACCCCCCATAGCGGCCGCGTTCAAGGCTGTATCAGTGTTTTGCCGTTTGATCCTTTATCAATTCTTGCGATGTGACTAAACCCGAACCATTTACCTACCCCGATCGCCCTAAACACTATAATTCTAACAGACTAAACCCTAAACCTAAAGCTACTGAAATGACTGGATTGAATTTAGAATATAGAAAAAGTAAGTGGTTGTATCTATTAAGCTGTAACTGTTGTTAATGCTTCTCTGTGCACAATGTTTAAGGTCGAATGTGATGGTTGCGATGTTGGTGGGTCGGAAGGAAGTAGAAAAACTGTGAGAGAGTTGGGAGTGCGGACGCGGGATAATGCCACATATAGTTGGCCATGTGCGAAAGCTGGCTTAAACAGGCACAGCATTGCTCTATTGAGGGTTTGACCTTGCGACTTGTTGATAGTCATTGCGAAGGCAGGGACCACAGGGAACTGATGGCGGCAGAGTTTAAATGGGAGATCATTTTCTTTCGAGTATAGACTGATGCGTGGAATATAGACGATATCACCTAGTCAACAAATAGAATGTGTTGATAAGCTAGGTATAAAATCGATCCAGAAGTAGGTAATTGTATATACCTGCAAAGTCGCCTTGAGCAATTTCTGCTTCAATAACGTGTGGTAAGAGATTTCGACATATTAACCGCGTTCCATTGCATAGGCCCTTTTGAGGATTGATGTTGCGTAGAAGCATTATTGGCTGGTGTCGTTTTAAAGAAAATTGATGAGGAGGATAGCTATTGAGAGTGATGGTGTGAAGGTATTCTGGTGGATGAGTGGCTTCAAATGCCTCGGAGTCGACAATCTTATCAGAAGATAGATATTCGTGCGTTTCTCCAGGAAAAATTGATAATGCTACATCGTTAAGAGAGCGAATATCGTCGTTGTATGGTGCTAATATGGCACGGCTGGTCATGTAATCGCGGTCAGTGTAATTTGTATCCAAATCAGGGTAGGCGGAGCGAACTACAGAGGCGAGACTGGAAGTGACAACGCATGATTCGGAGGGCAGGCTTATTGTCACTGCATCGGATTCGGGAATCGCGGTACCTGGCTCGCGTCCTTCACCAACACGTAAAAGATATTCAGCAAATTGCTGCAGTTGAGTGGCCGTCGTTGGATCAGGACTTTGCTGGACGCGCATGTTTTCGGTGAGTCGAAGCACACGGACAATGTTGTTGACAAAGAGGTAGGATTTGATCAAGGAAGCATCGATAATATCAGCCTTGTTGCCATTGGGAATTATAGGCAGTGTTTGTCTAAAGTCACCGCCAATGACAACAGTTTTTCCTCCAAAAGGAATGCGTTCCAAGCGACGATCAGTAACACCCATGATCTCTCTTAAAAGTCGATCAACTGTCTCGAAACCGAATCTGTGGCACATTGGTGCTTCATCCCAGATGATGAGCTTGGCCTGTCTAAGTATCTGTGCTTGTGGACTGCGGATCCGAACCGTGCTGATGGTATTGGCAGCCAAATCCAAAGGAAGCCCAAAACGACTATGCGCTGTACGACCACCTTGCAGCAACGTTGCAGCAATACCGGAAGAGGCGACAGGAATGGCAATTTCGCCATCCGATCTAACTTTTGCCAGTAAAGCGCTGTAAACGAACGTCTTTCCGGTGCCACCTGGTCCATCCAGAAAAAAAACTCGACCTTGCTCTGGCGTTACTGCTTCTGGATCTTCACCTTCTTCAATGGATTGCACAACAGCGTTGTAAGCATCTCTCTGAGCATCATTGAAACTATCTTGAGAGCGCTGTACTATGCCTCGCAGTTGAACGCGATTATACCGTGTTTCTTGCTGTAAGAGGCGGTCGTAGGTGTGTTGGTGATTTCCCTCCTGTAAGGCAGGCAATTGCGGCATGTCAGTAAATTCGATCAAGGAGCGGCCGTACTGGGGAAGCAATGCTGCTAATTCCTCCAAGGCTCGTAATCTTGCTGCAGTAATATCCTCCTCTAAAAGCTCCACATGCTGCTGGCCATTTTCAGCCTGTAATTGGCGACGTCGATTCTCGAGGAAATCAGCAGCAATATCGTCAGCATATCTTTCCCAAAGCTCGCCAGGCGTCAGGATATCGCAGAATGCCAGGATGACGGCGAAGAGATCACGGAGCCGTGACGCGGATGTGGTGACCTCAACGGCTTCTCCAAAACACCTATTCCACTCATCGTCGTCTTGTAACAATCCGCGTGCCTGTGCAGCAGCCTTAAACGTGGGATATACTGTGCCTTCAAAAGTGCGGATATCCTCAAAACTGGTGGCGCCCGGAACGTGCAACAACAATAGCCTCAAGCTATATTTCTCCAGGTCGCGTGGCTGTACAAAGTACAATCGAGAGACTGGTGCCACACCACGGTTATGCATTCGTCCACGGCGATACCATCCACGTTGTCTGCTGTGCGTATATGCCGAGTAGATGTCGACATATAAGTATTGTCGTGCGTCAGGGTCGCGCTGGTTCAACGCAAACCAATCTACCAACGTCGAGCTCCGGTTGCGTGCTGCGCGTTGCAAGTCTCGAACATCGGCATCAGCTTCAAAGTACACGTTCTCTTCTGATGGCAAATGGATATCTAAGCGCTTTACTGCTGGAAAATGACTCTGCATATCCTTCTCGAAAATGCGCCAACAACTTTCTGCTGCCGATACGTATCGTACATTCAAAAATGCATCAATCTCATCAACGTTTTCTTCATTTGCTTGCGTCACTGTCGCTGCACTTTGGGTGCCTACTGTCACCTCGGCACGGTCGGACCCTTTGTAAACGTACTTGTATAGGTACTTTACAGCTCGGTTGCTGGAGCAAATTTCGACGTTGATATGGGCGTTGTACTTTGTTGTAAGATATAAGTTGTACGGAACGACCCATCCATTTCCGACATTGTATGTTGTGCGGTTGACAATTCTTTCGATTGTGCGATCAGGCATATCACGTCGACGATATGTTATATTGCCGTTTTCATCGAATCGAGTTTCATTGGCGAATGGTTTGGGAAATCGTTTTGAGCATGATCCATTACTCATACAGATGGCGCGTGGATTGAGTAAAGAGCCACAGGGAGTATGGATCATATTGCGTGTGACAGTGGCATATGCCTGTGGATAGCGCTGGGGGTCTGGAATTTCAGCAGAAACGATGTTGTCGACATCCTCAACAGTGCGTATTTTGGAGTCATCGTGCATAATCAAAACAATGTGGGCATGTGGCAAGCCGCGCTTTTGGAATTCAATTACTTGAACCCATGCGACAACATTGCCGAGCACGTTATGATCTTTGAGATCTGCCATTATCAGCTTGATCTTTTCAGAAAAAACACGGGCAATCAAGTCAGGGCGATCAGATGGCTGCTGTCCATTAGAGGCCAAGGCTTCTCTTATTTCCGGCCACTCTGGGTTGCACGTAACAGTTATAAAAAGATCCGGCTTTCCAAAATGTCGCACAATAGCCATTGCATCCTGATACAGCTGATGCATATAACTTTATAAAGAAACAGAACAGAAAAAGATAACAGAGATTGATGTAAGCAATTTCATGTATAGTAACATTTTATTTTATTTTCACCATAACAAACTCTCCACAGCAAAACGCTAGCTGATTGTAATTCTAAACGATCCCAGGCACGATACTCATGTTGCTATCTTAAAGAATAACTTACCGAGGACTGCCAGTATGAGAAGATGGAAGGATAACACGACGACCCAAATTTCGAGCCAGCTCGTTATTATCTTCTCCTACATCTTGCTGGAGCGCATCAGCCATACCACTGTAAAGTTCCACGCGTAGCTGTCTTTGATGGCTGCGATAGTAATGCATACGACGGTGCTCAATCTTTGCGTACATATCGACAATGTACTGGTGCCAAAGTCGCCCATATAGATGCGCAAGAGACTCGCCACGTTCTTGGATGCGGTAGGCGTAAAATTGACGAACCGAGACAGTACCCTGACGACCATGACGCTCCCGACCTGGCTCAGCTTGAGCATGCTGATGTCCACGAAGAGGAATTCCTTCACTCCATCCATTTTCTGCATTTGGGAACATAAGGACATAATGCAGTGGATCATACAAACTACTTGTCTCATTAATCCTTTGCATCCCTCCATCACGGCGAAAGAGAACAACATCACGATAGGTAGCATCTTCGCCTGGATTGTCAACAATCAGTACAGCTATTTCGTCAGCAGTAGGAGCTGCATACTGTCTTCCGCGGCGCTGGCTCCCGGAGATGCGTATCCCCAAGTTGACACCTGGTGCACCGCGCAAACGCTCAGCTGCCGTCCGAAAGGTCTGAACATGCTGATTATTTTCATCAAGCATAGCCTGCAAATCAAGCAACAATGCACGATCCAGGTTTCCATCTAATACATTGCCGAAAAAGTCATATAAGACCGTTCGTTATAAATTGTGTTTACTAATGCTAACCTGGAAAGACTGTCTGTCTGATTGCTGCCTGCTCTTGAGGATCATATATGTAGATTTGAGCAAAGCGGGGCGGACGACCATCTTGAGGAACAATGGAACTGATTCTGTGGTAGACAGTGCCTTGGATACGAAAAGAGTATGCTCCGCCTCTAGCATTGGTATAATTTTGGTCGAGACGATCCACACCAAGGGAAGCAAATGCAAAAGTACCATTGTATAGGCGGATCTGTTCACGAAACGTTGACGATTCCTCATCTGTACCAATGAGCAGAGAGCGCAGTGGCTCTGGTGGACGCAGAACAGGTGGAAGTTCAACAACCCCATAGCCACAGCAAATTGAATAGCAATACGTGCCATCAACATTCTGTCGACGGGTTTCCCAAGACCAAACCCGAGCACCGCATGCACTGCATGTTGCGTTCATTGGTGGCAACACATGACGGTGAGCGTGAGGAGATGCAGCGTCCTCAACAATATCCTGCCCAGCAATAGTTGTTTCCTCGAATTGGTCCTGATATCCAAGTGGCCTAGTAGCAGTCCTTTCTAGACGGGGTCTGCCTGCACCACGACGACGTGTTCTGGGCCTGCCAAAGCCTTCACGCAAATCAATAGTAGCAAATAAATTGCCAGAGGCATCTTCTTGATGCTAAAGTATCATTATATAATGTTCAGTATCATGAATCAGCTTCACGGCGTTTACGATATCCAGTGGTCTCAATAACTCACAGTGTTGGTAGGAGCAGTGATAGTTTGTCCTTGCGGTGTGGTTTCAGCAGCGTTGTTACTCATTTACGTATAAAAACGAATGGCGGGAAGAAAGAATGCAAAAATAATCTCCTCTCATTCTAGCTATCAAGATGACAGTAAAGTGATCATGTCATCTTTTTCCTAAAGTAGATGTGGTGCTACATTGCCAGGGTATTTATGCTCTATATATCTGAGTGAGCTTTCTTTTGTGCACTCCGAACAGAGTGAGTGCAAATATATCTTATCCGATCTGACAACTTTCTTCTTTCAAACTTCCCATCATGCCCAACACTCGAAGTACTCAGCCCAATCATCAGACAGAAGGTTTGGAGCAAATGCTCTATCGAAAGCGCAAAAGCAAGAGTGCTAGCAGAAATGCAAAGCGTCAGGTACTCTAAGAAACCACGTTTTTATAATAACTCATATATAGCGCGTTAGTTAACTTTGCTTTCAAAAACAGAAAAACAGCGATGATGAGTTTGAGTTGACTCAGGAGGATATCGAGCTCATGGAAGCTTGTGAGCATTTGCTTGGTAACTTAATCCTATTTGCTAAGATATATATGTATGCATGAACTCATTCAAGGATAGATCTCCAGTCCTCACAGAGACAGCTTGAACAGGCAGACTCGCAAATAGACACTATCCCGTCAGATCTTCCTTCTGTACCTTCGCCAGCAGTGTCTTCGCCTCTGCTTTTGATAGAGGAATACCAATCGGTGTCTCCTCCACCACTGTCCCCTGTGCCCTCTCTTGAGGAAGGAATTCAGAAACTGAATTTGCCGCCTGCCCATCGTACGCCACTTAGTTCACCATCGCGTTCTGTAAACCATCCTAATGGCACCACCTCTCGAGGTGTACAGTGCGAATTATTAAAATAAATTGCAAACTGCTCACATGTAACAAAGACCCAAGCTGTGTAATGATTTAAAAATTGATCGCGTGAAGAGGAAGGGGGACGGAAAGCTCTGCTCGCTGTTCGGAGACAAACCACTGCTAAAAATCGATTCCAAAAAAGGAAGGACTTTCATTATTAATTTTTGAAGATTGTCTATTATATTAGAGATAGATATTATATAAGGGGGATTTTGAGTGATGACTTAGGGTGATGACTGAGGGTGATGACTATTATATATATTGCTGTAGTTGTGGAGAAATCGATGCTTTATATAGTGTATTAGTGTGTTCTGCTAGTTGGGATTCATGTGACTTGCTAGTGTTAGTTGAAGTAGTAGTAGCTTCCGTTACATCCTCAAACAAGGAGTTTGGCAGGTCTATTTGCACCCCCCTCGTGCACCCCACCCAGTCACTGCCCGGCCCGGATTTTTAGTTAGCACGCCCCCTCCCACCGAAACGCCTTCATGATGCAGAGAAGGAGTTGTTGCCTTTTATGGCGAGTCTTTTTCGTACATCTTTGCATGTTCTTCGCATGTGCCACACCTCTACGATTCAATCTTCGTCATAGCACGCAGCACGCCTCTGTCTAAATTGCGGTACGCGTGACTGCAGAGAAATAATTCTCACTTGGGGATCTTCCTCCATAAAAAAAACATTCATCAAGTACATGCTTTTGATCACTCCCTGCAACGACAGGAATATTCAAGGCACTCATCCAATAATTCCTTTAAAAACCAGGTCTTAAAGAGGTCATGTGTGGACGGGTAAATAATCTTTATGCAACGAGACTAATAGTCTCTGCAATGATTTCAAGTAGGATGAACAAAAGGAAACTTGTTTTGCTTTTTCTTTGCTTATGATGTTTATAGTTGACAAGACTTGAACAAATATATAAGCGTTCAATGCTTTCATCGTGGCTGACAAAGAGACAATCGGAATCTTTTATGTAAAGACGGTAAGTTGATAAAAGGAACCTACTTTTTCATGCACTTTGGCTTCTTTGGCAGTATTACAGCGGTTCCCTTACAGACAAACCAACGGTGTGTTGGAAGAAAAAAAAATTATAACCAGAGTGGTGTGACTGGAAAGCGATTGGCCGTAGTGTGGGTGGGCTTTATATGTTCGCTGGTGCAGTAACGGACTATGTGTGAAGGAGAGGGGCACCTTTTACACGATCGTCGTTTCCCATTTTTTTCTTTTTCTAATTGTGTCATCTGAAATTGACGAAGCAAGTATCGATGATGAACATGATGACTGCAACTGCTATTATATGCTATTAATATTTGAAACATTGTGTACACACTTATTACATTTGACGAGCTATGCGAGTATGTTTCCTTTCTTCCCTTGGCTATTACCTAGACGGCAAGATAAACTCCAACATTAATAGACACCATATAGATGGTCCAACATATTCAAGGAACTAAAGAGTCTAAATAGGTGCGCAAGGGGTTGCTGTTTTTTGCATACACACACAATGGCAGTCTATGGCTCATGCTGATAATGGAGATTTTGAAGAGTAAAGCTGTTGTAAAGTTACAGAATGTATTGTTCAACGAAAAGAAAATGAGGATGTGATATCATCAGAGTATCCATATAATTGAATGACGTAGAAGTACTTTGCAGCCTCATGGACTCACCTATTCCTGGTCAACGCATCCACTGATTTAAACATGTGTATATCGGATTAATTATATGATCAAAAAAAGGGAGTGGAAGAAAAATAAAGGAAGAAAAGAGAGAGAAAAGAAAGAGCGGGCAAGAAGAGACATTGTGCTACTAGGGTTGATAAGGTCCAGTAAGGTCAACTAGCTCAGAATCAGAGTGTTCTGCTTCAGATCCAGATGAAAGAGAATGGGCGTCAAAATTTTCTGAAAGGTGAATATCCACTCGAATCATGCTTTGAAATGCGTTTTGGGATAAGGGATACCATTGATCACCTCGGATTCTAGCACCACCATCTTTGCGACCTTTACCTCGAGTATAAGGGTAGCAGGCAGGCCATTCAATCAATGTACCCGGCCTGAGCTGGATGAAAATAATATGGTTATAAATGAGCTGCATAACGATTGTAGCTGTACGTATTGCTTGGGATGGGGTGCTTAGTAAGGGGCAAAATAACGAGGATTCAGTGCCGAAGAACGCTATGATATAGGCGTTTTGAAAACATCTGAGGCAAGCTGAGCACACTCAGGATAGTAAAACCAATGATATGCGTTTGGATCAGGTGCACTTAGCATTCTTTCAGCGTCGAATCCCTAATAGATAGTTTTGCCGCGATTATTGATAAAGAACTCGCGCATTCGGACCTTAATATCAATGTATCGTTTTTCATCTCCAAGTAAAGCAACAGCCAACGAGCGGAAACCACGATTTTCATCTAGATTCGGATTGTGCACTAAATCCACGGCAGTGCGAGGAATTGCATTACAAACCATATCCAGATTTGACACAATAGGTGGATTAGCAGACGGAAAAGGTGATGGTAAAGAAGCGGGCAAAAAGGATGACCAGAAAGGTGGCATTGTAAGTTGTTGTTGTTGTTGCTGTGGTGGCGGTGGCGGTTGTGGTATGGTACAGTATATCCCCGTTAACGTCAACCCCGATAACGTCAACCCCGATAACGTCAACCCCCGATAACGTCAACCGATTCGCTGGTACCCTTTCAAATTTAGCAGTTAGAGATTTTGCCTATTCTCTACCCCCAGTGGTCGTCAACCCTCGATATGGTCAACACTTTTGCTGGTACCCTGATGGTTGACGTTAACGGGGGTCGACTGTAGTGATATCAGCTTTAGCTTTATGCTTGCCCTCTCTTAGTAAGCCTAGTCAGTATCGTATGTGTAATAACAATAGAAGATCGATTACAGCAAAATTATACTATTAATTACCAAATATTGGCTGCTTCGCGACCCACGTTTGTTTGGCTTTCTTGTTGCTTTCGTTCTGTTGGTGCTCCAAAGCAATAAGGTCCCTCTTTGAGCTGCGCTTAGGTTTGCCTTTCGTTGGTAGAGATTTTGGCTGCTCCAGTTGCTTGATGTCCATGAAAAGATCATCACTGATGGCTTGCTAATGGCGTAGAAGGATACAACATAGTGGTGATACGCGTGAGCTCAGCCTCGATTTGACTCCATGGTGGGAGCAGAATATGATTCCGAGATTGCTAGAATGTTGCTCTACCGTGAACTGTTTCTTCCTCTACATAAAGTAACCACAATTTAGTATAGCGAGTAACAGTGGTATTGAATTATCTACACCTTCAGGAGCTGTTTTTTCAGGATGGAGATGCCAGCGTCTGGGGATAATGCTCAAAGGAATTTTTCCTTTGGATAGTATCATGTGACAGCAAGGAATTCGGTAATGAGCTTTGATTGCACATCGACAGTTGTCAATTCTCAGTGGATTTGTATATACAAGTCGTTGCGAAGCGCATTGAAGGCAAACTTCGAAATGTGGCGCTCTAAATCTACCAGCCTTTCCTTTTCACTTGGCGGGATATGGGAGTTTCTGCATAGGTAAAATCAACACACAGCGAGCAAGATTAGCAATTAATGTGCATAGAATAGGGTTGTACATACATATTAACTAACATATATATATACCTTTTATCTGTAGAATTCATCGATTTGCTCAAAAGCAAGGTAAATATTACCATTGGCGGACTGCATGGCCTTCTTCATATTGGCGTGCGTTCCTTCAACTCTGTTGGTAGTACTATTCCTAAGATGCTTGACGTCTGCAAGGTATCGGCCGACCCACTTTTCCTTATTAGAAAGCTTACTGCAAGCAAAAGTATTACACATAAGTATATAGCCCAAGCAAACGATCTCTGATAAGAGTCCAATATATAGTTACCTCTCGAGACATGCTTTCACTTCTTCCGGCTTTTTGGTTTTCATTGCAGCCTCATTGTACATGCCGATCGCCTTTTGCTTAAAAATCCTCATCTGGAACCAGCCGCTTGTTCTGGTACTTATCATCATATTCATCAGCCATCAAGTAGTTGATGGCTTTCAGGAGTGCCTCAAAGTCCTCTTTTATCTAAAAAAGCTTTTGGAGCTTGACTTGAAAATTGCGTCTGATGTGGTTGGTGCAGAGCAATTTCTTCGAGTTGGGGAAGACGTGATCCAAGGCTTTCATCAACACGGATTCGCTGTCAGTCACAAAGACTTTCGGGGAGACTGGCTGCTCAGCTGGCCAAACAACTTGCTCAAGCTTTTTGACAAACCAGTCGTAGCTGTGATTCGTTTCTTCAGACACCCATCCACCAGCAATACAGAAAGTTTTCAAGTCTGGATAACCAACATTGCCTGTACCGACGACATTTACAAAAGGGAGCCGATGTCTGTTTGTCTTGTATGTGACATCCATGATGATGGTTTCAGGGAATTGGCGAGCAAGTGAAATTGCAGAATGATGAGCGAAAAAAAGAGAGTGCAAGAACCGTTTTTCTCCATCTTGCTTCGACTCCCATTCAACGACGTAATCCTTGTCCTGTAGTTTGCTGATACGCTTGAACATGGTATGATCGGGATCGTTGCTGAATACCATCTGTCGCATATTCGTGATATACTTGGGATCGACAACAGGTTTTACAACAGGTTTTGTTAGCAGCAAGGTATGACACAATTGCAGTATTACTGGCGTGCCCTTTGATCATGCTAAGAACAATGTCGTGCTGCTTCCCATCGAGCTTACAAAGCATTGGATACGACAAGAGCTCCTTTGTAATCTCATAATTGTGTTCACCGTCGTAAAAGGAGACAACGTGCCATTGCTGGCTAGCCTTGCTCAATGGCCGCAGCTTGATCTCAAACTCGCATTCAATTCGCTGAGAGTCTTTCTCGCACCGTTTTTTGCTGTCCTTGCTGTTAGATCGAATGACATCACCTTTGTCGTTCGCCAAGATGGTTTCTACTGTCGTAGTTTTGCCATCGTCATACATTTTTTGATTGGTAGGTTGTCCAAAGTGCTTGCAAACAAGCCGAAGGATTTTTTTTTTCCTGTATGCGTACTTTTCAAGGTACGGAGGGAAACCTTATTCTTTTTCCCGCAGTCGACGCAAGCTTGCTTGACAGAGCCAAAGTCGTCATAATTGTTTCGAAGCTCTTCGCGAATAGCACTTGTGGTTTTTGACTTTGCGATGCTTGTTTATTTGGGAATTGATACGGGCACGACAAGTTATTTCCTTATTTGTCGTGGCCGTACCATTCCCTATTTGTTTATGGCAACTACAAGAAGCAATTTTTAAAATACGCTCCAATTCCCATTTTCACTTCCTGAGTACCATGTAGTACCAAACATGATGGAAAAGATCACGATAACATACAGGTCGATGTGTATAAGGGCTATGTATGTGTCTATGGACTATCTATATATGGACTATTTATATAAGTAAATATACTGCTATTTAAATAAATATGCATTAATGCAGTCTCAGTTCCATGTGCATTTCACCATGGGAAAAAGTCGTCGAAATCGTCGAAGTCGTCGAATGCAGTTGAATCTCAGCGCAATTGTTTTCTTATTTTGGCAATTTGTGGCACCCCAGCATACCCCACTCAGAGTAATTAACGGATTATCATAGTTGCGACGATACTCGAATGTATTTATTACAAAACATTTGTTGCTTTAAAAAGGCTACGGAAATTGCGGGTGTTTGTGGTGGGGTTGAATGCCGGTGTGGAGGTCGGAGGAGAACGAGGGCGGATCGGTTGCATTTGTGGTGTTGGTGGTGGTTGCGCAATTGATGATGATATTAAAGTGGAAGGGCCGGCAGGAGCAGAAGAAGCAGAAGTAGAAAGCAAGGAATGGCAGCGAGAAGCAGCCGATGATCTAAATTAGTACTTAAACTAGAATGCGATATCATCAGAATGGGCAAGTTGCTTAATGTTTACACCGCAGCATCGTCTACACTGTCGCTATAGCTTAAGAATTTATACAGTTAGCATCACTTCACCTACGGCGACATGTATATGCCCTGGATGCAGTTGTTGGAGCTGGACACACCCCGCGTTCACTGGACGACTTATGATACTAGGCCTATTTATATACTTGAGAACCACTTTTGCAACGAATCAAAAAATCTGGTAACAGATCCCCATTTGTACATACCATGTCCGGTGAACGCTACCAGAAGCATTGTTGTTCTTTCTAGAAACAAGTTCTCCAGTACGCAGCATGTAAATGCCTGATGCCCTCTTGCTGCCACTAACATCTTAGAACGCCAAAGCTCGTGGAAAAGATAAAGAGTTACCCAATGCTTCTAGCAGTTATTCGAAGGCTGTTCGTCATATTCCGAAAATACATGATTTTCGAAATCAACGAACAGAGCTTGCAATTCTTGTATCGGCAGACTTCTGTAGGCTTTCTTGCCTGGAAGTAGGCCATCGCGCATTCGCTTCAAACGTTCCAAATCTGTGTCTTCTGCTTCCTGCTTCAACATGTCGTACATCTGCCCAGGAGAACCTCTGCCAACCTGCAGCCCTTCTTTGGTGTACAAAGATATGACGTTCGTCTTGGTGATGGTTCTGGCTGTTCCCATCTGTTCCGGTGTTGGTTCCTTAATTATACCTTCAGGTCGAACGACATAGTCAACTGCATGTTGGTAAGTGCTAAGAGGTGCTTACTGTTGTCCACTGCTGCGGCTGCTGCGGTTGTTGTTCAACCTGCACCGACTGTTGTTGCAAATGCTGATGTTATACTTGCTGCACTAGCTGGTGCTGCTGCAGTAATCTGCCTTGGTGATCAGGACGACGAAGAATTCAATCTTCAAATGCGAAATGGCACTGCTTGACACGTCCCAGTGCTTCCACGTAGGGATCAGCAGGAATGTTGAACTGGGATGGGGTGGGAGTTGTTGTTTGTGTCCATAGCAATTGAGTTTGATGAGGGGGGAAGAAATAAGTTGAGGCTTACCAGTAGTCGGCACATGTATAACGAGAAAATTGCCGTCGTTTTCTTTACTGAGCTTATGTTGTTCTTTATCCATGCTTACGAAGGTTTGTGTTCTAGTGGTTTATTAGTGGAATGCATACAGATCTGAGATGCTTACCCTCGGCATTCCACCAAGTGATGAACGGCTTCTATGCTTGGTAAAGCTATATGGTAATTTATGCAAGACCGAGCATGACGCAGGCTCAAGATTAAAAAAGAAGGTACCCTATACACATCGCACTTGCAACAACTCGAGTGAAAGCGACAAGTTGTACGTCACCTACGCCGAAACTATTAAAGGTTACGCAGGACTCCTGAAGTCCTACATACCATATGTGGAACTCTGTGCTCCCACGATTGCCGATTCTGACGAAATTCAATGTCCACATACCACATATGGAACTCTGTACTCGACGATTTCGACGATTTCGACGACTTCGACGACTTTTCCCTATGGTGTTTTGTAAGACGTGTCAAACCAAAGCTGATTTTCTTTTGTTTGTTTAATAATTATCGTGGCCTCCGTTTCTGCCCTACATAATATTTGTCGCATATCCTGTCCATGCATCTAGGTCACTTCTTTATACAAGCAAGTAGCAGTTGCCAGTGCTATTATTTCATTCTGCATGTGTGTGTCTCCTTTCTGGCAATATACATTCAAAAGGCACATGCAAAGATAGACATACACTTAGTTAATCGCTTCTTATATTAAGTTACTTGTATCTATGCTAATGCTTCGTTCTTCAATCTTGTAACAGGTATTGCTTCAATTCGATCTATGATTGAGGAATGTGAATGAAGTGGTGTCCAGGAAGTGGTTCGGTGGAAGGGTGGTGTACGAAATGGTTCGGTGAGGGGGTGGGGTGTGCGAACTCAAAATCCGGGTCGGGCAGTGATTGGACCTTCCTCCATGAAACCGACCACCGGCCCACCACTCTTTCGTTCCTTAGCAACCCTGAAGTCATAGCAACTCACCACACAGCGAACATGTCAACTCTTAAAACGCGTGAAGACACTAAATTGGAACAGAATCGTTGCAAATTGGGTACCTATGAAAATTTTGTGTTATATAGCAACGCCATTCTTAGTCAATAGTAGTAGCATACCAAACAAATGAACATTTGTCCTAAAGTTTTTTTTACATGTATTTTGACAGAGATTGAATCTTATATAAATTCATGCGTTGACGGTGGCTCTGAAGTTAGTTTTGCAGGCTTTGTTCGAGATCGCCCGACTGTTGTCATCCAAAAATCGGTTCCTGGTACTAATTACAAGGCTTTCTGGGCCAATATATTTGGAAACGTAGTAAGTGACCTCGATGTAGAGCTGGTAAGAGAAGCATATTGTATAAATTGGTGGGAAATGCTCGTTTACTGATGAAGACACATGAAGGTCAAAGAACGCGTTGATTGGACAGCTGTCGATGCTCAAATTCACGGTGAAGGCACATCAAGCCCAAATACGCAAGTTCCATCCGGAAAGTCTTCAAGCTCACCACCATCCAAGTCATGTACCTCCGTGCGACTGTCATCAGCTGAAAAGCCGCTGTCGACAATGTATACAACAATCTGCCATAAGAAAAGTGGACCCTATCTACGGGAAAGGTAGTGGAGGACACCATGCACGCATTTGTTAAAAAATGCTCTTTTGAACAGTGAGTTTCATCTTCTATGGTTGCTTATGCCGGCCAAAAAAAGCTAATTGTTTATATATAATAGTCCATCCCATTCTCTTATACGCGATCCTTTGGATCCCTGCTGGTCAGGGTATTTTACCAAAGAAGAGATACAAGAGATACAGATGCATAATGCTCTGCAGCTTCGAGAGTTGCCTGAAGGTCTACAAGCCTATCTGCAACTATTTGCGAATAAGGTGAAACTATTGCCTGCCTCTTTTGCTATTTCCCCTTTTTCAATTGCAATAATTTAAAATATATTTTTTGATATCTTTAGCACGTTCTCGAAGACTTGGTAGAGCTGCATTTCAGACATCGCTTCCACCTGTCTCAAGTTGACGAATGCTGGGCCGAAAAGGCAATTGGCGAAGTGCTTGACTTATACTACTACTCGTACAACTTTTTCAACAAAACCCAAAACGACCTATTACGCCGTCTATGGGTTTTCATCGAAAAGTGTTTTGACGAGAGCGTGTTTGAAGCTGTCATGTAGGAGCTTAATTTATAATAATATATACTTTTGAAAACTATGAAATTTTCTCAATTACTAGATTGTAAAAATTTCTTATGTTTTCTTTCATTTAATTTTAATACTAAGAAAAATAAATCAATGATTTTCTTTTTCTATTCCTCTACCACCACCACTCACCCTCTCCTCCTCCTCCAACAACAACAAACAACAACATTGACATGTTCTTGTTTTTTCCTAATGGTAGAAAATACTCAAAATTATTATTTTGATGTATTTTCAGAATATCAAAAAATAAAAACTTTATTTTTTAGATATTCAAAGAAAAGGATAAATATAAATATTTATCTCTTTTCTTAAAAACAATTTGTTTTTTCTATTTTTAAATATAAACTCAAAAAAGAATAGAATATTCTTTTTAGAGCATTTTATGTTCTGAGTTTAAAATAAATTTAATTTAATTTAAATTTAACTTGAAATATTAATAATAAGAGATAATTTTATTATCCTTATTATTTTTATTTCTAAAAATAGATTTATTAGATAGAAATTAGCTCGCTATGCAAGCTTTTAACCCGAAGGGTAATTTCTATCAATAAACTATTTTTTAAGAAAAGAGATAAATATTTATATTTATCCTTTTCTTTGAATATCTAAAAAATAAAGTTTTTATTTTTTGATATTCTGAAAATACATCAAATTAATAATTTTGAGTATTTTCTACCATTAGGAAAAAACAAGAACATGTCAATGTTGTTGTTTGTTGTTGTTGGTGGAGCAGAGGAGGAGAGGGTGAGTAGTGGTGAGTGGTGAGTGGTGAGTGGTGGTAGTGGAGGAACTAAAAAAGAAAATCATTGATTTTATTTTTCTTAGTATTAAATTAAATGAAAGAAAATATAAGAAATTTTTACAATCTAGTGATTGAGAAAATTTCATAGTTTTTAAAAAGTATATATTACTATGAATTAAGCTCCGTAGGGCTACGTTTATACTCAAGACTAAATTCATATAGTTATAAATTAATATTAATGTGGGAACTTGCACAACATTAGTAGTGAGAAAGCAAGCACAGCATCAAGTGATAGGAAGAATGACGAGCGCCCACTTTCCGGTACGACACTACCACGAAGAACAGTAGGTGCGCATTTTGAGCATGAATATGCTGCTGGGAAAGCAGTTGTTTCTGGCGGCGTTACTTGTAATAAATTTGTAGTCGAAGCAAACCTGAAATTGCCAAAAATTTTAAAAGATACCATCTGGAGTTTGTCGAAAAGGAATCCGAAGTATCCATGTGCTGGGATTTGTTATAAATGGTAATAACTGGAATATGAGGAACAATAGAATAAACGACTAAATATTGTTATAATTGATTTACAATAAAAATAATAAAAATTGAATTTTTTTATTTATATTGGTAGCCTCCCATAAGAAAAAAAAGAGCGATTGTTTAAAGTATATAACAATAAATAAAAATGAACACAACACAACACACTGAACAACTCGATATTGAAATTAAAAATTTAATTGATAATAAATGGAATTTTTTTTAATAATCTTGGCCTGAAATGCAACATAGATTTAATCATAGAACAACTATTAAAGATATGAAGAATAATACTATAAATGATATAAAGGATGTATTACTTAATAGATTTGGATTTATACCTGTATTTTATTTTCTTACAGTTTTATATGGAAATATTGAATATCCAGGGCCACACCGCGAGATTGAAAAAGGACTTGCATTATTATATCATATGGTATTAGGTGTATTAGGAAAGGATATGCATACTGTTATGCTATGCAACATTTTATGATTATAT